ATATATATATATATATATATATATATATATATATATATATAAAACAGATACATTAAGCACTTTACGAGAAGTTAATTCGGAAATTTAGTTTTTTTTTTTTAATGGAAAGAAAATTCAGAGCAGTATAAAAAGAAAAACATATTAATTAATTAGGAATGAAAGAGAGAGACAGATTTTTCAAGGAAATAAAATTCGGATCATTAAAAAACAGAAAAGGAAAACACATTAATTAGGAAAAAATTAAGATGTGTAGATTTTCTTTTTATAATTTTCCCCAATTTTGCTATATTAATGTTTCGCCTATTAAAATCAGTGATTGAAATGGATAGCTAGGCCATTAACAGTTAATTGGAGCAATAATATCATTAAAAGAGACGCTTATGTTTTCTTTTAAAAAACTTAATTTGTGTTTTATCAATTCATAGTTAATTAAAACAAACTCCAAACACTCAATTAATTTATATTAACAATGGAGAATAACTGTATTAAATTGCTTAAATAGAATTCTCAAAATTATTTAAATAAGATTCTTAAACCATGCACATCAAGCGGACGTAAACGCCTAAAGTCTCGACAAATTGACTTCCAGGCCCTTTCATTCCACTTATGGGACCATCTATCTAGCAGAATAAGTGTTTTGTAACTGTTTTTCTCTAATAGAAGGAATTGGAATTTGTTGTGACAAATCCAATTCCATGTCAAATGACACATGTCGAGTCAAATCACTAGTCCTCTTTCGTCCACAATCCACCTTGATGCTCTCAAAACCAACGACTTTCGTTGCAAGGTCATGCATAAAATCATGCATTTTGCAACTTTGTGTGTTACCTAAATCATCCTTTTCCACTTCATGTAAGAATGACCTCCTCACCAAATTCTCAAAGCACATAAGACAACCAATTTCAAGACTCCTACCACTCGAAGAGCTAATGAACCTTTGTGCAATCCAAAATTGAATCAATGATTTTACATCAATGCCATGGCCTTTTGGAAATAAGCTACAATATGCAAAACAATGCTTCATGTATGAAGGAAGAAGATCGTAGCTTAACTTAAGGGTCTATATGATGTTACCATCTCTAATTCTATCCGGAAGTTCATTTACTACGAAGGAGAACCATTGGGCTCTATCTTTCAAAGACATTAGCCTTGCAATTGCCTTTATAACTAAAGGAACTCCACAAGCATCTCTCTACAATCTCTCTTCTAATTACTTCATGATCTATGTGATTTGGCTCTTGGCCTCGAGGAAAGGCCTTTTTCTCAAAAAGATCTCACGATGCATCATCTAAAGGCCTTGTAAAACATATGAATTTTGCAATCACAAGAGAGCGTGTGGTTACCATTATCTTACTTCCTACCGTATCACGTGGTAACAAATTCTTCAAACCATCCCATTTATTATTGGAAATCTTAAGAATGGTAGATAATAAGTTAAGTATGCTATGAAGGAAATTTGAAAGTATTTTTAATTTTCTCGTTGCAGTTGGTTAGCTATTAATAGTTTTCAAACAAACATACCAGATTGGCTCTAACATTTATGTACGTTAGTGGTCCAACAGCTTATGTCTGTTAGGGACCAACTGTTATGTCTATTAGGTCCAACTCGTTATGTCTTTTAAGATTTAACAATTGTGTCTATTAGAATTCAACGGTTATGACTATTGGAATCAACAATCATGTATGTTGTGAAAGGGTATTAATAATCTATAAATAGGGGACCATCTGTACGGGACAAATTAAATTAATTTTTTCTCTACAATCCTCCTCTCCTTTCAAAATTTATTTCCTTCTAAAACTCTACAACTTTAAGTGATAAAAAAAACTTAAGGTCTCCATCCTATTATTTGAAAGATCAAGATATCTAAGGTGATTGAACTTTTCAATGGAAGAAGACACTTTCTTGATTCTTAAACCATGTAAATCAAGCACACATAAACGCCTAAAGTCTCGACAAATTGACTTCCATGCCCACTTATTCCACTTATGGGACCATCCGTCTAGCAAAATAAGTGTTCTTAACTGCTTTTGCTCTAGTAGAAGGAATTGGAATTTATTATGACAAATCCAATTCCATGTCAAATGACACACGTCGAGTTAAATCACTAGTCCTGTTTCGTCCATAATCCACCTTGATGCTCTCAAAACCAGCGATTTTTGTTGCAAGGTCATTCATAAAATCATGCATTTTGCAACTTATGTGTTACCTAAATCATCCTTTTCCACTTCGTGTAAGAATGACCTCCACACCAAATTCTCAAAGCACATAAGACCACCAATTTCGGGACTCCTACCACCGAAAGAGCTAATGAACCTTTGTGCAATCCAAAAATGAATCAATGATTTTACATCAATCTCATGGCCTTTTGAAAATAAGCTACAATATGCAAACAATGCTTCATGTACGAAGGAAGAAGATCGTAGTTTAACTTAAGGGTCTATATGATGTTATCATCTTTAATTCTATCTAGAAGTTCATTTACGACGAAGGACTATTAATGGATTAGCATTATCATTGTGATTAGCTTAGAAAGCCTTATCATTATCCATATCTAGTTGTACACTTATCCATATATCCCTTTAATAGTTATCTCCTGTAACCACCAACTTTACTCATAGATATATATATATATATATATATAAAGTCCGTAGCTCTTATGCAATACATAATAAAAGTGAAATCTTTACAATCTCCTCGAGTTCTCACATGGTATCGAGCCTCTTATTTAGTATCGGTATCGGTATTTGAGTTTCACCATGTCGACAAATCCAACAAACAATAGCTCTCAAATTACACTGGCATCACCAAATCTAAATAAGCACTCAAACCTCCACTCATCATACCTTTTCTCGTTAAACTCTCATCTAGAAATTACCTAGCCCGGAAGACACAATTTCTTCCTCTCCTAAACTATCAACATCTCACGGGTTACATTGATGGTACCCTATCTCGCTCCTCCAAAAACTATAACCTCTCCCATTGATGAAACTCGGATATTACCAAATCCTACATATGAAGCATGGTTTCAAAAGGATTAACTTCTCTTATCATGAATACTCTCTTTATTATCCGATGAGGTTTTTCCATATGTTATTGGCCTACAATCTTCTTATCAAGCGTGGAATACATTAGCAAATGCATTTGGTTCCGTATCTCGTAACCGACGATTGCAACTTAACATTGAATTGTAAGAATTATAGAAAAATGACTTGACTATATCTCAATATCTTCACAAAGCGAAAGCCCTTACCGATGAACTTGCTCGTTGTCGGAAGGACCGTGTCTGCTGCTCGAGTTCAATGCCATAATATATCGTAATATTGGCAGTCACTTTCATGCAATCATTACGCCCTCAACCTTAGCTAAAATTGCCTATAAGCCACCCTTTTCAGCCATATAAACCTTATGTTCCCCACCACCAATCAGCCTCCTCAAATACAAGTACTCATCCCAATACTCGTCTCCATCAATTATAGAAATCGTAGAAACAAGGGTCCTTACCAAATCCGTGGTTTTCATAACCACATAATTGATAGGTGTCGTCGACGTTATGCTCCTCGATAGATTCCAAATGCACGAGCCAATTTAGCATGGACCGGAAACACCTTTCATCGCAAGCCTTCTACTTCCACTCCCATGCATTCGCAACAAGCATTCCAACACCGGGATCCACTCTTACCTTGGTACCCCGATACCGAAGCTACCCACCATATCACACCAGATTTGTCCAACCCGAGCCATGCCAATGACTATACAGGAAGTGATCAAATCCATATAGGTAATAGACAAGGTTTGCACATAACTCACTCGTTCGTATTGTTTATTCTACACCAATAAATTTTTTTTTCTCAATGATGTCTTGTTAGTTCCAAAAATTACTAAAAATCTTCTTTTCGTCCAAAAATTTACTCGCCGACAATTCTTGTTATTTTGAATTTTGGCCATCTTATTTCTTGATTAAGGACTAGGTGACCAAGGAAATCCTACTGCAAGGCCCGAGTAGCAATAGAATGTATGTGTTTCCACCGTTACTCGAAACAAGCATTGGTTGGAAAAAAGGTCTCCTTTGGTGATTGGCATGCTCGTCTTGGCCATCCTCAACATCGAACGATTGTCTAGAGTACTTCATACGAATAATCTTCCTTACTCTTCAAAAGCACCCAAGTACATGTCTTTCATGTCACTTGGGAAAAATGTCTAGATTGTCTTTAGCTCCTATTGATCACAAAAGTAAGGTGCCATTTGAGGTTGTCCACTCGGATGTTTGGGGTCCCGCACCCGAATTATCTCCATTTGGTCATAGATATTTTGTTTTGTTTGTTGATGATTTTACCAAGTATACCCGGATTTATTCTCTAAAAAATAAGAATGATGTTCTTACCACTATTCTTAATTTTCAATCCATGGTCGAACCCCAATTTAATACAAAAATAAAAATTTTTCATTCAGATTTTGAAGGAGAATATCAAAAATTACATCATCATTTCAAAGACAAAGGAATCATTCATAAATTGGCTTGCCCATATACTCATGAACGAACGGGGTTATTGAACATAAAATTCAACACATAGTTGATATTGGTTTGACATTATTAGCTCATGCAAATGTTCCCTTAAAATATTACACATTTGCCTTTGATACTAGTGTCACACTTATCAACTCTTTACCCTCTGTCTCCCTTCACCATTGTTGTCTTTTTCAATTATTACTTCAACAAAAACAAAGTTATACTAATTTGAAAATATTCGGTGTGCTATATTTCCACTTTTAAGGCCTTACAATTGTCATAAATTTGCATATCGAAGTAAAATGTGTGTGTATCTAGGACATACCTCATCTCATAGTGGACATTGTTGTTTAGACATTGAGAGTGGCCACATTTACATTGCTCGCCATGCAAAATTTGTTGAAACAACGTTTTCTTTTTAAAATCCATCATGGCATTCACCTTCGGCAAGTAATCCTATCAACAACTCATGGCTACATGTGACCATTACAGATCCCTTCTATCTCGACGCTAGCACCAAGTATGGTCTCTAACTCTTCTCATAATTTGTTACTCACTCCATCCCAATCTTCTTCTCAAGATCAAACACACCGACCACATCCCGTCTCAATCCTATCCGTGTCATCATCCTATACAAACACCACAAAATCATCACATCCCAACTCCCAAAAGTCTCTATCCTTGTCCAAAACTATCTCCTCAATAAGAGAGATTATAGTTGTTGCCGATAATACCACACATCAAGCTCCTATTACTATTTCTTCTCCCCAACGTCCAAACCCAGCTCCACAACGAACTCATCCCACGACCCTACGCTAGAATCCAAAACCAAAAAAACATGCCTACTCTATAACTAGAGATTCATCCCAACCTAACTTTCTTGACATTGAACCATTAAATTTTACCCAAGCCAAACTTTACAAAGAATGGCGAGATCGCTATGAGAGATGAGATACGTGCTCTCCTCACTAATAACACATGGACTTCGATTCCAAGACCTCCGGATAGGAATATGGTAGGTAACAAATGGATTTTTCAAATAAAACAAACTGCCGATAGGAAGATTGACGAGTACAAGGCTCGTCTTGTTGCCAAAGGCTTCACCCAATAATCCGGAATTGACTCGCCATGATACCTTTAGTCCCGTTGTTAAAGCTACCTCCATTCGCACTATTCTTACAATTGCTTCTATGAATGTATGGCCTATGAAACAATTGGATGTCTCCAATGCTTTCTTGCATGGCACCCTCGATTCTAAAATTTTCATGGAGCGATCACGTGGGTTTGTGGATATTGATAAACCTTCTTTTGTTTGCCGTTCGCACAGCTTCATTGTATGGTCTCAGCGGGCTCCCGCAGCATGGTTTCATCGCTCGAGTTCCTTTTTGCATAAAGTTGGCTTTTCTACTTCAAAGGTAGATACTTCCTTATTTATTCGAATACTTGGACCTCATAAGTTATTTTTGTTGTGCTATGTTGATGATATAATTATCACAAGTTCTTCCTCTAAACTTGTTGATCGGTTTCTCATCACTCGTGCAAAAGGAGTTCCCCGTCCATGATATGGGTCGCCTGCATTACTTCCTTGGCGTTGCTCGTCCATCATCTTCCTTCGAGCTTATTACTCACACAACGAAAAGTATCTTCGAGATCTCCTCCACCATACCAACATGGATCGGGTAAAGGCTTGTCTAACTCTATGGTCGTTACACCAATTCTCTCAAAATCCTCGGGCACGTTACTCTCTAATGGGGATCAATATAGACAGGTGGTAGGAGCCTTGCAATATCCGACCATGACATGTCCGGATATAGCCTTTTCTATCAACAAACTCGTCAATTTATGCATTGCCCAACCGATGAACACCGAACGGGGTAAAACGCTTACTCGGGTACTTGAAGACTCCAGCTTCTAGGGGCTCTTTCTTGCCAAGAATTCCACTATGCAACTTCATTGCTTTAGTGACAACAATTGGGGTGGCTGCCTGGATGATAGGCATTCAACAAATGGATATGGCATTTGCTTGGAAAAATCTTTGATTTCTTGGATGGCAAAGAAACAACCTACAATTGCCCGATCTTCTACCGAAAGTGAATACAAGGCAATTGCTAACACCACTCGCTGAATTAATGTGGATTACTTCCTTGTTGCAGGAACTTGGTTTCTCATTTCCTACTAGAGTCGTTCTCCGGTGTGACAATATTGGTGCCATCTATCTCACTCGCAAATCCCATCATTCATGCTAGAACCAAACACATTGAGTTGGACTATCACTTTGTCGGAGAGCAAATAGCATCCGGCAAGCTTCGAGGTGCATTTTATTTCTATTGCTAATCGGATTAATGATATCTTCACCAAGCCCTTGTCCACTACTCGCTACCTTTTCCTACGTGACAAGCTTCGCCTCGTGGAGTGTCCAATGGCTTGTGGGGGTTGTTAGCAGATTAGCATTATCATTGTGATTAGCTTAGAGAGCTTTACCATTATCCATATCCAATTGTACATTTATCCCCGTATCCCTTTAATAGTTATCTCCTGTAACCACCAACTCGTACTCGCAGATATATATATATAAACTCCGTAACTCTTACGCAATACATAATAAAAGTGAAATCTTTACAATCTCCTTGAGTTCTCACGAGGAGAACCATTGGGCTCTATCTTTCAAAGACATTAGACTTGCAATTGCCTTTATAACTAAAGGAACTCCACAGCATCTCTCTACAATCTCTCTTCTAATTACTTCATTACCTATGTGATTTGGCTCTTGGCCTTGAGGAAAGGCCTTTTTCTCAAAAGATCCCACGATGCATCATCTGAATTTTGCAATCACAAGAAAGCATGTGGTTACCATTATCTTACTTCCTACTGCATCACGTGGTAACAAAATCTTCCAACTATCCCATTTTTCACCATCTAGACCTTCCTCGCCATCCCGCGCATCATCTAATACGAGGAGATACTTCGTTTTTTCAATTTTCTTTTCAAGCTCATTTTTCAAATCCTCTAGCTGATCAGAATCACTAGTTACAACCTGTTTGAGAATCTTTTCTACATCTAACCTCCTGAAACATTGACCCAGAGTTTCAGACCAAAGTGCCCCTTAACTTGCTCATCATTGAAAACATGTTTAGCTAGTGTGGTCTTCCCCAATCCACCTATTCCAACCATTGAGATGACAGAAACACTGTTCATAGTTGGAATTCAGCAGAAAAGTTCTGAGAGCCACTTTATCACCTTCTCTTCCAACTATAATTTCAGGTTCAGAGGGGGTACGTAGTTGGCTCCCTCGCCACAGTCCTAGAAGCTTTCTCCTCGTCACGAACCTCAAAGTTGAATTGTTTACTGTCAGCATCGATGTCAGCTAGTCTCTCCCTAAGTGCTTTAACTTTATGACCCCCTCCGCAAACCATAAACAAATTGGTTTGAGCTTGAGAAGAAAACACGTACCTCCCTCGATACATTGTTCCCATACACCAATTCTTTCCGCTGAACTTCTGTCGAGAAGTCAGCCAGCAAATCTTCTGCATCATACACTGCTTCTTGCAGCTTCCTCAGCCAGTCTTTGACTTGATTGTTTTGTTTTCGTGCCTGCTCTGCAGCGTCATCCAGCACAGCCTTGATTCTGGTAACTGTGCCCTCAAGCTTGCGTAGCTGATCTTTGACACCACACCAGAAAGCAACCTCCTGAGCAGCTAGGGAGCATACTGAAGAGCACACCTTCAGCCATTATTACTTAGCAAGAAGAGTGGGTGGAGGAAAACACTCAAAACAGGAAGAAAAAAGAAAAGAGAAGAAGATGGTTTTCAAGGTGTTTACTTGCTCTGAACGGTGATGATTGGTTTATTTTGCTGCGAAGATAATGAGCAGAAGCACAGGCATCATTTGCAGGCTAACAGATGGCTAATCCGTTAGAAACGACCCTGAACTTTTGGTAAATACAAAATGAATCCTCAATCTTTTTATTTATTTATTTAGGTCCTTAACCTTTTTTTCTATAATATCATCAATCCTTCCCAATTTTATCTTATCGTAAAGTTTGATCATGCATACTCCATTAAGAAAATGACACGTGTTTTTAAAGATTTTTTTTAAAAAAGGCTTTTTTCTTTTTTTGTTTTTACAATCACTACCAATATTAAAAGAAGATTAATTTAAAAAAATGATTGATAAAATTTCTATTCTTGTCTATTTTTTATTTTCTATTCCATAAGTATAAGTAAAATCCAAAAATAATAAAATTGCATCAAAATTTAGCAATTTCTAATATTATTTAACTAATTTTTAATAAGTTTATAATTTGACGTGTAGGGATTTAATTCAAAAAATTTATTCAAGAACTAAGTTGTATATTATTGAAAAGTATGATGACTAAAAACCTTTCGATTAATGACTTAGTTGTAAGAAAAATCTAGTACAGAGACCAAGTTATATGATTAGGCTGAAGACAGGCACATAAAGCCTTGCTTCCTTCTTCCCCCATCTGTTGTCTCTTTGTTAGAAAATCAGAAAGGAGATGGCAAGAATCTCAGCTTGCCCTGCAACCAATTGCCATACTCCTGCACTGTCAGGTTGGTTTATTATGTTTTAGGTAATAGTACTATTTCTTTTTCTTCTTCTGTCTTAATTTTTGTGCTTGCAGGAGAAGGGAGACGATGCAAATACACCAGTCAATCAGTGGTAAACTATTCCATTCCTATCTTCCCATCTGGGTTTACTTCGATGGTTGCTTGCAGTGACTCACTGAGCCTAAATTGTGTTTTTTGGGGAGAAGAGAGCGCTGCCTATACGAATTATAACAGTGGGGAAGAAGAGATCAGCTGGGGTACAATTATTAGTGGAAGAATACACTGACAAGCTCAAAAACTATTGCTCTGTTCATGATGTTCATATTCGGTCCAACCCCAGAAATGCTCGGTCAGTGTTTGTTGTCTACTCTACTCTAATTTTGGCTTCTTTTTTTTTTTTTCAATTTTTAGGGCAGTTGTTTATGTTCTGTTTTAGTGATGAGAAGGCTCAGGTTAATGATGAAGACAATGCAGTGATGAACCTTATCAGGTCTGATGATTGGGTATACATTTTCTTTCTGTCTAAAAACAATAAACCTTAATTGCCATTTCTTGTTTAGGTTTTGAATGAAGTTAGTTTGCGTTTTGATTAGTTCTAAACTAAATGTTTTTGGAAAGAATTGATTATAGGAAACATTTATTTACTTTTAGGTTGTAATGTTGGATGAGCGGGGACGGGACATTGGTTCCGAGCAGATGGCTGAATTGATTGGGGATGCAGGAAATACGGTGCGAACTGCTTGTCATCGAATGCTGTTTGGGGTTCATCTTGTTTCTTTTACATTAGTTTGTGTAATTTGAAAGAGAATTTGGATGACTTATCTCATGGATCAACGTTTTGTTATTGTTTCTAATTATAGGGAGCTTCAAGGTTATCATTCTGCATTGGTGGACCATATGGTCATGGGAAACAAATGCGAAAGCGTGCCAATGCATCAATTAGATTGTCCTCCATGGTTTTGAATCACCAGATTGCATTGCTTGTGCTTGTTGAACAGCTATACAGGTAAGCATTTGTTAATATTTGCTCGTAATGCTTTCTGTAATACTGTAGTTGTTGAAGTCAAGTTACCCAAAGTAATGTGCAAGATCATTAGTCATGTTATGTTGAGCACTTTGTGAGCGTACTGCGTACGAATGGTTTGCATGGGTGTGTTAATAAAATCATTAAATGGCAATTGGAAAAAATTTTCTTCTTTCAATATTTTCTTGGAGCATTGTTTGTTGCGGTTTGTATGCCCCCTCCTTAAGGGGTGCGAGACCTAAATCATCATCGCTTCTTCTTCTGGAACCTAGTTTGGATTAGTGTGCAGAAAACAAAAGGCATTGAACATATTTGATGGCTTTCTTATTTTAGCATCTCTCTATGTACTGTGGATTGCTGTCTGACTAAACAATTTTAGGATATCATTCATCTTCATAATACTGGCATCGAACTTGGTTGATTTGAGACATGGCAAATAAAACATGGTTTATTATGGGTGGATAGGCGTTATGCCTCTCTTTAAGACATTTTTAAACTGTTTGTCTATCATGAAAGTTCTTATCACCAATTTATACGCTAGCCATTTGAAATTTATTATATTCTTTCATTCAAGAGCAAAATCAGACACTTCTTTGTTTGATTTGCAGGTCATGGACTATTCTGAAAGGGCAAAATTACCATCACTAACTAACCTTCATGGTTGTAATCTTGAATGTAGCCATGCTGATCCAGGTATTAGACTAATCATGTCCTACAGATTTCACCATCAGTAGTAACTTGTCGGCTGAGTTGTCTTTTGAACTTTATACTGATGTATTTTGTTGTCGCTCCCGTCTGAAATGTAAATCATGTTTAAATTCAGTTCAATGAGCCACTAATGCAGATGATAATGTGGTATGGGGACGTTGTATAGGTTCATTGTGTCTATACTTCTGCCTTCCAGGGCTTCAAGCTTCGAAGAGGACTTCTTAATGCGCAAGGCTTCCTGCATTAGCACGAGTGAGGGATCACTTATGGAAATTACGTTACTCCTAAAGCTAGATTTACATATAGAAGGGATGATGATTAAGTAATAATAATCTTGGAAACTCTTTGATTATGATCACCTGTTACAAATGAGGCAAGCTTTTGGTTTCATTTAGATTGGCATTGTCGTATCCATCGTTTTGTTTGCTCTCCCCATCTTTGGGCCTATTTCTGTGATCCAAAATGTTTCATTGACATTATTATTTTTAGATGAACTTTTAGATTTCCTTTTTTTTTTTAGTGAATTTTTTAGCTCCAACTTTGTTATTGTATTTTAGGTTCAGTCTCTAATTTATCTCTATTAATTTTATAGTTCTTAATAATGTTCTTATATTTTATGTTATTTTTCAATCCGTAAGAATACCCTTACATTTAGGAAACTCAAATCCCACATAATTTATTAAAAAAGAAGAAGAAGGAATTGCCATATATATATATATATTTTTTAAAGCATAGTTTCGTTTTAAAAATAAATTAAGTTTAAGTATATTTTAAAGCTTGTTTATGCTCTTCATTCTTCAGCCTCATTGATGATGGCATCGGTTTTGTCATCTCCTTCTATCTCTTCTCCTTTTCCTCTAGATGAATGGCATTTTGCCTGTAGAAATTGCACCTGAAATGTTTTTCGGTAAATGCAGTATTATGAAAGACATGACCCTCAATTTACAGAGTATACAAGAACACAATTCGTAAAAATCTAAGATTTCTGGATTCTAGTGAAACTGTAGCAAAGGCATCACAGAGGGATTCACGTGAGAAACAGAGGAGGGAGCTTAGGAATAGCATTGGCTTATGTTATCCACAAGAGGAGAAAAAAAGAGGCTTGCTACTATCAAGCTACTTTGAGGTCTTTCCAATTATGCATACAAGAATTACCAGCCCTTATAGGCATCAAGATTAGCCACAATGTAGGTACAAATATGGGTGTACGGTACAACAGCAACCTGCCTTTTCTTACTTTATTTTTCCAGAAAATTTAGCAAAGAAGGATCTGAACGAGAGACTGTTTGCATCAGGTCAAAATTGTTTGTGGTATTTTGGGCAAGTCCACTGACCTATCAAACTAGTAGTACAGCTGCCAACTAATACTAGAGATCCATTAAGACAAGCTGAGAACAACTTGCTGCTACCTAAAACATATTGGTACTTTTCTGCTTCAATTATAATTATTACAACCATTTGCTAAAAAAACAACATTGGTGACCTCAGATTTCTTCACGCACCAAACCATCTGATGCCAAAAAGAATTAGATCAAAATTTCCGTCATATTCCACTTGCCCGTTTGCTACATCATTATCATCAACCCATTGTGAATTTCAATGGTAAAACACAAAAGATCAAATCTTTTTACTGAAAATATATACAATACATATTCAACCAAGAGTTCTGAAAACAGTTCCCTTGCTTCTTTAAGCTTTGTAGAGTTGCTATCGATCAGTATATTATAGATCACTGCATCAGGCTTCAAGTAAATAAATCCGGGAGGTGGCCCCGGGAATCCATATTCATTAAGAGCTCGCTTGCTTCCAAAAGTCTCCCTGCTCGGCACATGCCACTGACAGTGTCTGGAATCAAGCATTGATGAGGAATTTCATCAAAAAGTTGCTTGGCCTCATCTAACAGTTTGGCCTTACAATATCCATACATTAAGACATTATAACTAAAAAAGATCAGGTATACAAGCATTGCTTATCATCGCATCAAATAACTCTCTGGCCTCAACAACTTCGTTTCTCAAGCAGTATACAACCATTGCTTATCATCGCATCAAATACCTCTCTAGCCTCAACAACCCTTCTCAAGCAGTATCCATCCATCAATAAATTGTAAATAACAACATTAGGCTTCACACCATTTTAGTCATCATTTTTAAAATACCTTGAGCCTCTAAACCTTACCCTTTAGTCTCAACCACTTCCCTCAAGCTTCACATCATTTTAGTCATCATTTTTAACAAACGTTGAGCCTCTGAAACCTTACGTCTCAACAACTTCCCTCAAGCTTCACACCATTTCAGTCATCGTTTTTAAGATACCTCAAGCCTCCGAAACCTTGCCTTCTTTACATCTAATTCAACGCCTTTATCATTTAATAATTAAGACCTTATAACTAAAAAGATCAGGCATACAAGCATTGCTTATCATCGCATCAAATACCTCTCTAACCTCAACAACTTCCCTTCTCAAACAGTATCCATCCATCAATGAATTGTCAATAACAACATTAGGCTCCACACGTATCATTTTTAAAATACCTCGAGCCTCTGAACCTTATCCTCTAGTCTCAACAACTTCCCTTTTCAAGCACTATCCACCCATTAATAAATGAATTGTAAGTAACAACATAAGCCTCCACACCATTTCAGTCATCGTTTTTAAAATGCCTCGAGTCTTTGAAACCTTGCCTTCTTTACATCTGGTCCAATGCTTTTATAATTTAATGATTTTGGCCAAGACAGAGAACCCAAAATCACACGATGTAAGTGGCAGAAGCCGTTGATATTACGAAAGATTCTAGGATATCAGAGTTCGTAATGCTTCATTCTAACAATAGCAGACAATAATTTACTGAATTCGATAATAGAAGGCCGAAGGTTCCTACAAAGCATGCGATTAAAGGACGAAAGGCATCATTAACGTTTGTAAAAGAAGAATTCTTGTGTGTACAGCTAGTGGTAGAAGAAGAATAACTGGAAATAGAGTTGGAGTGGTTGCTAGACAATAGTGATGAAGTTGTTAGATATAGAATCATACCCATTATTTTCATTTCCTTTGAAATGGAACCCTATAAAAGGGGCTGCTGAACTTCCTTTAGGTGCCCCCATCTTCATCGATCTTTCTGTGTCGACCAGAAGCTCTTGTGTTTTCTGATCTCGTTTTTCCTGTTGTGAAAAATGACCTAATCACACGCATCCTTCAAATTTTGATTTTATTTACGGATAAGTTATGGGCTAAAGTCGGTAAAGGCTTATTTCAACTTGACAGCGTCTCTGGGCCCATTTCTGTGATCCAAAATCTTTCATCGACTTTATTATTTTTAAATGAACTTTTACATTTTTTTTATTGAATTTTATTAGCTTAAATTCTTGCATGGCGACGATTATTTCACTGTTATCATTCCATCCTATCATAGTCCATGCAGGGGAGATTGTGATTGCATTCCTCGAATTCTTAGATACTTACATTATATATAATTTAAGGTGATTTCTATGCTTATTGGGACTGTAAAACAACCATGTCTTGTCTCTGTTTCAGAAACCATACACATAAGTGTTTTCGAGTGTCTTATATATTTAGCCTTTTGACTCCTGCATAGCAGCTTCTGTGTGGTTGAGCCATCAAAACAAGTCTTATTTGAGGTTTCCTTTAGTCTACTGTTGCAGAGTAGGGAAGGAAAACTCAAAAATGCCCCAGGATCCTGCACAAGAAGACTAAACTCACGCACGCATTTCTTCAGTAGCTGCTCAGATGTGGAAAGAAGAGTCAAAAGTTCATGTATGGTGTTGAGAAACAAAGCATTTCAACCTTGTAACTTCCTTATAAACATAGTCGAATAAGAACCCATAAATTCGTTTGATTGACAGAGAAAATATAATACGGTACCTCTTAGTTTCTTAGGTCACTAAATTCAGTTTACATCGTTTGTTTGAAGATAATATAACTCAATGATACAATCAACCGTACAATAGTTACTAAGTATTCAACCTAACTATATTACAGAAATGCACATTTCTCTTTGATGATATGGGTACTACTACAGCAAACATGTCCCAAAAAAGGCTGTTGAATAAGAAATGTCTGGTTAAGCAACTTCTGGTTATTAGAGGTAATAATAGTAACAACTTCGGTGTGTGTCATCACTAAGCAGTGACTGGTTTAGTTGCAGCAGCTAATTTCTTTGCCCCTTTTCTTTTCAATATTTGGCACTTCTCAAGGAATGTGCTGCTTTTGAACCTTTAAAAATTTTACCTTCTTACTTCCTCTGTTCTGAGTTTTGTTAGTTCCACAAATTTGCTGCTTTTCCACTTAAAAGCTTGTTTATACTCTTCATTCTTCAGCCTTGTTGATGATCGCATCAGTTTCGTCATCTCCTTCTATCTTTTCTCCTTGTTCTCTCAACGAATGGCATTTTGCCTGCAGAAATTGTACCTGAAATGTTTATCGGTAAATGGAGTATTATGAAAGATGCCCACAATCTACAGATTTGACCCTCAATTTACAGCCTACACAAGAACACAATTCCCAAAAACCTACCATTTCTAGACTCTGGTGAAACTATAGCAAAGGCATCACAAAAGAATTCACATGAGAGAAACTTGTTTGTGGTATTTCGGGTTAAGTCCATGACCTGTCAAACTTGTAATGCAGCTGCCAATTAATACTAGAGATCAATTAAGACAAACTGAGAACACCTTGCTGCTGCCTAAAACATATTGGTACTTATCTGCTTCGATTAATTACTACAACCATTTGCTAAAAACACCACATTAGTGACCTCAAGTTTCATCAGGCACCAAACCATCAGCCAATAAAAATTAGATCAAAATTTATCTGCCATATTCAACTTGCGCATTTGCTATATCATTATCATCAAACAATTGTGAGTTTCAATTGTTAAAACACAAAAAAAAACAACCCTTTTACTGAAAATATATACAATACATATTCAACCAAGAAAACATATATAACCCAATTCCAGAAACAGAGCAAAAGATCCAAAAGGCAACAAACCAATCAAAACTCGCCAGTGCTGCTTGCGCATTCATTTGTTTTTCATTTGCAGAATTGGGGGTAGCATCCACCTGCATCCAGAATGGCACAGTAATTGAAAACCTTGTAATTTCGATGGTACTTAAATGATGTGAAATGTTTGCTTGAAGACATTAGTTTTTAAAACAACCCAAGATAACAAATTTTTTTACACAAGTTTAATCACAAATGAAAAAATTGAATAGCTTTAATCACTTAACTCTATTCCAAACATATGCATAGACAAGCATAAACGCATTTGCACAAAAATATGTGCAACAAAACTAGTGACCAAGAAAGCTGATCAATATGTATTATTATCGGTATTGGTCACAAAATACCAACTTGCCTCCTTTCTTACACAACCCTTGCTCACCAACTGAATTAACTACCTTCCCATAACCATACCTTAAAGGCATCCTACCCAAAACCTTGTGAAACTCCCTTATACAATCCCCTCTCCTCTTCCTGTGCTCTGTTCTCCTACTACTCAACCCCACCTCTCTTACCCTACTCTCCCCATCATCTTTCAATCCCATCCCTCCATCCCTATCATTCCTTGCGTCTCCCCAATCCCTCACCCTCTCGGCCCCCACCAAGATGGGCCCAGCATTTACCTCATCAGCCACCACAAAATTCATCAAAATATCCTCACAATTCATCATCTCATCAACTGTCTTCCTCATCTCACTCATCTGGGCTCCACCTCCACAGCTATACTTCCACAAATACTCACTTCTCAAAATCATAAACTTCGTAAGCACTATAGAGTACTTGTCACCATGGACAGTATAAATCCACTGCTTTGCCCCCAAATCCATATCATGGGACCTCACGAATAGCCCAATCAAACGGTCAGGATTCGACCTCCAAACCTTGAAAGCAAACTCAAAAGACTTAGCATCAACCTCCACGTCATCATCGCAGATCAAAACTGCGGTGGTCCCGATTGAAAGCCTAGGAAGGAAACGGGCATTTAAGCTGTTTGATGGCTGGCGGATGAGAGAGATGGGAGCTGGACCAAAGGAGGAGAGGGAGAGATTGTGGGCCAAGTGAGCCAGCGTTTGAGCTGACGTGGAAGGGTTTCCCCAGAGAACGAGCACAGATGATACCAGTGGGGAAGAGGTGTAGGTGGAGGCAAGTGATTGTAGCAGAGGGATTCGGGACTCAGAGTAGCCGTTGATCAGAACGGTGATTTGATCTGATCGGAGAGTTTGTGGGTCCCTCTGGTTTCTGCGGTCACATGGATTTGAAGAAGAGAGAGATATCAAAGCCAGAGGCAATAAAATCGATAAAAAGGCAAGAGAGGGATTCTTCTTCATCTGGTGAGAGCTAGGTGGTTACTGACTCACTGGCTTACGCAAACAATAAGATGCGAGTTACAGAGAAGGTGGCAGTTTTTGTAATTAGAAGAATCTGGAGAGGGTATTTTAGTGATGAACGACAGTGGTGGCAATTTTCCTTTTTCTGTTCCGGATAAACTATATCTTAGCTCCTATAAATTCATAGACGTTCCATTTCGTGTCCTTTTCTGAAAATGTTGCAAAATTATCCTTATATCTATTAAACTGGTAAGTTCAACAGTACGAGACTCATGTGACAAGGGTGACATGTCACTTGGAAATCCCGATTAGATTTTGATGATATATATATATATATATATATTCCAGTAATTATATTTTAAAATTTTATTTTCTAATAAAAAACTAAAGTGTACTCTTTTTATGTTAATCGATTAATAAAATTTTATGAAAGTTTTTTATCCTCTGAATTTTATTAAAATATTTATAGAATATTTCTATTGCTTTTCCAAAAAGGCAAAAAAAGAAAAAGAAAAATGTTTTTTTAAAAAAATTATTAGTTCTTCCATGGTTAAGGTTAAATCTTAATTTAACAAAAAAAAAAAAAAAGTGACGTCGGCAAACTATAGGGTTGACATAAGAATTGTTTTAAAAAAGGAACTGAAGTGAAAGATTATGGAACATTAAGGACTAACATTAAATTTACCCTTTCGTTTATCTCTGTCCGGTGATAACGAGAAGAATGTGTGGAGACGGAGAATTCTGAGACGAAGAAAGAAAAACGGAAATGTTAACAGTAACTGTAGCTCCCGCGAAAATCAGTTACTTGAGGTCGTTTCCATTATGCACATCGACGACGACGATGATGGCACGTCGTTTCTTGAAGCCTGTAAACTGCACTACTCCTCTCCAGTGGCAAGTCCAAGCAGAACAGCAACAGCCGCAGGTGTTTGTGTTTGTGTTTTTTATTGATGTTCTGTTAAATAATATCCACTAACTTACTTAGTTCGTTATAATCTTACGTTGGTGCAGTTGTTATGAAGGTTAATTCAGGAATAATGTGTGAACCTTGTAATGGAAAAGGATGGCTGCTTTGTGATTTCTGTAAAGGGGTAAAAACTAATGTTCAAGCTGATAACAAGAGAATTTACCGTCGTTGCCCTTCTTGCAGAGCTGTATGTAATCCCTTTTCATGGAATTTGAATTGGATTGGATTATGAATGTTAAGTGTGCTTGATTTTTGAGATTAAAAAAAAATAATATTTGGTCTGCAGATTGGATATGTGATGTGTTCAAAGTGCAAAGTTTTCAAATGTGTTACTTTCCCAAATTATAATGATGGTGAAGACCTTTCGTTTTGAGCCTAGCTACCATGATAGCAAATTCAAGAGAGGAACATCATGATTCAACTAGTTATTGCCACAGCAACACTTTGACTGTTTTGAGGAGCTTATGATCTTCATCAGGTTCCTGTCTTCTCCTTCTGTATGTTTTTTCATTTCCTCTCAGAAGACTTTCGCTGAGAGGCTACTTTGTAATGTTCATATCCAGAGTAATGCGATTGGTTGATTGAAGGGAGCAATGGTTTCTTTAGAACTGTGGACTCTGGTGTTAATTTATAGTTGGATAGCTTTTCCTCTTTTCAAGAAAAAGGGCCGTCGATTACTGGAATGGCCAAGCTCATTCATTGTTTCTGTTTGTGAGGGCTCCATAGATTCGTGAATGTGGATAGATATCCCAGCCATCACTGGGATAGAGGACTTATTTTGGATACTGTATTCAGAATCTTCCATGAAAATAATGGTTGCTAATATAATTTTAATTTAAGAATTGAAGCTAGTCGTGCATTTGGAATTGACATCTAATGTTCTCTCTCAAAGATTGTATGCTGGAAAATGCTGATTACATCTTTCCTTTTCCGCTCAGTATCTTAATTAAGATTGTTCATGATTTAGTTGAACAACTGGATGTGAAGATTGTTTGCTGTCTTTTTACGTTACTCAATGCAAATGTATAAAGATCGTCCAAGGTAATTGAGAACAAGCTGGTATGAATTACTGCAACCATGAGGAATGCTTTGATTCTTCTCTAACCTTAAGGGAACCTAAAATGTGTAGGTCAGCAGGGGGTCTGCTGACATGGTTAACTTCATATTCCTTGCAGAACCTTAAAGAAAACGAGCTCTGCAATGTCACTGTTTTGTTGACACTGCCATGCTTGAACTGCTTGGTTTTTTCCTTCTACACTGAAATTATATGTTGATTAATCCTTTGTTGGCATTCAGATGTGATGGATCTCTGTTACACAATGGTTCTTCGTTTCTTTCTATCCTGTTTCTATTTACATCACATGTTAAAATCATTGTTGATGCATGAGTCTCTTATGCTAGGAACATGATTCTCTTTGTTACTACATTAAGTGTCATGCTAAGCCATGTCAATCAACTCATTAATTCTTCTTCTCTGTACTTCTGCTAATATATTAATCAACTCATACCCTTAGAACTGTCTCTAGAGAACCACAAAAAGGCAGGTTCTTTCAAGTCTTATTCTCGAGTATTGTTTTCCTGTTAAAATTAAAGAAGAATTAGATGTGTGCTTACCGTGACGAATTAGGCTAATCGTACTTTTTGGGCTGTTAAATTATTAAACATGATGACCTTCAGTGAGTGTCATGTGGGACTCCTCTTTTATTGGATCTTAGACTGGCCTTGTTACTTGAGCTCATGTGTTTGTAAACACATCATGAGTGAACAACTCCTCTATTTTTTTGAAATTTAAATAGGGTTTGATGCATCACTTATCACTATGATCATGTGCTTGTACTTGAAGCATGAAATAAATGGGTGCATGTGGATTCAGTGAAAAGGGGCGGGGATTTCTGTATTATATTTTTCAGTTTAACTTGACTTGGTGCAAATTGTTCTAGTTTACTGTTATAATCCATTGTGACATCTTTGCAAGAAATATTTCTGTAGTCAAACGCATAGGATACTGTGCTTGCTAATGGTAAATGGCAAGTTTTGACTGACCAAGAACAATGGCTCGCATATCATGCAATTCCATTTAAATTATTGACATTAGGGACTTCTATGCTCTGAAATTCCACAGTTACGTATTTGCCGTACTCGTCACGGATCCTACTTATGTCTTACTAGCATATTTCCCGAATTTCTGCACAAATTTTCGTGACATGTGATTAAACAGTTACTTTTTTCTCACTAATGCCTCACATACTGGTGATGTTTTCAAGTGTTGGGTTGTGTCATGAATTCTAGTTGGTATTTGGTCAATTACAGATGCTGGTGGTTTGAACTTTGAAACTCTTTGGAGTTGTCAGTGGTACTGACATAGTGGGGTGTAACCATTTCCAAGGGGTTAACTGCTTAGGGCATTTGGATCTATTATTCTATGGGCAGAAGATTATAGAAAGGGGTTTTTGGTTATGAACTTGCTGGATTCAATTCTCATGCCCTTCCTTGCCACAACCACCTTAACAACAACAAGAACAGGCACAAGCACAGCAATAATAACAGATGCAACAAATGCTTTTAAGGTCAAGAACATAAATTCAAAGTTCTTTCTGTTCTTTCATTGATCTCAAATTGTTCTCTTACAAGTCAAAATAACTTATTAAACTCACTAGATCTCTCTTGCATGACATCATCCAACTAAAAGAAAAACGTGAAACGAGGTTAAGAAAAAAGGCAGTAACAAAAAGTTAAAAAAAAAAAACACTATCTGCACATTGGACTTTGAGGATGGTGAGATGGAGTTTGCTGGCTTTTCAACGAGCAATACGCCACGATATCATCCACATCAAACCTGCATTCCTGCATGAAGAACAGGTCTTGCTTTTCCTCCACCACTTTCAAGATACTCTCAAAGACCGCTACTTCACAAGGAATCCTTAAGACGCCTGCCTGTTGGAACCCGAATTCTTCTTCTGCTTCTCTTAATAAGATGAGAAATGCAGGGTGGCTCAAATACTCCGTTGGGATTATGAATCTCTTTTGTTCTTCTCCGACGCCAACGGCCAGGTAGCCCTTTGGGACGACATTGCTTGAGGTTTCCTTTGCAGAGCTCTCTGATATAGAGAGTGTTCTCTTGAGAAACTTTATGCTCTTGCTGCTGCTGCTGGTGGTGGTGGTAGTTGTGGTGGTCTTTGATGAACTTGCAAGCTTCCTCCACTTCTTCAGGATCTGCTGAAGCCTAACAATGTCTCTAATCTTGTTAGACTTCTTGGAATCCATAGTTTCTTTTCCTGAAGCAGGAGGGTCTGTTAGCTAGCCTTTTTTCAGGACAGCTTGCTCTGTCTAACCTCAGAGGGGGCTTTCAACTTATAAACGAGTTGAGGGCCTTAGCCCTCTGGAATTCTGAACTTTATTTTAATTGATTTTTATTTTCAAACAACCAGGGGAGAACCCATTAAAGAAATTAAAAGGTTGGTTGTGTAAGGTGGGGTTCTGGTACTATAGTACTTTTGAAGTAGCTAGGGTTTTTTTTTTTTTCCTCTTGATTTCATGTCTTTCTCAATGGGATTTATGTATTTAAATGAGCAAAGACCTGGACTGAGATGATGCTCGCAGGAATTAAAAAATGGTTAATCTTCTGAGGTCTCTTCTGGTTAAAACCAGAGATTTCTGCGACTTCTTTAGTTTCCAAAGCAAACTACCCCAACAGTCAAGGGACCTCGTACGATTCAACTGTACTGTTCTATCTAACTTTGCTTTTCTTTGATGATCATGTGAATAAGGTATTTAGAACTTCAAGAGAAGCCCATGTGAAGGTGATCCTTAATTTAATCCCAGAAAGATGGTTGCTCCTGCTATGAATTGTCAGAATTGAGCAACTTGGTAGTAGTAGCCTTCCACATTGAGGCCATGCTATTAATGCCTACTTAAGATCGTATGGTAAAAAATAAATAAATAAATAAATCTCGATTGATATACAAGTTAGATCGAGAATGTCATTAATTCTAATAATAATAATAATAATAAATATATGTTTGATGCATTTCACCGATCTATGCATTTCATCAATTGTCTAATGTATTATTTTGTCAAAATTTTCAAGTTAAGCTATTAGAAATAGTCATATGATTTATACATTAAAACTTTCTATTTGATTGGCTCGCAAAGATATTTTGAGAATAAAAATTAATTATGTATAAATTACGTGACTAATTTTGTTTATTTAGCTTGAAAAATCTTTACATAATAATAGATTAAAAACTTAACATATATTTAAAAATAAAGTTAACTCAAATAAAAATATAAAGACAGATTAAATAATTACTTTATTATATAAATATAGTTTTACCTATTAACTTATTTTAGTCATTTAAATTCTCTTCTTACACTCCATTTCAATGGCAATAGTATTTGTAGTAAGGATATCAAAATTACCGTTTCAGTTCAAAATCTCGTAAGAAAATGTATCTTAATTAAAAAAATTAAATTTTTGAAAAGTAAAAATTCTTATAAATTTCATATTTTTTTTTTTACAAATAATTTATTTTTAATTAGATCGAAGTGATAAATTTTTTTTTATTTTATACAAAAGAGGTTAAAATATAATATTATTTTAATGATTCTTGAGATTTGCTTCTTCTTCTTTTTTTCTTGAAAAAATTTAAGATCAACATCAAAGATGAATTTTTAAAATCTTCAATAAAACAACTAAATATCAATTAACATACAATTTGATTATAAATATATCTCTTATCATAGAAAAAATAAAGAAGGAAAAAAAAACCCTAAAATAAGATATAATATGTTTTGATAAGTTAATTGGAATCTCGTTGGCACGTGTCGAGAAGAGGAAATCTGACATCATTAGAAGGATAATGTGGCGGTGGGGCACATGTGAAGTGTAGACAATTGCATAATAATTAATTTATTTTAGGGTCAACTAATTAATTTCTTTACAATTAATACTTTCAATTTCCAATTAATTTAATAAAATTGTTAGGTTTCCTAATGATTAATTGGTGTGGTTCTAATCTAATATCAAATCAAATATTTCCGTAGAATTGGTACTGTAGGTACATTCTGACAATTATATTAAAATGAAAAAATAAATAAATAATAGGCATTTTTTTAATATTATTTTTTCCTATGGGTGGAATCATGGAAAAAGCTTTGAATTATTGAGACAGCAAAGAGATGGAAACTAAATACATAGGGTAATTAGCTGTCTAATTGATAGATTATGCGTCCTTAATGAGTATTGAAATCCATAGTTGGGTTTCGATTATTCCTTCTTACAACTAACTTTTTCTTCTTCTTCTTCTTTTAATTTTATATTTGAATTTATTTTTTTCAACAAAATTAATGATTGGCTTATAGGATTTAGGGTTGTTTATGTTCTAATCTTTGTTTGGTGTGGATAAGAATTTGCTTTGACATATTACCTTAGTAGGATTTGATTCTCGTCATTGCCACCATAATAGTTTATTTGTTGAAATTTTGATCTATTATTAAACATGAATATTTGGATAATTTATCACATTTTGGGAATAACTTTTGTACTTTAAAATTAAGTTTTTTCCTGATAGAGTTTAAATATAAGTCTCTTCATAAATTTAATCTGGTTGATAAGTGGATTTCTTCTCTACGTTATCATTCGAGATTAGAATTTTAAGAAAATAAAATAAAACAAAATTTCTTATAAATATCTATCTAGCTTAGAAGAATCATGAAGAATCAAATTAGAATTTTAAGAAAATATGAAAAAAAAAAAGAAAAACAAAATTTCTTATAAATATGTATCTAGATATAAGTAACTAGCTTAGGAGAATCAAGAAAAAACTTACTTTCAGTCTGTAAGATATCTTTGTTGTTAAAACTTTAAAAGATTTTAGTGAGATCCTAAAATATAATTTATATTATTTTTTAACATATCATTTCAAATAAAAATTCTTTGCACAAGCCTATAGTATGATTTGAATTTTTGATTGTTAGATTAATAAAGTTCTGATTAAAAGATTATCTCAATTCAAACGATGAAGCGAAATTCTTATAGTATAATTTATATTATTTTTTAACAGTTGTTAAGCTTCGAGTCACTGACTTCCCATTGGCAGAAGATGAAACACCTTAGTCTGGCTTGGGCAATGGAATCAATCTCCTTTGGACTTTGGATTGATGGGAATGAAGCAGGAACATTAGCCCATGTCTTGGCAGCCTTAGCAAGGCTGGCCTTGGGAAACTTTATAGTGAAGGCCTAATCATTTGCGCCATAGTGTATTAGAAACATAATTTCTTCTTCTCTCAATAAGCCATTTAAGAGGGAGTTCGATATTAATGGATTAACATTGCCTGATTTCCTCCCTTTAACTACGTTTGTTTGGTATTTAATTTTTCAGAGGGTGGGAGGAACAATTAAAGGTTTAATGCTCAACCACCAAAAAACGGAGGGTAGGGTAACAAAGTGTTAAGATCAATTAGCCGATTAATGAATGGATGAGTGGTAGAAATAGTCAAATAGAGAGGCATCCATTTTTTTCTTCTTACTTTTTTATGAATATTATGTTTCTTTAACCAATCGTTCTAAAGGTTAGTGGGCAAAACATGCAAATTAATAAGTCGGTAAGATTATTTGAATTAATAGTATCCAAGCACTATAAACAAGTAAAATTATTTTATGATTATAAATAATGTAATGGCTCTATAATTTTTTTTTTTTTTTTTTTTTTGGTACCCTTCAGGCAAGCAAGCAGAGAGTTGGTGCATTATATAGACACTAATGGCCTAATGTGTTTCCATTAATGACAAGGGAACATTTGTATGCTTTCATGTTCTATAAAGAACCAATTACAACTCTTTGTCCTTTGACGCATGCTCCCTTAATTAACTTTCGCACATATGAGGACCTAATAAATGGACTTACGTGGATCTCCATGTATATACCCTACGAATACAAAGGACTGTCCACCGCCCACTAATTTAAGGTACGTAACCTTTTCCTTATTATTATTGTTATTCCATGCTGCTGAGATTATTTCTTGTAATCAATCCACCATTTCTACTCTAGTTTCTGTTACTATTATGAAAAAAAGGGAGCAGCTTATCGGTTGAAGTTTTATTTCGATAGGATGGTTTGTGACTAATATGAATAGTTCGGGAGGAGTGCTTCGTGACTCCTCAGATATTTGGCTGCGTAGTCTGCTTGTAATATTGGCATCTACTTAGTTTTGAATGCAGAATTTTGAAGATTTTGATTGGTTTTGAACTAACTTGGGATAGAAAAATATAACTTGAGGTTGATTCTGAATTAGTCATTAATCTGTTAATCAAGAATGATCCATTGCCATTTTTTCATGCCTAGCTAGTTCAGGCTATAATTCTGTTGCTGCAACGTTTTTAGAATATTCGTTTTTGTCACATCTATGTAAAAGAAATAAGTGTACGGATTGACTGGCGAATTATAATCATTTGTTAGAGATTGGTATTCAATATCTCTTAGAAGCTCCTACTAGCAAGCATAAGACTGCTTTTAGATGATATTTTGTAGGATTGTTTTTCCTAAAATAATTCATTTGTAACTTCAAGAACTTTGCCCTCCTAAAAAAAACAAAAAATTCTTGAAATTTGATCTATATTGAGTTCAAATAAATTAACATGCATGCATGTAACTAGTCTGGTGTAATTATCCATCAAAATGAGATTCGAAAAATCGATTGATAGTCTACAAAGACCAAGAAATAAGGATTTTTGCATATTTAGATTTGAAATATGATTTCACAAATTTTTATCTTATCCTTCAACCAATAAGTATCCTTATGGATTAAACAAGTTAATGTGTATGGTAATCGTTGGAAATTATTTTTCTTATCCCACACACTACAAGAAAATTAGAAAATAACGACTATTTTTTTCGTCATTATATTATCCATATCCGTCGCTATTTAGACTCGAGCAACGATTTGTGATAATATACTTGCGATAACAAATATGGTTGTCGCTATTTTCTTAACAATGGTTAAACCATCGCTAATGTGTAGACTTTTCGTCACTAAATCGAAGTAAACATCCGTCTCTCCGATCCGTTATCCGTTACAAAATCGTCGCTAATTGGTCGTCGTTAAATAGCGACGTAATTGTCGTCGTTAAATCGTACTCTTTAAATTTTCTTGCAAATCCATTGCTAAATCGTCAATTAAAGATGTAAATTAATTAATCAATTAAATCTAAACCAAATTAACCTAACTAATTCTAATTCAAACCTAATTAATTTTAAACCTAAATCAAAATAATCCTAATTCAAACCTAATTAAATTTAACTAATAATTAATTAATAATTTCCAATACAAATAAAATTAAAAATCAACTAATTAATCAAAATTAACCTAATTAATTAATTAAAACTAAATCAAACTAATAATTAATTAACAAATTAAGCTAACAATTAACAAAAAAATAACAATTACATTTAACAAATTAATCAACACCTAATTAATTAATTAAACCTAAATCAAACTAACAATTAATTAACAAATTAACCTAACAATTAACAAAAAAAATAACAAATTAATCAACAAACTAACAATTAAAACTATACAAAATTATAAATCAACCAATTAAATTTAAAATTAACCTTATGATTATGAAAATAACTAACTTTTAAAGAACAAAAGAGAGAGATAGAACTTACCTAATTCGAACAAAGAAGAGATTGAGAGAAAGGAAGGAAAAATGGGATTTTTAGGAAAAAAAGAGTTTGGAGTGGGTGTGGATTGATGGGAACTGGAGAAGTGCGGTTTTCGAAGGTTTTGGGCGGGGGAAGAATCGGCGGCTAGAGGAGGAGAAGGAAAAAAAGAAAATGGGGTAAGAAGAAAAGGAAAGAGGGATTCGGACTTACGACGGACGCAATTTTGTCACTCTGGTCGATCGTTATTTAGCGATTGACGTAAGTGTCCGTCGCTAATTTATTGTTAAATGGGTGAATTTTTAACTCCGGAAGACTACCCGTATTTTTAGAACCAACAACGAAAATATTTCCATCATTGATTTGTCGCTATTTAGGGACAAAAATTTAATATCCATCACTATTCATCGTTAAATATGAGGTTTTTTTTATTTCAAAAGGTTGCCTATTTTTTTAGATTTAGCGAGAAATTTCATGTTTTAGCGATAAAATATCCGTCTCTAAAGCTAAACATTAAAAAGTAGTGATAGAATAATATCCCGTCACCGATTTTCGTAATCATTCCGTCGCTAAACCTTTGCTAAAACATCCAAAAAGATTTTAACACCTCAAATAGCGATGAAATTTCATCCATCGTTGATAAACCGTCGCTAAACCATCTTTATTCCGTCTCTAAATCTTATCGTCACTATTTGATCGTTATTTAGCGATGAATTTATATCCGTCGCTATTTTTCAGTTTTCTCTTACATTGACATTATATATATATATATATATATATATGTTGGGTAACAAAGTGGTAAGACCAATTAGCCGATTAATGAATGGATGACTCGTAGAAATAGAGAGGCATCCATTTTTTTCTTTTTCTTTTTTAATATTATGTTTCTTTAACCAATTGTTTTAAAGGATAGTGGGCAAAACATGTAATTAAGTTGGTAAGATTAAGATATATCGATTAAAAAGACCCTCTTGAGATATCATCACAATTTGAATTTTGGGAACTTGATTATCCTAGCTACTTATCTGTGTGGATAAAATGATAGATTAATTAATAGCATCCAAGCACTACATAGAAACAAGTACAATTGTTTGTTTAATGATTATTACAACTAATGTCATGGCTCTATAATTTTTTTTCGTACCCTTTAGGCAAGCATGAAGATTGTTGGTGCATTATATCGACACTAATGGCTTTACTTGCGTATTTCCATCAATGACAAGGGAACATTTATGTGCTTTCAAATCAAGAACTAATGACTACTCTGTTATCTGACTGACGTATGCGCCCATAACTTTTGCACATATGTCGACCTAATAAAATGGACTTATTTGTGGATCTCCATTTATATACCCAATAAATACTAAGGATCGGGGACCGCTAGGGGTGGTAATATGCCGGATACTTACCATTAACTAAATTTTTTATCCTACTCACTAAAAAATACTATATCTATTATCTTATCTATTATTTATTAAAAATCATTTACTTATTTTTTTACTCTGTCTATATCCATTATATCATACTATGCTCATACTCGTCTATACCTATTTAGCCTCTAATTGTTTTTTTTTCTTTTACTCAATTTTTTTAACTGAAATAATAAAGTTAATTAATATGAAGTAGTTGTTAAAGTTAATTAAGATTTACGAGTTGGACTATCTTACAAACCATTATTCAATTTATTTTTTATTTTTTATACAAAGTTTTTTTTCTTAATTGAGAAAGATAAAAAAAAACATCCAATGGATTTTTTCGAGCCATTAACTCTTATTTTTCTTATAAATCCAAAAGGGCATCACAACAATTAAACTTGAAAATTTCTCCAAGACGTTCTGCTGAACCAAAATAAATCCAAAAGCTTTTGCATATGGGAGAAAAAATACTAGAGCACACTTGAGATTGAAAAATGAAGCAAAACAACAAACAAGACTCTTTGACTTTTTTGGTATGTTTCATGACCACGGATCATTTGGAAGGAAATAAATTACATAATAACATCACTTTATTTATTATTATTTATGTATAATTAATTAAGTAATCGAAGATATGAACAACCGGATGTAGATAATATCAAAAAATCTCAAGTACAACAATAATATTGTTGTGATAATAATGTCTAAAATCTAATAATTGAGTTGTGAATAAATATTATCCACGATAATGTTTAGATTGACTTGACCAATAAGAAAAAAAAGTAAGCTATTAATCCATATTAAGAGTAATATTAATAATGAGATTTGCGAAGAATAATTCATAAATTATAATTATAATAATAATAAAATAGAGAGATTCACTAGTCAAATTGCGTGTGTGATTGTTTGGATAAATGTTAAACTAAATGATAAATAATAATAATAATAATAATATCAACAAAACCGTAGTTAATTACATAAGTGCCTTAAAAATATTATTTTTTTAATATATAAATAATAATAATACTATCAATGAAACCATCTAAATGATTAATTACATACTTTTTCTCTCTCTTTTTTTGTTTATTTTAAAATTTTGTGTCTTAGTACTTTTTATATTAATAGGTAAAAGATGGGTATTAATAGGGTAACAAAAAGGTATCCATATTCATGAATAAATTATCCATTAACATAAATGAATAATATTATTTTATTCATATTTAGCCCATTAAGATATTTTAAAAGAATAATTAATAGACGGGCTGGGTAAGATATCTATTTTGTACCCTGCCAATAGCCATCATAGCCATCCCTAGCCACCTTCCACTAATTTTAAGGTATGTAACCTTTTACTTATTTTTTATTTTTTTTGCTTGAGATTCCATGCTGCTCATCAGATTATTTCTTGTAATCAATCCACCATTTATACTCTTGTTTCTATTACTATAAAGAAAAGGGAGCAGCTTATCGATTGAAATTTGTTTCGATTGGATGGTTTTGTGACTAATATGAATAGTTCGGCTTCAGCAAGAGGAGTGCTTTGTGACTCCTCATACGTTTGGCTGCATAGTTTTGCTTACAATATTGATATTTATTCAGTTTTGAATGCAAAATCTTGAAGATTTTGAACTACCTTGGAATGAACATTTTAGAAAAATAAAACTAGATGTTGATTTTAAATTAATCATTGATTTCTTAATAAAAAATGATTCATTGTCATCTTCTCATACCTAGCTAAGAATTATTTTTTATTATTTGCATAAGACTGTTTTTAGATGATATTTGTAGAATTATTTTTTCTAAAATAATTCATTTGTAACTTCAAGAACTTTGCCCTCCTAAAAAACAAAAATTCTTGAAATTTGATCTATATTGAGTTCACATAAATTAATAGGCATGGAACTACTTTGGTGTAATTGTCGATCAAAAAGAGATTGGAAAAATCGATTGATAGTCTACAAAGACGAAGAAATATGGAATTTTGCATATTATAAAATATTAGATTTGAAATATGATTTCACAAATTTTTATCTTATATATTCTTCAACCAATAAGTATCCTTGCGGATTAAACAAGTTAATGTGTATGCCAATCATTGTAAATTAATTTTCTTGTCCCACATAAGTTTTATATATATATATTTCTTGTCCCACACATATTAATTTGTAATGCTAAATATATAGATGGACAAAAACATTTAGTCACGTACTCATGACTGAACATGCAAGCAGATGATTTGGTCTGCTGCTTTATTAACATGAGATCAACATTAAATAAAGCAAATTAACATGAGATCAACATTAAATAAAACAAATTAAATGTGTACTGCTTGCTAATTAATTTTTTTCTTTACTTATATTGTTGTTTTTCTATCTCTTTTGACATTTTTTCAACGACATATTATGAAATCTTTAAAAGTTTTTCCTTCTCCACTACGGTCATGAATTGAATATAAGAATTCATTATATATATTACATCTAATCAATAATGGCTGGCATTTATATATTTTTATACATAAACTAAGCCAGCTTCCACGTCGACTGTGGAAACTAATGGCTAATGCTAGATGACATATGGTATTGGATTAGTGGATGGTGAAAGAGACTTAGCTGGGAGGATCAAAAATATATATAGTTTATGATCTAGATAGCTAGCTAGTGACAAATAATATTCAATGTTCAATATTCAGTGCTATATCATAAGCGAACTCCCCTATATATACATGACAACTCAAAGCATGCATGCTCTGTAGTCTGTAGATAGTGTATATTAAGTTATACAATTTAATTTGATAGTATATATTGTACTTTCTTGTATTTCTTCTTTTAATTATCTTTCTAAACTGTATAGATACATATTATTTTTTTTCGTAGTTGAGTCATGAATACCTTTTTTATCGATTCACTTACAACTATTGGTGCTGCATGCATGCTCTGTTGATGGTTTACAATTGTTTTTTTTCAACTTAAAAATAAAGAAATAAAAAGTGATAATTTTCATTGGGTTCCGCATATATCGAAATCTAATATAATTCAATTTTTTTTTATTGAAACTCTAAATTTTTTTCTCGTCCAATTTAAGAATTCTACTCTTATGTTATTATTGTTTCGGATCTTAACATGTTATGAAAGCACGTATATAAAGCTTTAGTTAATGATAACTTATTATGTTATCAACTCAATCATATAATTTAAGCTTATCATAAAATATGATAAGTTATACAGGATCTTGATATACATAAAATTCAATTCTCATTGCAAATCATTGAGAAATTAACAGAAGGAAGTAATACAATTGAACTTATTTTGTTTTATATGTATATATATATATTGAAATTGAATCTAGAACTATGAACTATGAAATCAATGTCTTTTCCATTTGAAGTAACGGTTGAACAATATGGTTATTAATATTATTTGTGAATCCAAGAGAATATTCAAAAGATTCCTGTCTGCAAAAATCTGGTCAGCAATTGCACAAGGAGCCAAAAGCAAATCCATAATAACGAATAAAAGGCGAAGGCTCTATTTTAATTGGAACACACTAACTTCACTGATTAATGGCTATCCAATCAATCGAAGGGTTGCCATTTAAGGTCTTGTCCCTTTGCTCATATATGGAGGAGTTTTATTTTGACCAAGAGGACATCTTTCAACTTCTCTACAGCAATTGCAATCAGCCACACACACGTACAATGATACACGATGATGCCTTTCCTATCTCATGAAACAAAAATATAAAAAGGCTACTCCACTTCTTCTATCTATTATGTTTAGTTAATTAATTAGTTGGATATCTACGTTACTTTGTGATCGAATCACCATTATATATATAAAGTTATCGGTTCATATGGTATAGTATAGATAAAAATTTTATTTCTCGTAATTAATATAAATCAAATTTATTTATTGAGCAAAATTATTTAATTTATATATATTTATTAACAAAATAATCAATAATATTAGTATAAATAATTATATTTGAATAATTGAAAGGTTCTTTTAAAATATTATTTTAATTATTTTATTTAAAAAATATTAATCATAGAACATAAAAAGAAATAAATAATAAATAATTGATATTATGTATGCAAATACATAATTAATTTTTAATATATATATATACTCGGTAGATTTAGAATATATAGTATAAATTTTTTTAAAAAAAAACCATATAAGCTATATGGGATATATTAAAATCAATAAATTGAAATAAAAACTATTACAAAATTGGTTTCCATAAATTCTTAATTTATGATAAAAGAGATTCTTGAATTGCAAACTAAATTATAAATTAGTTCATCTCATTTTGAGAAATGAATTAATTAATTCTTTTGGTTTCAAAAATAAATTATTTAATTTTTAATCAATATTGATCACGAATAATTTATTTTATAAAATGTCTTTTTTTCATATTTTACTCTTTTTTTTTCTAAGATCATTTTTTTAATCTTTCAATTTACCATTTTCTTAATTCTACATTGTGGTCCAAAAAAAGTAAAAAGAAATGAGGTCTCTAGTTACCACTTTTATAAATCATTGAAATTTATTTGCACCTCTCTCTTTCCAATTCCTTATCTCAAAAATCATCTCTACCTCCCTCTCGCTACATTTATTTTTATTTTTCTCCTTTCTTTTTTATTGACATTAATCTATATAATTACCCGAAAACGAATACGGATCACTAAAATAGCCTAACATAGGATTTCATAGTCTCTTTATACAATACTAAGATACTTTTGATTGGATGATATAATTTTCTTCAAAAAATAAAATGTCTTTCTTCATATTTTACTTTTTTTTTTCTATTTCTTAAAACAAAAAATAAAAATAGTAATATGGTAAAAAGGACAAAAAAAATTAGTTTTCAAACCAAAGGGACTAATTAATTTATTTCTCAAAGAATTAGTTTTTTTGTTTTTTTTTCTATGTCTTAAAACAAAAAATAAAAATAGTAAAATGGTAAAAAGGATAAAAAAATATTTTTCAAAGCAAATGAACTAATTAATTTATTTCTCAAAGAAAAAGGGACCAATGAGCAACAAAAAAATGTATAAATAAGGACATTGGGTGAGAAGCTACAATAAGTGAATAGTCTCACCTTCACTTCTTTTAGTTTTTTTTTTTTTAATCTTTCCTATTTTTCTATCTAACCATTAATATTGCTTAAAAGTTTCTATCCTATACCTATACCTTTACATTTATCTCATAAGAAAAAACAACACAATTGACAATACAAAAATTATAATACATTAATTAGTTGGTGGAATCCATTGAAAACTTTCACATTTATCACGTGATTAGATGGATCATAATTTTTCTTCTAGTTAATTTATATATTGCGTGGTTGTTTGTATTACGTTATAGATTGGACAGAATGTGTGAAATTATTTGAAAAAATTATTATATTTTAATGGTTCTCGTCATCTTATAGATCAACTAAAATACATCGAAATCAAATGCAAAAAAAAAATAAAGTTAATCATTTTTCATAAGATTGCATTGAAAAATAAAGCAATAGATAATGTAAAAAAGATTGCATAAAAATTAAAAAAAAATGTCAAAATAATTTTTTATCCTTATTGAATATTGATGAAAATATTAATTTTTTAAAAATATGTATATTAGGTTTATATATATTCCCAAATAATTAATAATATTACTATTAAAAAATTATGGTACCATCGGGTTTTTTTAAATAGAATTTTATTATTTTATTTAAGGAAAATTGATTTTAAAATATTCAAATTTTAAAAATAGTAAATAGATGCATAGTCAAATTTCAATTAAAAAAATTAATTTCGATAAATTTTGATCATATAAAAAAAAACTAAATAAAACACATGGATTTATCTTTTTCCTTTTTAACTAACATATATTTTTGTTTCTAAGCCATAAATGCTTGGTCCATGTATATAGGCTTCACACATATAATACTCAATTCTCTCTCTCTTTTTTTACTTGTTAGTTGTAATTATTACTTAAAAACTCAAAATATTCTCACTCAAAAATTCAAATTAAATTCAAAAAATCAATTGAATATTTTGGGGTATCAATCTCTTTCCTTTAACTCTTTTATGAATTGGGACCACCATAAACAAATTCACATGTTCAAAGTGAACAAATTGAAAGTAAGATAGACAATCAAAATGATCAAAATAAGCTTCGTCATCGCATTCTCTCTCTTCGTTTCTCTTTCCATTTATGGACCAAACCATGATATAAAATCAAACCGCAAAAATGAAACAAAAATTTTAGAAAAAAATTAGGAATTAAAGTGCAATATTTGTTAAAACTTTATATCAAATGTTTGAACAAAAATAAAACAAAAATTTTAGAAAAAAAATAAAGGACTAAAGTGCAATATTTGTTAAAATGCCTAAACAAAGACTCAAACAAAAATTTTAGAAAAAATTAGAGACTAAAATACCGTAACGCCCCCGCCCTGACCATAATTCTACTACCCAAGTAAGGTATCGGACGAAGCGCGTTACGCCGATATACCCTAAACTCTAAGTAGTTTTCTTATGATATTCTTAGGACTTTAACAAGTACATTACGTATATAACTCCTTAAGATAAAATTTACATAACATAATTAAATACATTAATAAAACATTACGAGCAATATTCAATTTCTCACGAACTCCATACCCCAAATTTACGTACAAAATAAAAACTAATATATGGTGTCTCACATGAGCCGGTTAGGAGGAGCCACCGCATCCGTACCAACTTGTCCTTTTTCCGTCACAACATAAAAATAACAACGAGGTGAGCCGAAGCTCGGCAAGTAGGGTGATGCACGTGATATGCAATGTTGTTTTGACTTCCCATCATACTCATAAATTTTAATCTCGGGTACCCTCGGTATTAGCCGATCCGCTCTATGTATCATTCGGGTGGTCCGCGGATCACCTTCTGCTACAACGGAATTATCCCTCGTTGTAACTACCGTTAGCGGAAATCCATCGTCTAACGAGTGCAAGCACATAGCTTGATTTCATCCAGATGATCCTCGGATCATCTTCTCGCTACAACGAAATTATCCCTCGTTGTAACTACTATTAGCGGGAATCCATCGTCTAATAGTGCAGGCACACGACCTAGAGTATTGGACTACTAATACCCATTTATTCCATTTAGGTTATCAAACCTAAATGTATAAACCATTTCTCAATCAATTGACTTGTCTTAAACCACCCACTATGCACATGATGCACGTGATGACATATTTAATCACATTCAACCAAATTCGAGTACCAACCCTTCATTCTCATACCATACTCACGGTCCAATCCACACTCGGTATTTACCCGTTGCTCACATACCAACCATGATACTCATAGCGGGAACACAACCTCCGCTCATTAATAATGTTCAGTAGTTTCATTAATATTTAAAAGAAGGTTCAAGTCCATTTACTTTAATCCAAGCCCATTAACTTTATCATAAGTCCATTTACCTTATTCAATTCCATTTTATTTAGTCCAAGCCCATTTAGTTTATTCCAAACTCATTAATTTTGTCTAAGTCTAATTCTTTGGTTTTAGGGTTTATTACCAAACAACTCCTAATCGAGTAAATAATTTTTCAATTTCAGAACATAATTAAATCTTACCCATTTTATTTTAGATACTAGACACATATTTATTTATAACATATCCAAAAATTAAGTCCAAATACTAAGTACACAATTAATTACAAATTTTGAAACTTAGGAAGCAATCCGCCTAGTAGTAGTTTGTCTAGAGCTATCTGTACTAAATAGGGTATAACTCTTTGTACATGAATCCAATGACCAAGAAATTTTAAAGGAAGTTATTTTAAACATAGAGGAACAACTTTTATGCTTTAAGTTTCACCTAGAAATCGATCTAAAATCCTTGAAAATACACCCCAAAATTCGGACAGAATTTACTCCTTATCAACACTAATTTATTAGTTCATTCCAAGCCAACTTTAAACATGTTTTAGTTCACTTAAATTTAGTCCAAGTTCAATCCAACCCATCACCACATACTTGGATATTTTTCAAAAAATCATAACATCATAAATCATCACAACAAGACATCTATACATAGATTTATCCCAAGCATCAAGCATATAACCATTGAAGATTATTACAACCCATGAAATAAACACTAACAAAATAACTTAAAAAAAATAATTTAAGACATTAATCAGCCAAGAAATGAAACCTACTTACCTCTTTTAGGTTTGATTATAGTTTTCTTAGCTCTTTGTCTTTCCTTTTTCCCTTCCTCTTTTTCTTTCCTTTCCTTTCTCTCCTCACGTTTTTCTTCCTCTCTTTTCTTTCTTGCCTTTTCTCTCTCAATTTCGGTACCTACGGGTTACTAAAATTTTTCTCCTATTTTAAAAATTGCTATATATATATATATATATATACTTACTTTCATTCAGCTACAAGTGTTAGAAATTAATGGGATAAGGTGTAAAGGTTATGGGTGAGTCATGAGGAAAGTCGGTCGCTTTGGAATCCATAATGGGTGAGTTGGCATTAAATTCATTTATTGCATTTGCTTAGGTGTCTATATAAAATTTAGACTAATTAAAATCATTAATTAAATTAATTAAAGTAACTAAAACTACTTTATTTCATAAAAATTCAGAAATTTCCATTTTTAAAAATTCAGAATTTCTTTTCCCCCAAAATTCCAGCAGTGTTTCCTCCTAACCCATCTATACTAAAATGTGCATAACTCTTTCTATATGTATCCAAAAATTATGACATTTTATAGAGAGCTAGTACACATATAGAAAAAGGACTTTTATTCTTTAATTTTTTCTCAAAAATCAATCTAACAGTATCAAATAAATCTCACAAGATTCGGGTAGATTCTTCTCCCAAAATTCCAACAGAATGCATTTCGAAACAACCCTCACTATAATCGGTATAACTCTTAATGTATAGGTATAAATATTATAAAATTTTATACAGATCTATTCAACACATAGATGAACAACTTTCATTCTTTACGATTGATCCAAAAATTACTCTAAAGGCCTCAAATAATTCACACAAAACTCGGGCAAAATATAGTCCTTAAAACACCGATTTTGCATATTTGATTTCTTTAATAATTAAACCATTAATCTTAAGCACAATAACTTTAATTTAACATAAATCACATATTTCAAGCATTAATTTCTCATGATGAAATGATAATTATACTTACTCTTAATATACATATATATAGAATTATTCTAATACACGTCGCGTTACGGATAAGGGTTTTAACGGGGTTACAAATACAATATTTTTTAAAGCTTTAAATTAAATGATGAACAAATTAAGACTAAAAATCACAACAATACAATAAAAAATACATGACAAAAGAACAAATATTACAATAATCTAAGTACATAGTGCACATGAGTGTCACTAAATCATAACGATGGAATAGTAATTGATCCATCTTTTTATAATGTTTTTGGTTCGGATGAGTACAAGTCGTAATAACCCAAAATTTTCTTGATTTTTGTTTTTATTATTTATTTTATTTTATTTTATTTATTATTATTATTTATTATTATTTATTATTATTTAATTTTTTATTTAATTTGAAGTTTACTAAAAAAAAAACGAAAAGAAAAGAAAAAAAAGAAAGAAAATTATGAAAAACACAAAACAATTCATTTTAGGGACACAATTGAAGAAATTAAGGGTATAATCGAGTCAATTAAAAAATTTAAGCCTTAAATTGCACCTCTCGGGGACCCAATTGATAAGATTGTGTTGAAATTATACCACAAAATGACGTAATTGCTGAAATTGAAATGCATAGGGACCAAATTAGAATGCTCGGAGCGGACGACGAGACCGAAATGGAGAAGATGACCTATCGTCCACTCCAAGGTAAATTCTCTCGAAAATCCTTGGAAGAATTTGCCAAATCTTCCACCAAATTTTCTCGTTTTGATTTTACATTAATCATGATTCTTGATTGAATTAATGCCGACAGAGGATCACGCGACCAACAATCCCCTTTCCTTGTTGATTAGCAAATCGAATCAAACTTGAGATTTTTGATAGAAAAATTTAGGGATTTTGTGTTTGATTCTAGGAGAAAATCAAGCAAGCTTTTGGCTATAAAAACGAGTCTCGGTTTCAAGAAAAAAGGGGGATCTTTTGGAGAGGAATTCGGGTGGAGAGAGGTGGAAAATCGAAAGCAAAAAAAAAAAAAAATTTTAGATCTCTTGGCAATCTGGGTTTTCTAGTTTGAATGTTCTTCATGTTCTTCAATTATGGGCACGAGTTCATCCACGGTTGGGCTCATAGTTAAATCATTCTCGGTTATTTCGAGTTCGGTTTCAATCCCCACAAGATTTCTAGTTCAAATATATAGGTTTTGGAGGCTTAATTTCATTTTTTCATAGCTTCCCTTTCAATTTGTTTTTCCAGGCGAGTTTGGCGTTCGGGTTCTTGTTCATCTACAACACTCGTTGATACTAATTCTTAAACTTTAGATTCAATCCAAGCATCCCACACCACCTAACAATCTCTCATTCGTTTGGAGATCATCCTAGAACCGTTTTGTGTTCAATCCAACCAACAAACCGAGTAACCATAATTTTCAGCAACTCCAAGTCGGTATCGTTTTCCTTTCCATTTCTCCCGTTTCAATTTCTTTTATTTTACCCTTTTAAATTCTTTCGATATTTAAAGCTCTTAGATTTCGTGCTATGCCATGAGATGAGAGATTGAAAAATGGCTCGAGCACATGACATTTTTAGTATGGGGGTTCTAAAAGAAAGCTGGGAAAACCGAGAGAGAAAATGATGAAGTCGAAGAACAAGAAAGAAAAATGTTTGAATTCCAAAAAATGCTGGTTTTGATCCGAAAAATGAAAAAAACAAAAAACGGATCTTGTTTGTGGGCCTAAGGTCCAACCCGTTGCTTAAACAAAAAGAAATAAACGTTAGGTTGGACTAATTTCGATCCAACCCGACCTACTGTAAAAAAAAAGGGGGGGGGCTGGACTAGGCTTAGTTCGACCCGCGCCCCTCCTTTAAAAAAAATATATATAAAAGGGAGCTGGACTGAATTGTTCCTTACCCCAAGTTTTAAAAAGAAAAAATGAGAAGGTTGGAATTAGTCCAACCACCTCCCAAAAAAAAAAAAAAAAAAGAGGCCCGACTCGTAGCCCACCTTTCAAAAACCCAAAAGAAAAAAAAAGGGGTAATAAAGAAATAAAAAATAAAATTAGGGAAGAAAAAAATAAGTAAAAGGAAGAAAAAATAATAAGAAAAAGGGAAAAAAAGGATGAGTAAAAAAAAAAAAAGAGTAAAAGTTGTGGGTTAATGGTTTAGGTATAGGATGATTTTTTATATTTTATTTTTATCATTTTATTTTATTATTCATTTATTTTTTAGCTCTGTTTATATAGGATTTTTTTATCTTTTTCTTTTATTTTTTTTAGCTTTGTTTATTTTTATTCCTTGTCTTTTTTTTTTGTTATTTCAATTTTTTTCTTTCTTTAATATATATTGCTAAAAATAAAGAATCTTGAAGAAGTCTCCTATCCGATAGGGACTAACATCATAAAAAAAATGTCTAAAAATTTTGACAAAGCCTCCTATTTGGTAGGGACTGATGCCACCAAAAAATAACATAATAATAAATAAATAAATTCGACGAAGTCTCCTATCTAATAGGGACCGACGTCATCAAAAAGAATATTCAAAATTTTCGATGAAGTCTCCTATTTGATAGGGACCGACGTCATCAAAAATCACCTATTAATTAAGACGTCCTCCGACACACTTGGTTGTGTCAAGGCTTTTAGTGGATTCGATGTTTGAATCGACGTGTCACCCGACGAAGGGGACCGACGATCGTTTCAATATGATGCCATGCTCCAAACTAAAAAAATTCATTTAGTCTACAAAATAGGAGTTTAAAAATTAGAAGATAGCTTGACATGGATTTTTAGGAGACGAATTTAGAACTAAATCATACATGGTACATTTTTTCGAAAAGGGCACTTTTAGGTGATTAAATATCTTCTTAAGAGCGTAACCAACTCCTTACCTTATGAATCTCCGAACCGAGTGCTACTTTTAGGTTCCTAATTCCTTAAATATTAGGTGGTGACTTCAAAACTCGTAAATAATTCCGTAAATAATTAACGCTCATAATTTTAATTTCTTTAGAGGATCTCGTTAGACGTCGTGTAGCGACACAAACCATGGTTAATTTAGGATACATAACGTTATTAGAAAATACCACGTGTCTAAAACTAAATTGTCAAAAAAAAAAAAAAAAAAAGCATAGAGACATTCAAAACGATATAAAACAAAAACAATTTAGAGCTTTGACTCAAACAACACTATCCTCACTCTTCATATATTTTTAGAAATATAGGCAGATGGGCTAGCAGCTAGCTCTAATGAGTATCCTAGCATAGTAGAGAGGGTTCAAAAACCAATCATCAGGAATGTGTACATTTTGTAGCCTAACGAATATCCTACAATAAATCTAGAAGTGAAGAAAAGTACTGGATAAGCACACATATATATAATTTAACTTAAGGAATAATTCAGGATTTATTTGCATCAAACAGTTTTAATATACGTGAGAATTTGATGATTTTGGAATGATACCAGAAAGTTTCAAGGGGAAAAAAAAAGTTTGAAAGAAAATTTATTCTTGAAAGTTGGGAGAGTATATTCCATGATTTGGTTCTTTGTCACTAAAACTAGTGGAAACTGAATATGATTCCAGCATTTTATGTTAGCTTGATTATATACACATATCATTCTTCTACTTAAATTTGGTAGATGTCTTGTCGGATCAACTTGGAGAGGAACAAACAGCTGCCGGAAAGGTTAGAATTATGTGTCATTTTGGTGTCCTCATGCACAACGATCCATATTTTCTAATCCTTCTGCGATTTCTCCTTTCTCCTAACTAGTTAGCTTCAAGTACTAGAAGATTGTTTTAAGGTCTTGTTGAGTAACTAAGAATTGAGTAGTGACAATATAAATAAAAGTTTTATTATCATTTTATAATCGTTTAGTTAAAAAGAATGAAGTGAAAATAAAAATAAAAAATGAGAATGAAAATAAAAATTACACATGAATTCACTCATACTTAAAATATAAGAATCAAATTAAGGAATGTGAAGAATTTTTTTCTTTTCAAAATACTAATATTTTTAATTTATTTATTGTATATTAACTATTTCTATAATCACTATAATCACAATTACCACAACCACCACCACCACCACCACTATCACTATCATCATCTTTATTATTTTTAAAATCATTAGATTTTGATAAAATTATTTTTTTAATTATTATTTTTATTAGCATAAAAAATCATATATTAAAAAATTTAAATTACATTCCGATTCTTTATTAGTATTTCAAATGCGGTATATAGGAATGCAAATGTCATTTCGATTCTCGTATTTTCATTTCGGATCTTTTATTCCTAGTAATCAAAGGATACTTAAGAGAAGATGTTTCCGATTTATTAGGCTTGAGATTCAATTTTCACCTTTAAAAAAAAAGTCTTTTTTCTTTTTTTAAGTTATAAGTGAATTCAAGGAATCAACTCTTAAAGTTAACTAAAATGCTAACATGATTCGATGCTAACTTAATAATTAAAAAAATAATGCATTGTAAATATTAAAACAAAAAAATGCCGTACTACCTATGATATATGTATAAAGAAGTTTCAAGTAATCAAAATAACTATCATATATGGTGGCATTATTCGTTAGAACTAACAAAAAACCTTAAATGTAATAAGTTTATATATGTGAGTTCTATTATATATTTAAAGGGGTTGAAAATATTATATCTTTTATACTCACATGTATTATGAAGAATTTTAAATCAGCTTTTTGCCGTTGGATATATCTTCTTGGATAAATCTATCTAAAGAAAATAATATATCTTCTTTTGATAATATCAATAACAAGACTTGAGATTTAGATTAAGGCATCACGGTCAGTAGAACTTTAAAAAGAAGTGATTAAAACATTCTTAATTGAGTATTTAACTCAGATGTAATTTGAATTTGTGGTAGTGTAGATAAAAATCAAAATCAGGGGACAGTTTCCTACACGTGTATATCACTATAGTCACGCAAGATAGGAGAGGAGAGCCCCTACATTTTCTCCTTTTTAATTATTTTCATGCTCTTGACTCTTGAGCGTTTAAGCTTTTTCTACACGTAACTACTTGTAAAATTCATGAGCACACAAATTCAATTTAAAAGAAAAAAAAAATGGAAGGAAACGCTCTGTAAAACCCAAAATTAGTGGGCATACACGTTGTCCTAGCTACACTCTCATCATTCTCATGAAAAATGTGTGTTTGGTCACTTAATCCCGTCCTCTACCAACATTTCTATCTATCTCTTCCATTATTGTATATTTTCCTTCTTTAGTTGCGCCTTGTCAGATTACCACTCTCGACTTTATATCCATTACCATCCATCCTTTCTAGCCTTGCATTTCGATCTCTCAAATCCCTTCCATGCCATGCCATTTAATTTGTTGTTCTTCAGTTTAAGCTATTATGCTATAGGAATTAGGAAAGCAATGGGTCAAGTTCATTAATTTGCTCTTTGCCTCCTTATTTCTTAAAAATTCATTACGTTATTGTCATATCAAGAGTTGGATTTTTATTTATTCATTTTTTTTCATGTGACATTAGACATTGATTATTAATAAACTACAAAAGTTTAGTTTTTAAAATCGATCAAAACTTAGACGTAATTTAATACTAACTTATCTAAAAAGTGATAATTTACTTTTAATTGATGCAAAAACATATAAAAAAATACTCCATTACCTTTATATATATATATATATATATATAAAGGTAATGGAGTATTTTTTTGATATGTTATATAATAAAAAATTCACTCCATCAACAATTAATAATGTAAATTCATTCCTACGAAAATATAAATTGAGCATGCCTATTTTCGCTATATATATAAAAAAATGTCCTTGCAAGTAATTTGCTTGTTGAGCAATAGTTTGCATGCATATTCTTAGAATTTTTTAAAACGAAAAGGTAAGGAAATAAAGTGACAAATGGGACAAATTCAAGAATAAATAAATAATTATACTTTTGTTGCGGTTTGTAAAGCAGCAATAGGGCTTTTCTTCTTTTTCTTCTTGGCTTTGCGCATCGAATTGTGCAGTCAAACAAGTCTACATACACTTCTTCCTTCCTCCCCTATATATATACACATATGTAGCTGAAATATAGAAAGGAAATCACACTCTAAGTTTTAAGAAAACAAGAGAAGTAGTAAAGAAGAAGAGCTCACAAAATTTGTAGAAATGGAGTGGAGGAAATGCTATCTTGATGTAATTCTAGTGCCGTTAGGGCTTATGATTTCCATGGCTTACCATGGCTGGTTATGGCATAACGTTAGAACTCAACCTCTCACCACCATCATTGGGACTAATGCTACCGGACGGAGGTTTTGGGTTTCAGCCATGATGAAGGTATGCACCGTTATTTATATCTACTTTTCCCTTAATCCGTATTTAATTTGTACCATCTTTTTTTTAACATATACTATATTGATTAATTAATCTGTACAGATTTCAAATTTAATTTGATATGGTTCCCGAAATTAATTACGAATTAAGCAAGGAGCTGTGTTGGCCTATACGTACAAATAAGAAATTAATATACTTCAGCTTATCGGGATATATATATATGCATATTTGAATATTAACTTCTTTTTTTCAGATGAAAGCGATGATTAGATTAATGAAGTAAGCTAGCAGAAAACTAGCAAAAAGACATTACAACTAAATTAAGAAATCATTAGAGCTATGAAGTCCCTGGTTTTACATCAATCTGCATAATAAAAGAATATGTATCTTTTTTTTTTTTTTTCTCTAATATTCCTACCTGAATGAAAAGGACTCTTTCTTTTTCCTCTTTTTCCAAAATTAATAATAGCCATAATAATACTACAACTATATTTAATACACGATCTATGAGAATATATATATATATATATATATTCTCATAGTGCAATTAATAAGGTGAAAAATCCAGATAGATTCCTTGTGGTGATGCACCCTTAATTCCTATGCAAAGATGGTGTAGGCTGCTACAGATCCCATGGGGAGAGATAATGCAGGATATACTGGGGAACAATGGCCTATCATTTTCCTCTCCATAAGAGAGATAATTCAGGGTATATTGGGGAACATTGGCCTATCATTTTCCTCTCCATAATTTTTGTTTTATCTTCAAGTATCCGTCAATTTCGCTTTATCTTTCTTTCTAAAATACCATTTTCACATATATATATATATATATATATATATATATATATATATATATATATATTGTACGCGAGGAGGAATCATAAATCTCTGGCCGGCCCCAGCACTTACATCAATCAAACAAGATCAATTATTGATGCATGCTGTTTTGCCTTTCATAGGTATCAAACTGAGCTCTCAAGCTGGGCATGATTGATGTAAAGCACAGATTATTAACTTGGGTGACAGTAATTAATTAGTCAAGCTAGGATTTTAACAGCGAAGATTTTGACTAACACCACTTAATATTTTTATGGGGCCATGCAGGATAATGAGAAGAAGAACATATTGGCTGTCCAAACTCTTAGAAACTTGATCATGGGATCAACCCTAATGGCCACTACCTCAATCCTTCTCTCTGCTGGCCTGGCTGCCATTATCAGCAGCACATATAGTGTGAAGAAGCCGCTAAATGATGCAGTTTATGGGGGTCATGGTGAATTCATGGTGGCATTAAAATACGTCACAATCTTAACCATTTTCTTGTTCTCATTCTTTTGCCACTCTTTGTCCATTAGGTTTGTCAACCAAGTTAACCTACTCATCAACACTCCACAAAATCCCATGTCCGTAGTGACCTCAGAGTACGTAAGCGAGCTCTTAGAGAAAGGGTTCATTCTAAACACGGTGGGGAACAGGCTCTTCTATTCTGCAATGCCTCTCTTGCTTTGGATTTTTGGGCCAGTTCTTGTTTTCTTGTGTTCTGTCACCATGGTCCCAGTGCTTTACAACTTAGACTTCGTGTTTGGCAACGGAAAAGGAAAGATGGATCGAAATGGAGATCTAGAGAGAGACTTTGTATGACCACAGAAAGAGATTAAGTGTTAAAATGTGTAATGCCCACTCTCAAAACGTTTATGCAAGTGGATTTATATGTGTGCCATTGGACATTAATTAATTATATATGGACTGGACAACCTTTTTTTTTTTTTGGATAAGAGGGTTGGATTTTGTGTACGTAATGTGCAGGTGTCGGTTAAGGTTGAAGATGACTCAAAGAGTCCTACTTTAATTAATTTGTTGCATGAGGCAGAAGGCATTACTTTACGTAGTGGAAGCAAATTTGTCATAATGCCACCAAAAAAAAAAAAAAAAAGTTTGTGTTTTCGTACAAAATAAATATTATATCTCAATAATTTTATATGTTTTTTGTTCAAACATGAATAAAAATTAATTACGACAAAACACTGAATTTTCTTTCGGTTTTCTATGAGGTCTATTATGTAATGGATTATTACACAATAGGAATGGTAATTTTCTTATTTAATGCGTTTTTTTTTTAAGTGTGAACGAACCTTCTGATCATATTTAATGCTTCTTGTTTAAAGTGTGAATTAGATTTGACTCCAAGTCCATGAAAAAATAATTATACAAAATTAGATTTTTATATATATTTTAACGATCATTCTATTTTTGGACCAGTTTTCTTATGGATACTAAGTTCTTTAATTCCTTACTCACACCGAACCTTTAAATTGTCTAGTTATGATGGAGTAAGTTATACATTAGTTTCTCTGGTTTCGAAAAACAAACTAATCATTTAGTATTTATATTTTTAATTTCACTCGTAACTTAATTCTTTTTCCTATTTTTCAATTTATTTTGATTTTTTTATTTTAAGAACCAGAAAAAAATAGGAAAATGGAAAGTTTGATGGAATTTTTTTTTAGAATAAATTAATATTAAATTAAACATAGTTAAAACTGATAAAAAAAATTAAATAATAGTTTTTGAAAAAAAAAAAAGTACTAATTAATTTATATCTTTAAACTAGAGCGACTAATTTGTAATTTAATCTAATCGGGATGTTCCTCGAGGCCCACCAGGGTTCTATTATTGGGCCCAATCTGGGCTAGACTTAAAATTACCAATCCGTTCTTGATAAACCAACTAAACCCAACGATTGTGCTATAATCATTCAAAGTGACCGGTGATTCCTTAAGATTTAAATCACAGCCCATTGTTTAGAGAAAGATACTAATACAGAGCCCATGTTTTATCGGCAGCCCATAAAATGTAATTTCAATCCCAGCCCAGACCAGTGTGGGGTACCTATCCGTAATATGTAGGACTGCCCGATTCATCAGTGCCGATTGTCTCAGTCTCTCCCTCTGTCTGATCACTTTCGCTTTACTTCTTCTGCAAGGTAAGCTTGATTTTCCCTTCCTTTCTTGCCATTTCCCTCTCACACTTTCTGTCTTGGGTTTCTTTTTTTGTGACCAAAGGTTTAGCCTTTGATTTTCACCTGTTTGCTCTCTTTTTTGCTTACACATTTTGGTTTTCATTTTAAAGTTCCAACCCTTCCAAACTTGAAAAAAAAAAAGTCAGCACCTTTTGGTTAGTTTACGTGGAATAAAGTAGAAGATGGTTGCTCTTTGGCATTTTTGAAGCATTGAACACCCACTTTAAAGCAAAAAACTGTAAAATCTGTGGACTACTTTTGTGGGTTTTAGAGCTTTTGGTGATGTTGAGTAGAAGTAATACTAAAATGAAGTCCCTTTTCAGATGTTGATACTTGTTTTGTTTTTTTTGAACATGTTCGAAGTTGAAGATTTTTTTTTTTTTTTTCCAAATATGTTTTACTTCCTGGAGATTAAGTCATTAAATCTGTTCTTCAATGGGTCGTCTTGAAGTAATGTAGTGATTTTTTTTTTCAAGAGTCTTAGTGAATTATTACATTGATGGAGGCCAAACCTTGAGCTTTATTACTATACGAGTAACATGAACTTGAAGATTTTTTGGTACTTCACAGTTGGTAGGATTAGGCTAATTAGAGCTGGTATTGTAATATACAGGGTCAAATATTGGGGGGTGTAACATTTTGTTGATTTTGGGGCGATTTCTTTGATTCTAAATTCTTGTGACAACATGCAAGTTCTTTTTGAGACCCAACTAATGTCCAAGCCCTAGTTCTGTGATCTGACAGTTATTTCAGTATGATTCATTAGCATTCTGTCGGACCTTTTTGGAATCTCAGATGGCAAATTGGTTCCTAGAATTACTCGTTTTAGCTGGCATTCATGTCAGTTCATATAACGTCTTTGCATATTTCCTTTCTGTTAATTTCATATTTAAGAATACCCTTATAAAAAGATTGAAACATTATAGTACACCTGAGTAGCTGAAATGGGATATGTAGTCATTTGTTCTTTAATGTATAAGCTGTGTAATAGAATCTCCAAGGTGTTACTATCATCCTGTTTTATGGCAGTATAAGCTAATTTGGTCATCGCTAAGCAGATATTTGATAGTCATGTTATGATTTTCCTGCATATTTTTCATGACTTATTTCAGAACAATGTTCAAACAATCTGGTGATTATTGTCTTGCAGCTGCATCTATGGCCGCATCATATCTTCCAGCGACAACAGACTCAATTTCTCTGGCTTCAGAAGCTGAGAACCCATATGAGGCCATTTCCATCCTACACAATATACTTGCCAACCCTTCTTGTTCTCCGGATGCAATACGGATAAAAGAACAGGCCATCACTATCTCTCTGACCTACTCACACAACAGAACATGGCTGAGGATCTTCGCGCTCTTCTTACTCAGTTGAGGCCTTTGTTTGCCGTGATTCCAAAGGCTAAAACTGCCAAAATTGCCAGGGGAACAATCGACTGTGTTTCCAAAATACCTGGAACCTCTGATCTCCAACTTGCTCTTTGCAAAGAACTAGTATTGTGGGCTCGTGCCGAAAAGCCTGCTCTCCTGAGGCAGCGAGTTGAGACAAGGCTTGCAACTCTTTTATTGGAAACTAAGGAGTACGCAGAGGCACTGGCCCAGCTTACCAACTTGTTAACAGAGGTAAAGGGAGTAGATGACAAGCTACTTCTTGTGGAAATACACTTGCTTGAGAGTAAGCTACACTTTCTGTTGAAGGATCCTCCCAAGGCGAGAACTGCTTTCACAGCTGCGAAGAAAGCTGCAAATGCTGTCTATATACCACCAAATCAACAAAGTGTCATTGATTTGCAGTGTGGGATTCTCTTGGCTGAGGACAAGGAGTATAAAACTGCTTATAGCTATTTCTTTGAAGCATTTGAGGCACTTAATGCTGTTGAAGACCCAAGGGCAATTTTCAGGACGAACGAAGCTGGTGGTGTTGCTGGGATGATTTCTTCGAAGGCAGGCCATCAATATCTGGGCCCAGAACTGGATGCCATGAAAGCTGTTGCCGATGCTCATTCCAAACGATCTTTGAAGTCATTTGAAAAGGTGCTGCGGGATTACAAGGATCAGCTGGAGAAAGACCCTGTTATGTACCATCATATCTCATCCCTTTATGACACTCTAGTGGAACAAAACCTGTGTAGATTGATTGAACCTTTCTCAAGGGTTGAGATTTCACACATTGCTGAACTGATTGAATTGCCTGTTGACTTTGTGGAGAAAAAGCTGGCACAAATGATTCTGGACAAGGAGTTCGCTGGGATACTGGACCAAGGTGCTGGACACATCATAATATTTGATGACCCCAAGAAGGATGCGCTCTTTTCTGCAGCTCTTGAAACCATCTCCAGAATTGGCAAGGTTGTGGACAGCCTTTGTCAGTTCTTCTCAGATTATGCACTGAAGGGATTTGCATTACTTTGAATGCTGAACCTTCATTTTCATTTCCAATCCTTCTGTTAACAACGAGCTTGTAGACACTTGACAGTGTTTTGGTTCCAAACTTGATGTTTCTGAATTTCATACCTAGTTAATGGTCACTGATGTTACAATGGATATGCTCTCAGAATCTTTGGATGGCCCAACAACATATTTATTGTTCACATCTTTGAATCATTGTGAACCCTTTTGGTCAGATAGCAAGATTTGACAACTGAGACCCATTAAGGTATGTGTTGTAGCCTATCCAAATCCTCTGGATTTGGGCTTTACACGAAACAGTTTCATCACATGACTGTCCTGTCCGAATGAGTAAAGGTAAGTCCATTGGCTGGGATTCGCAACTTGAGTGCAAGTAACCACAAAATCTTTTCTTTCCTACTTTATGAAATAAACAACACAAGTTACCACTAAGAGGCAGTCGAGGCAGTCATGGGATTCTCTTATACCTTAACAGTGAAGAAACCCCACTAGATGGGCTTTTTCTGCAAAAGAGAGAAAGTTAAAGAAGAAAGTTGTGATTTTGATGGTGGCTGCAACGTGGGATTTGCTGGGTAATTCACTGAGTGAAAGTTAGGTATAAACCAGTCCAGCAGAAGGCAAAGTTAGCAAAAGCAATAATATTCAATAATATTCGTATTAGTATTACTTTTTCAAAAAAACACTTCAGAAAAGTAAGTGGACTATCCCTGGTTTGAGCACGACATACGATTAATTAATTATACAATGCATTTTGCCAGTAACTTTCGTCATAGGGACGGTGGCAGTCCAAATCATCCCTCCATTGCTTTGTCCTTAACTTCTCCATAACAAACCTTAGACTTGAGTTCTATTTACTACACCACCATTTGCTCAAGCACACCACTCCTTCCCATTCATTCATGCAATCATGCCCTTGCATGCCTTGGAGGAGGGTTTGTCCATGGAGCCATGCCTATATTCAAACAAGGAGTAGTGTTTGTTGGGGCCTTTCTATTATTGATTTCGTCTTTAAAATGTCTCTTTATTCTTTTTTTTTTTTAATATCATCTTTTAATATTTGATTTGTTATTATTATTATTGTTTTTATTAATGTTTTAAACTAACAATATTAAATCTCATCAACGAGTTCATGGAACTATGACACCATGTCGAATAATTTTTTTTTACTAAATAAAAAGAAATGAACTTTGAAAAAAAAAAGCAATTAAATAGTCAAAAACTCTCAATTCGCTTTTTTATTCCCTAATTTCCGAATCAATCTATTCAGTAATTAGGGTTAATGAAGGAATTTGAGAGTTTTTCATTTTTTATATAGCTTTTTTAAAATTCATTTTTACTTCCATTTTGATAAACAAAAAATATTTATTTGACCCATCATAATTTTGAAAACCCATGTTGAGAGTTAACATCGTTAATCTAAAACATTAACAAAGGAATTATATAATAATAACAAAAACGAAATATTGAATAATGAGAGTAAGAAAATAAAAAAAAGATAGAACTTTTAAAGATGAAATCAAGAATAGAGGAATCCTATAAGCATTAACCCATTCAGATAAAGAATCATGATTTGGTTAAACAATGAAGTCAGGAAGGAAAATAAGCAGGCAAAGCAAGGGCATATCCATAATTTTAATACTAATAATAATAATAATAAATAAAGGTCAGAACATTTTCACTTTGGCATGACTTTCGCTTTCTTATTCTACCAGTCCAAACTCCAGAGGAAAGACATGTACTTTCCTTTTAATTAATTAATTAATTAATTTATTAAGTACTTTGCTTATTCCATGATCTCTTAACTCTCTATAAATAACTCCACTTTCCTTCCTTAACCCCTTCCCTCACTCCTTTTAATTTCTCTCATCATAATAATTTTCAATATTATTAGCTGTAGTAAACAAGGAAATGGAGGAGCAGAAAGCAGGACGAAGTGATAGCATGAAGAGAAGTGAGTCAGAATTGGCCCTTCAAGAAGTCATCAAGATCAACAACAACAACAGCACAACAACACATGATGCTAATAATGATTTTTCTGCTGAGATTGATGGCTTCTTCAGTGATATTTTCTCTGCTGATCTTTCTTCTTTCTCTGCCAACAAAACGAGGGTAACTGTTCTTCGTCCTTTCAGAATACTGTTGTTTCATAGTTCATACAGTTTGGTTAGTTAGCTGCAAATCCAATGATGTCGGCTTAAGTTTGAAGTAAGTTTTGTTGTTATCAGCAAATGCAGGACATCATGAATGGTTTCTCAACATGTGGTGGCTTGACAGAATCCTGCTTCCCCTGGTCTCAAAATACCAATCCCAAGAATTCCAGTGTTTCAGTATCTACTGATGCCCAGTCATCAATTTGTGGTACGAAACCAAAGTACTATGTTCCTCTAGTTATGTAACTTAGCAATTAACCAGATATGTTGTTAAGGATGTTTTGTTTTTTGTGGTTTTTTAATTAATAACTGGAAATTGGTCAGTTGGCAGTCCAATTTCTGCTAATAAACCAACAGTCAAAGATAACCAAACCAGAGTAAATACCAGTGGTTCGTCGCCTGAGCAATCTGATGATGAAGATGGTCCATCTGAGCAAAGCACAGACCCTGTTGACATAAAACGTATTAGAAGGTATATTGATCATGCCTAAAGACTAAATTAGAGATGATAATATGATGGATGTTAATCCTGCTTGTATGACCATGTGGTTGTTGCTTTTTTAGGATGGTTTCAAACCGGGAGTCGGCTAGACGATCAAGGAAAAGAAAGCAAGCACATTTGTCAGATCTTGAATTTCAGGTATCTTTAATGTTTACTGTATTAATTGGATAATTGGGCTCGTCAGATTGTATACACGAATTCAAATTTTTGCTTTGCAAGTTTTCAATGTTTGTTTCTGTTCATTAAGCTTTTCTAGAATTAAATGAGCATGATTGCTATCTTATAGCTTTTTTGCCATATTTCCAAAAACTGTTGTTCAAGTAAAACAACTTCAAATTTCTACAGGACATGTAGCCTTTTTTCAAGGGGAAGTTATCCGACTTCTTGTGAATTTTAATGTTTTCTCAGGTTGATCAACTGACAGGAGAAAATGCATCTCTGTTCAAGCAACTTTCAGATGCTACTCAGCAATATCGTTCTGCTGAAACGAATCATCGCGTGCTTAACTCAGATGTTGAAGCTTTGAGAGCCAAGGTATATCTACTTGCTGGGACAGAAAACAAAAATAAACTGTGCAAGAAAAAGAAATGAAAGAATTTCACTTCAGGTTGGCTAAGTTTGATTTTGTCTAATGGAGTTTATGAAATGATTTTAGGTGAAGTTAGCAGAAGATGTGGTTGCTCGAGGTTCCGTGACGTGTAGCGTTAATCAACTTATTCAGAATCATCTAACTTCATCTCAACTACTCAATAATCCTAACTTACATCTGATGCCAAATGTCTCGCCAACTATCACAATCCAGGGAGATGATGCATCATATGCCGGACTGTCAGTGTCTGGACAGAATTCAGGACTTGGGCTTGGAACTACGGATATCGGCAATGGCAATCTTCAGAGTGGCATATTAAGTGATGCAGTAAGCTGTGTGACAGATATTTGGCCTTAAGAATCTTAATAACTCTACTGTATCCGATTAGGCTGATTCCCATGTTGCATAGATGTTACAGCTATATCATCATCAGTTTTCTTGTATAAGAATTAAGTATGAACATCTGTAAGATACGTACTTATTTCTGTTATATTTTTAAATATTTACAACTAGCTAGCCAAATTTAGGAGCTTGATTGCATAATACTTGCAATACTTGCTCCTGATGCTGCGGAAATCGGTTTTGGATTCGATTTGTTGTATTGATGCTGCAGAAATCCATATGATCAAGCCCCAATGATCATTTATCAGGTCATCGTATTAAAATCAATAAAAGCATTAAGTAACTCTTGTGTACAATGCTCTAAATGTTTTGTTGGAATGTGTAAACATGTTTAAGACAAGAGACTGAGGAGTTCTAACAGACGGATGGCAGGTTCTCATGCCTCTTTGGATCTTTCCAATCGAGCTGATTCTCTTAATGTCATCAATTGGCTATCCAAAGCAGCATCAGCCTCTTAAGTTTATTGTGTAGACATACTGAACTGAATTATAAGAATAATCAGGCGAGCTCAATGTTTGTACATCAAAATCGAAGAACTGGGAATCCATTTTGAATTAATATTTGATCAACTGTTCAATTCAAGCTTTGTAATTATACAGCAGAACCCTACATTCCTCTTAGCTGATACCAAATTTAAGAGTGATAAATGAGCCATAGCATCATCATTAGACCACAGTAATGACTATAAGTAGTACTATGTCGATTGGGGATAATGACTAAAGATCAGTTGAAGATGTCTACTTCTGCTCATAATAGGGGAGATTGGAAATGATGCTATCTCTTTTCATTTTCCAAAGGCAAGACGACTGAGGACGTAAAAACCGTAGGCCTTGTCTTCAAAGTCACTGAAGCCATTAAGGAAGGTGCAAAAGTAGAATTGCTAAGTTAATAATTTTCATGTCTCTATTGATTTCGGTAAAAGGATATTTAATTCTTCTCAATGATGATAAATTCACCATATATATTCATTGACAATGTATGAATCATAACTATCTTGTGTTGTAATCTGATATGCACTTCTTTGTGTGTTCTTCCCATCTTCTGATCTTGAAGTCGAAACACAAGACGAGGATGAGGTGAAAGTGCACGAATTAGGGCCAGAAAGTGCCACTCGACGATTACCGTATGGAAAATAGTCTTTTTTATGATTTTTCTTGTCAAATAAAAGTAAACGTGATCATAATTTGCTTTATTTCTTAAATGCATAGATGGCTGCAATACGTGACGTTTCTAGCAACAGAAACTGCAATAATTTATGGTTTGAAGCCAGTCTGGGGTGCTGGATTTGCATGGTTTCTTCTCGGTGAAAGGTGGGGTGCTACTGGTTGGATTGGGGCTGCTCTAGCGCTTTTCGTCAGGTCAGCCCAGCTATAGGGTCAGTATGTTGATCTTGTTTTCACTTTCAGCTTCGTCAAGGCTCCCTTTGTGCTTGTCACATGGCACTTTGCTTATCATCACAGGGAGAGGCTGCCATTAATTGAGTTGGTGTTTTGCATTTGGAAGGTTAAAAAGTGCAAGCATGTTTTTCTGTTTTGCTTACAAGTAAATTCACGAGCATTGCATTGCCTACTCTTTTATCAAGTTCATGAAAGCTTGCAGAGACTCGGGAAAGGAAGCTTGTTAAGTTGCCCTGTTTTCTCACATGCATGTAACAATTAAACTGCTTAAATTTATCTGCTATCAAAACTTTGCCAAGGATAATGTTAAGGTTGGTCAGAGTTCTTTTGTACAGTCTTTTATAAGAGAAACTGTTTGTTTTCCATCAATCCTGGATGATTGCAAAGAACAATAGCAACTGATCTCTCCCTGACTTGCAGATGAAAGCAAACATAAGAAACTCATGAATCTCGCCGGGGGAATTCTTCAAGATAAGATGAAGAGCTTGGCCTCCAAATGCTGCCATCTTCCAAAACTACTCTTTCCCTCTTATTGCTTCTGGTCAGCTCCATGGCATCAACTTGTGTGTTCATTATATACAGTCTGACTGAATGAGCAGGTCCACACTAGTTCATACCTAATCCAACACGGATAAGAATTTTAACAATTTGGAGATGAGCGTAGATAGATAGATAGATAGTAAAAATTCTCATGAATCCTCTAGTTTCAGCATAGAGAGTCCCTTCTTTTTTTTTCAGACCGGAGAGTTAGACTTAGTTTCGAACACCAAAGTTGGCCTTTTTTTGGTTTTTAATTACAAGATTGAAGAGATAGACTTAGCTTCGAACACAAAAGCTGGCCTGAGATACCACTTGATCATAAAATCCAAAAAGCAAAAAACCCTATTTTCCCTTTGCTTACAAGTCCCCTAAACCGATACAGCCGCCTCCAAGGAAAGAAAAATCATCCTCTTCATACAGACCAGCTTTAAGATTTTTTTCTTTTCTCTACTTCTTTCATCAGCTTTCTCAACATGTGCGTGGCCAGCAAATCCTACTTAGGAGAAGATATAGTCAGAGAAATTCTATTAAGATTGCAGCCGCAATCCTCGCTTCGCTTCCAGACAGTGTGCAAACACTGGTTGGCTCTCATAACAAGCTCCGAATTTATTGCTGTCCACGGCCAACGTCGACCGAAGCTCTCTGTCGGGTTCACATCCTGGTTGGAGTGGAAGATACCTAACAAATAAACTCGTATGCCCATCTGGGATTGACAAAATTTGGCATCTCAATAGTTCGAGATGGGAAGAGCAGACCTCACACTATCCAGGTATACCGTCATCCATGATCAAGGACACTAATGCTGCCTTTCTTGTGGGTTCAAGTAATGGTTTGCTTTGTCTTAATATTGTCGAAAGGGGCACAAACCTTGATTGCTGTGTTTTATGGAATCCTGCAACAAGACAGAAAAGGTTCCTGCCCTCTCACCTATTAGAGATTAGGTACAGGCATAGCACGTTCGGGCTTTGTTTCCTTCCTCAAATAAGTGACTACAAATTGCTGCGATTTGTAAACGTGCCTGTGGATGACTTCAAAGCTGAGGTTTTCTCCTTGAGTACAGGCTCTTGGAGAGAAGTTAAGGCCATTCCTATGCTTGGACGCCATTTCGCAATTTACAATAAACATGTGATTGTGAAAGGAGTATGGTACTGTATGGCTTCTAGAGTAAAGAAGGATCCAGGTTCACAAGTTGTGCACTTCATTCTAACGTTTGATATGGGCAATGATTCTTTCTCGAGATTGGAAGATGGAGTGCCTGGTTTTGGTAACCCTATGGTGTAAAAAGAATCACTTTTATTGTGTTTACCCTTGAGTTCAAGGTTTGAGATATGGATAATGAAGAATGAGAGTTGGACGAAACTATTCATATTCGGACGAACCTTTTCCAGAACTATGTGTCCTATAGGATTTTTGAATGATGAAAAGATCATCGTGCGGGATTCTACCACCTCGAAAACCAACCAAACTAAAGCTTTGCATTTGTGGAATTTTATATGATAAAGCTCCGGCCTCTCTTCCTTCGAGCTCATGATTATGTGGAGAGTCTTGCTTCGGTCTATGCTACTGCACATTGAGTTGTGGCATTTTATGTATGTCAGAAACTTCATTTACATCTAAAGTTTTCATTAGCTCCACTAATAGACAGTTTCGATTTTTTAGAACTTTGGCTTAATACTGCTGCAAATAGTTTAGTTTAATTCTTGATCCATTTGTGCTAATACTCTCCTCTGTTTTTTCGCTGCTAATGGACAGTTTCGATTTTTGAGAACTTTGCCTTCTCTACGTGAGAACTTTGCCTTCTCTACGTGAGAACTTTGCCTTCTCTACTGCTGCAAATAGTTTAGTTTAATTCTTGATCCATTTGTGCTAATACTCTCCTCTGTTTTTTCGCTGCTAATGGACAGTTTCGATTTTTGAGAACTTTGCCTTCTCTACGTGAGAACTTTGCCTTCTCTACGTTCAATTATTGTATTATCGTTTCGAGAAATTTTATAATACTCAAATAGTAACTAGTGACATGCACAGTAGTTATATCATAAACCTACTTAGAAGAAAGGAAAAACAAAAAAAAAAAAAAAAAAAGAACTAAGAGAGAAAATAAAAAAAATTGAACGAACGTGAAAATCTTCTTATCGCTTTTGATGGATCTGAATGTAAATAGATTTATAAAATAACTACTATACATATCACTAATTACTTATTGAGCATTATAAAATTTTGAAGGGCTCAAAGTTCAAAGTTCCAATATTTAAGAATTAGTGGGTTCCAGCTCTTTTGGTTGACCCAATATCGTTCTTTACCTTCCATACACGAGAGACAGAATTAAGAAATCCCATACTAGAAGGCATTGGTGGGCAAACCCACTCGAGATATAGTCATGGTTTCTCGCCCTCACAATAAAGGAGATAGGAAATGAACCAAAACAAACTTTAAAAGCTCAAGAGGATTTCTTTCGTAAAATGCTTCTTGTAGTACTTGCAGATTTTCTCTCCTGCTTTGCCCGGCTGAAAGACCCTAGTACAATCGATCCCTCTTCTATAAATATTTAATAGATCAAACATGCGTTTTTATCCATTTCCAAGTTGTAAGTTGTAACTAGCCAAATTTAAGACCATTATTCTATTGAAAATCAATAAAGCAGTATTTGAATCACAATGTTGATTAAATGGAGGAGTTCACTGTTCTTTCCCACATGGAAGAATCGAGTAACTCTAGTTGAAGTTGGAAATGAGGATTCTTGGGATGCTTAGGCACTTAAGTTTGGTTTCTGACATGCTGCACCTTGAATTGAAGAGCCTTCAAGTGATAGCAAATTAAGAAAAGCATTGGTGAGAAAATAACAATCCGACAGTTTTATTTGGAAAAAGATACTTATGCAAAGAAATTTTGATGTTTACTTACCAAAAAGGAATTGAATGCTCATCCCTAAATCAATCTTTCCATTGAAATTCAAATCTGCAGCCTTCAACATCTTCTGGAGCTGGTCCATATCCCACCTTTTGTCCAGTCCCAGGCACTGCAGGACCGTCTTCAACTCTATATATCCATTACCATTCCCATAAAATATTTTGAAGGCTTCTCGCAACTGATGGCAATCTGATCTATCTTCCAATCCACTCAGCACATCCTCTACTGGCACTTCATCATCCACATCACTAGGTAGGTCAAAAATAAACTTGGTATCCACTCAAGGCTCAGCAGCTCAGCCAAAGGCTATAAATGAAAGCCTCCCTAGACCCCGTTAGAGTGGATGCTTTCATTCCCCGCCTATACGAACAACACACCTCAGCTTATCAATACATTGTTCCATTGATTTGTTCAAAACCTTCACTGACTTTTAATCATTGGAGTAACTCTCTATTGAGGCCTCCCCATTTCCTTTGATGGTGCAGCAGCTTCATGTTGACCAAAAGGGATCTTGAATGATCACTTCACATACCATAAGTTTGTAACCAACATACTCAAGAGAAAACATTAGAAAGATAGAAGGATATCACCCATCTGCATCTGTAGTTGAAATGTTCCTCGTTAAATCACCCAAATCCCAAATCCCGGTTTCCATTTTTATTTCTCCTTCGTCCCCTAACGATACCAGTTCAACTGTTTTCTTTAACCCAGATGCCATAATTTTATATCAATGAATCCATACTTTCTACTCCACGCTTTGTCAAGTAGCAGTATCTCATTTGTGTAATGGTTTACAAGATTCTCAGTTAGCGCACTCCTTAGAAGAGATTGTTATCCTGATCAATGCACAGGAATGTTTCCTGTTTCAGTTGCTTCAACTTTAAACACTCACTAATCACCAGTAATCTCTGCATGAACAATAACCATCCTTGAAAGAGTGAAAGCGGCTTCTATCTCTCACCACGATCTCCACTTTATAAATCTGAGAAATAAGCTTCATCACTGCATGGCAGTCCCTGCAAACCCTCAAATTCTTAACTATTCTTATAGTGCTCCCATTGCACAACCTTGCTATCCCAAAAGCTACAGCAAGCTTTTCGCTATGCACAGACACCGAATCTTCCTTCTCTTCCTCTTCTATGTCATGAAAAACACTTCCAATCTCTGGAACATAACCCCCTTCAACCCTAAGCCTCAATATAATCTCCTTTAGCTTCTTGTACGCCTCTTCTGTAATCTTATCTTGTTTTGCACCTGCCATGAAAGTATGAATGATCTTGTCAACTTCAATTATGCTCCAACCAGGAGTTTTGGTCATTCTCTGGTCAGTCATTAATCTTCTCACAGAAGCAACATCCTTCCATTTCCCTGCAACTGCATAAGCATTTGACAGCAGAACATGGTCACCGGAGTTGTTGGGGTCTAGCTCTGAAAGTCTTTCTGTCACATATTCTGCCAACTTAACATCACCATGAATGCTGCAAGCCCCAAGAAGTGTCCGCCAAATGATTGCAGTACGTGGAATTGGCATTTGAAAAACGAACTCATAGGCCTTCTGAAGCTGGCCGGCCCGACCATATAGATCAACCATACAACCATAATGCTCAATAGATGGTTCTATATTGTACATGGCCCTCATCTTATAAAAAAACTCACATCCTTGTTCGACCAATCCAGCATGACTACAAGCATATAATAGCAAAATAAAGGTAATCCCATCAGGTCTAATTCCAAACTCTTCCATCTCATGAAAGAGCTCTATCGCTTCCTCTCCATGACCATGCATTGCAAGCCCTGCCATCATCGAAGTCCAGGAAACAATGTTTCTTTCCTTTAAGATTTGCTCAAAAACTAGTCGAGCCATATGGACATTCCCACACTTAGAATACGTATCCAGTAATGCATTATTAACGGACACAATCCAAGATAACCCAGATTTCTCAATAAACCCATGCAATATTTTTCCAAACTCAAGTGCTCCTGCCTGTGCACAGGCTGAAAGCACCCCAGTTAAGCTTGTCTCATTTGGCCTCATTCCCTCCCTCTGCAACTCTCTGAAAAGGCCAAAAGCCTCTTCAAAATACCCATTATGAGCAAACCCAACAATCATGGTACTCCACGAGACATCATCCTTCATTGGCATCTCCAAAAACGTCTCCCTTGCCAGTTCCAGCTCCCCAGCTTTCGTGTACCCAGCAAGCATCACATTCCACGAGGTCAAGTTCCTAACGGGCATCAAGTCAAACATTTTTCTTCCACCCTTCAAATCAACACCCCTAAAACACGCAGTAACCACCGCATTCCACGCAACGGCATTCGGTTCGCGCATTTCATCAAACACCTTCCTCGCAGAAGCAACACTTCCACATTCCCCATACATACTTATCAAAGTTGTCCCAACAAAAAGATGGGTATCAAGCCCATGAACCAAAGCTTGACAATGCAACTGAATTCCAGCTCTCATAGACCTCAAATTCGCGGCTGCTTTGAGAATGAAAGCAAAAGAGAAACTATCAGGGGAAGAAAATGAGTTCCTTCTCATCTGGATGAACTTAAGCACTGAATTTTCGGGTCTATCAGACTCGGCAAGTCCTCGAATGAGAGTGTTGTGCATGAAAACATCCGGGTTTGGAGTGTAGCGAAAGAGGCGACAAGCATAGTCGAGAGAGTCAGAGAGTGAAATCGCACAGTGGTGCAGTAGCTTTCCGGCGATAAAAAGGTCAGTTTCAAGGCCGAGTTTGACAAGATTGGCGTGGATTTGTTTGAGGGATGTCAGGGTCTTGCAAACGTTCAACAAAGACAGACGACGAGGCTCTGTCTGGCTCATCATGTATGGCTTCTCACTCCATGAATTCCCTCCCTTTTGGCTCTACTTTGTTTTTTAAAAAACGATAACCGCATTTAAACTACCTCTATCATTTTATTTTTTTTATTTGAGTACTTATATTTATGATATTTTTTATTTGAGTATTGACTTTTTTTCTATTTGAGTACTTATACTTACAAAATTGTCAATTAAGAACTTTCGTACATCCTTCTATGCAAGTTCTTGATCTGTCATGGCAGCACTCATCCATCCATTTCTGGATGTTGCTGTCTTTTTTCCAAAGCCAACATTTTCTGACCTCCATTAATTGCCAACAAAGAATCATCAAGTCTATTCAAGGCATCATCAAACTGACTCACACAATCGTTTATAGCAGCCTGAGGGCTGCGAGTTAACATCATCGAGATAAGTAGTCAGTGACGAAGAGAGGTTTTTTTCATCTCTTCAATGGAGACTTGGCGAGAGAGCTTGAAAATGTCTTCTGGATCATTAGGTTTTGTTGAGATATTGTTAAGAGAGGTTATGCTGGAGGAAGATAAGAAAAATCATTGCTGATAAAACATCAATCAAAACATTTTATTTGCGAAAATGATGAAGAAATCAAGAATATACAATTAGCATTGAAAAGGCAAAATTTTAATGTTTTGAGTTTATCCCATCATCAATTCGAACTCATTAAAATCAACTTTTCCGTCAAAATTCAGATCTGCAGCCTTCAACATCTTCTGGATCTGCTCCATATCCCACCCTTTGTCCAGTCCCAAGCATTGCAGCACTCTCTTCAACTCCACTGCTTCAATATATCCATTACCATTCTCGTCAAAAATCTTGAAGGCTTCTTGCAACAATTGATGGCGGTCTGAACCATCTTCCAATCCATTCAGCACCTCCTCTACCGGCACTTCTTCATCGTCTGCACCACCTGGCAGGTCAAAACTAGCCTCGTTTTCTTCCTCTCCTCCTTCACCATATATCAAACCAAGCTTCTCCACCACCAGTCGCGCTTTCTCCTTCTTTATTTTCCCATTTTTTTCCATGCCAAACACAGCAGTCAATGCCCGGATCATCAACTCATCGGCTGCATTTTCTTGCTTGCAACTTGGAGTTGTTTGAAGACAAGTTGATGAGCTTCGTCCTGAAACTCCTAATGCTTGCACTAACCGGCTGCATACTCCTGTTATGCGAATCATATCGGACTACAAGATTAAGAACAGGCTCTAAAATTACAGGATTTCTGAGAAAATATAGCAGTCGAGAGACTGATATTGACTCTACTGCTTCTTTTGCAGTAAAAGAAATAAGCTGCCTGATTTCCTTCACTGCACTACTGTCCATTTCCTATATAGTGGGAATCCTTACAGAAAACCCTCGGAGTTGAACAAATTCACTCCAATGCCATCGAATATCCACTCCCATTTTATTATCATTACTTCTTTTTGATCTGATTAATTAATCTTTTGCATTACAAAGCTGGCATATTCTCTTACATTATTGTTAATTATTTGTCGGTCTAGGCACCGTGCATGCTGTATTTATTAATTATTAATTCTAGTTCAGTGTATCAGCCTCCTGCATGATCAGTAATTTGACACAAAAAACAGAAAGCAGACCAAGAACTTTCTGAACACAGATCCGATCGAGCCATTAATTTGGTTTTCTCGATGAGTTCATGATGCCTTTCCAGGACTCAACAATGTGTCTGTTATTTTTTATGTCTCAAAGTATAGATGCAACTCTTGTTTTGTTCTTAGCCACAATCTAAAAATAACCTGAGAAAGATCAAGTAAAAGCAATTCTTTAAATGTTGCAAAAGTAGAGAATTATTGGTAAGGTTTCTTCTCAATTTCGAAGGCATATCTGGGGAAACAAGCATGATTTGATCACTCAACTTCAAAATCCCAGTAATAAGATTCGAAGGTGATGACATGAAACATTTTTTAGCCCTTCTTCAGTACTGTTGCTACTGCCTCACGACATGCCAACCAGTACTGGCCAATAATATTGTTTCTGGTGCCAGAACCTTCCTTGAAGCTTGAAGCCTGGAGGGTCGGTCATGGTATCATCATCCTTGAATATTTAAACAGGAAAAATATATGATATTTTATTTGAGAAAACTTTGAAATCCCCTGCAAATCTCACCAATTGCACGAGAAATGATTTTCCTTCTCTATGAGAGGGCACAAAAGATGGGAGAAACCGCGTTTTGTTGTTGTACTCATAGATTATTTATTACTCTCTGATTACATATTTTCAAAAAATTCAATCATTTTCAGCTCATATCACGTGCATTGTCATGCATCTACTGTTTCTTGTTTTCTTTACTATTCTCTCTTCTCTGTCATCACTACTGTATATTTAGTTTTTTTATTTATTACATGGTTGGCCATGCTTTGATCCACATAAAAAGATTAATTATGTGTTTTTTTATCACTTATATATATATATATATATATATATATATAACGAGAGAGAATAATTCATTAATAAACGAGAGGCAAAAGCCATTACAAGACCAAGCCTTGTGAATCACGAGACAAGAAAAAAGGTAAGAGAAATTGTCAATTGAGGTCACGATAAAGTATCATCTATAGTTTCAAATAATAATGGTTATTTAATAAATTCAAACATATCTGTTATTGTTATAATCATTATAAAAAATATATATAATAACATTTTATATAAATAACAATATTATACGCCGTTACTGTAATACAATGCTACTATTTATTGTTTTTTGATGAATAATAATTTGATATTTAAAAAAAATTGTATTTTATTATCGTTTGTGTAATATTTAATTAATTATTAGAAGTGTTATTAATTTTTTTAAATAATAAATTCAATTATTATTGTATGATATTAAATTATTAGATATATTATATATTATTATATTTAATTTGTTAAAAATATGTGAATTAAAATAAATTTATCAATAATTGTTAGCCTAGACAAAGGTAGCCAAAGCATGCTTGCAGGTTCCATAAAAGATTTCAAAGATGAAGCCACTGTGAAATTATGCACCAAGATTACATCAGGCCACAGGAAGTGCCCACATCAAATCCCATAAAAGATCTTCAAGGTTTAACACCATGAAAGCAAGCATTTCAAGTGCAGAATATTAGCGTAGGACCGTCTGTGGACACTTTTTGCAGCCATCCTCAAGACATGAGTTGGGGCTCCATCGTTGCTTTTCTCACATAAGCAGAAAAAAAAGAAAGAAAAGAATACTAATACAAACTGATGATGAAGAATCAAAGCTCTTTATGCTACTGTAAAGACCAAGTTTTCAACATGTGAAACCAACCAGATATTACTAAAGCCAATAGAAACTTTAAACAAGAACCATCGAAATCAAAAGGAAAAAAACCATAACTAAAAGAGACCTCAAAGATGTTGAAATATAAATGAAATTCTTGATCACATACATAAGCATGCAATACTCGCTGTCCAGTAGCATAGACTGAAACAAGGCCCTTGACAAAATTATAAGCTCGAGAGAAGACATGGTCTTAGTTTTTAGGAAACCTATTCCAGATTTGGGTGAAGGGATCATACAAAATCTAGTGGTGTGTCTTACGCCTTTTAAGGAACTCTCTTAATGCCATTTTTCCGTAATTCAAAATCCTGTTTTCACACTGAATCAATCAAACTATAGGCAGGTAGAAAATTCTCTTCCAGGAGTGCTTGGGATTGATTTGTTCACGCAGCTAGAGGTGCCAAAGTTAGTTTGGCATAAGCTTATTTTTGGGCCTGTTAACATGCCAAGATATAGTTTAGCTTCTTGGTTGGAAGTTTTAAAGAGGCTCTCTACCAAATTGAGAGTCGTGAAAATGGAGAGAAACATCAGCTTAGCAATGCTGTCGAGGATGAAGGATCAAAGATCAGTTACTCTTTGGAAGTCACATTTGGACGTCACAGACAATCTGAAAATCCATTTGGCATCATAATTGTTTAAGCAAAAGTGTTAGCAGCAAGACAATTGAAAAATTCTAATGGGCTAAATCTAATCTTCAGAATAACTTTTTCATGTCGGTATATATAGTACTGTTGAGGCTTGCTTGGTGTGCCACTGTCTATAGAACACCGACTGGATAATACTAGATTGCTGCAGGAATCTATTCTAAATATTAGAAATTCCCTACTTTCATTCTTCAGCTTTTCTTTCCTCACATCAGCAACGGGAAAAAAAAAGAACAGTATTAACACAAATGGATAAAGAATTAAACTAAATTATTTGCAGCAACATTGAAAAGAAGGCAAAATTCTCAAAAATCGAAACTGGCCATTAGTAGAGAAAATACAAATTTTAGATGAGATTCAATAAATCAAAAGGGAAAAGAACGTAACTAAAAGAGAAACCAAAATATAAATGAAGTTTCTGACGCAACAAAACTCAATGTGCAGGAGCATAGACAGAAACAAGGCTCTCCACATAATCATGAGCTTCAGGTGAGAAACGAGATTTACCATTTTCTAAAACCCTATTCAAGATTTGGGTGAAGGGATCATACAAATGCAAAGTTTTAATAGGGTTGATTATCGAGGGGGAGAATCCTGCAGGATGATCTTTCCATCATTCAAAATTCCAATAGGCCACAAAGTTCTGTCAAAGGTGTGTCCGAATAGGAATAATTTCGTCCAACTCTCATTCTTCATTATCCATACCTCAAACCATTTATTTAACCTATCACGTCTAGGAAAGCACAATGCAAGTAATCCTTTGTACAACATAAGTTTAACCATAAAGTGCCTGATATCTGGCACTCCATCATCCATTATTGAGAAAGAATCGTTGGCCATATCAAACTTTAGAATAAAGTGCACAAATCGTAAGCCCGGATCCTTCGTTACTCGAGCAGCCATACAATACCATACTCCTTTCACAATCACAGGTTTATGGTAAATTCTGATATCGCATCCAAGCTCAGCAGTGGCCTTAACTTCTCTCCAAGAACCTGTACTCGATGTGAAAACCTCGGCTCTGATTTCCTCATCAGGAAAGTTTATAACTCGCAGCAATTTGTAGTCGCCTATTTTAGGAAGGAAACCAAACCCAAACTCCCTAAAATCGTTACTACTCTTTAATAGGGGAGGGGGCAGGCACCTATGTTGTGTTGTTGCTGGATTCCATAAAACACAGCAATCAAGGTTCTTATTCCATCTGTCGCCGACCATATTAACACAAAGCAAACCATTACTAGAACCCACAAGAGAGGCTGAATTTGTGTCCTTGGTGATGGACGACGGGATATTTAGATAATCAGGTCTGCTCTTCCCATCTGGCAGTAGTAAGATGCCAAATTCTGTCAATCGCCGCAGGGAACATGAGTTTTCTGGCTTAGGTATCTTGCACTGATCCAACCAGGATGTGAAGACGACAGAGAGCTTTGGTTGTTGTTTGCAGTGGGCAGCAATAAAGTCGGAGCTTGTTATGAGAGCCAACCAATGTTTGCACACTGTCTGAAAGCGAAGCAAGGATTTGGGCTGCAATCTTAATAGAATTTCTATGATTATGTCTTCTTCTACGTAGGATTTGCTCGCCATGCACATGTTGAGAAAGCTGATGAAAGAAGTAGAGAAAATTTAAAAAAAAAAAAATTCTTAAAGCTGGTCTGTATCAAGAGGATGATAAATTCTTAAAACTGTGCTGTATCAAGAGGATGATTTCTAATTAAAACTTATCTTGTTTGATAACTTAAATTATCTTGTCTTAAAGCGTGTTGTAGTCCCTGGAGGTGTTTGATAACCTAATTAAGTAGCTTAAAAAATTAAGTTGTACTACTTAATATAAAAATCTTGTTTGATAACTTAAATTATCTCATATTAAAACTTTAAGTTCGATTAAAATCTATTTAATTAGATAAGTTAAAATTTTTAACTTATCCGATTAAGTCAAACTATCCAAAACATTCTCTCTCTCTCTCTCTCTCTCTCTCTCATATATATATATATATATATATATATATATATATCGAATTTATAAATTATAATAATATATTTTGAAAAATAAAATACTCATTTGAAAAGCATAAAAATAATTAATTATATAAATTATAATAATATATTTTTTAAAAATAAAACATCGACGTTATAAAATTTTATTCCAAAATTCATAAATTAAAAAATTAAATTTATTAATAAATAAAATTATGTCAAAAATTAATTTGATGAGAATTTTAATAAGAAAAAAATAATTAAAAAAATAAATTTTAAACAATAAGAGTAATATAATCAGATACATATGTTCAAACTAAAATCTTAAAAAATATCATATATATTCTATCATCTTCAAACGGACTTATTATATTCAAGACTTAATTTTTAAGTAAATACCAAACGAACTTATGATGAACATATTCAAGATCTTACATGATTCAAGCATTTAAAATTCGAGTACTTAATAGATTCAAGCACTTAATTTTCAGTTTTATCAAACACCACCTAAGTCGTCTATCTCCAAATTGTTAAATCCTAATCCGTGTTGGATTAGGTATAAACTAGTAGAGACCTGCTCATGCTCGGACAAAGAAGTGCTATGCTGTTCCTGAAAAAACAAACAAGATGAGTTGATCCCATGGTGCTGAGTGCTGACGCGTTTAAGGTTAGCTAAGACATGTTGGGCCGCATCTTGGCCCGTTTCACTATAGACGTTGCCTAGATTTTCCTACGAGACGGGCCTCTTGTCTTGCGTCTTAGAAGCCGAAGAAGCAGATTTAAAATCTACATGGGCTGAATGAAAGTGAGTCATGGGCCCATGTCTTAGAAAACCCAAGACGCAATTTGCATCTTCGTTTTCTGAGCTGAATCTACATGGACTGAAACTAGACATTAAAGTGCGACTTGCTCTTTATCGAATATAATGAAGTTCCAGTAGAGTTGCTTTGTAAGTTCGTTGATTTACTGATCTTCATGTCTCGTCCTGTACTAGAAGGAACAAAAAAGGCAGTTTTGTTTAGTATTTTGAGGTGATGAGAAGACCTGGAACAGCACGCTTATCTTTCTTTGCAGAAAAAAATAAATGGATTCGTAAAACCACTCTAATTGTAGTTAAACATCAGGAGAAATACCAGTTGTTTCTCAACATAAAGAATTTACAAGATCAAAACTATGTGACTGAAGATATAATCATTCTTCATAAATAAAGAACACTGTCAAAGAAACACTTACAAGTAAAAATTGGCTGCATACTGCGAAACATTATCCTTGGCAAAGTCTTGACAGCAGATAAATTTAAGCAGTTTGATTGTTACTTGTGAGAAAAGGTCAGGTATACAGCAGCACATGGATGGTATAATTGACCAGAAGCATGTGAGAAACACGAGGAAGGCAACTTACAGCAAACACTCGGACTTTTTGGTAGTTGCCACGAAAAGCTTGCGTTTTTTTCGACTGCTCATACTAGCTCAAACATTTGCTGAAGAGGTGGCGGATGCTAGTCTGCCTTGCTAGCATTAGACCACTTATCTACAAATGCTGCATGCTCGTTTATTCTTTCTCAAAATTTGTTTGTCTTTCTGATTACACTAAGCATGATATGGGAAGTTCAACATAACTAAAGCCTGATCACGAGTCAGCTATGGAGGAAAATCTGTGGTAAGCAGCTAAGGGGTCATTTACTTTATGACCAAATTGCAGGCAAAAAGGTAGTATCCTGCAGTTCGGTGATTTTAAAGTTGGTATGAAGAGGGTCCTGGCATCCATCAATCAAAGTGTTCCATCCAGTCCGTCCCGTATATACTGTAAGAAAGAAATGATGAAAAATCCCACCGTGGATTGCTGATACATATATCAAAACCTTATACTCAAACTTCCGCATGCTGGCAAGATTGTAGGAAAGATCCGAGGCAATAATACATTGACAAGCTCTCAGCATAGACTATGTAGAGTACAGGGGAACGGCAAGTTTGAGCCAGCTGACAGGAGCATCGGTGTGAAGACCAAAATGCATCATACAAGGGGCTCAAGGAGACTGCTGTAACAAAGAAACTATCATAGAAAGTAAAGCTTTGAACTTTGCAATTTTGATTTTATTGTGTCATTATCAATATTCTCAAAAACAAAATTCCAGTAACTGAACAAACTCCTGTTTTCACATGGAATCAATCAAACTACAGGCAGGAACTTTCCTGATTCCAGCCTCCAACATTGTTTTCCTCATATCAGCAGCAACACCCCATCTATTAACCCCAGCATTAATGCTAGATAACACCACATATTGACTGCAATGTTGTGGCTGCAATTCAAGTAACCTGCTTCCCACTTCATTTCCCAAATCAATAGCTCCATGAATCTTACAAGCACCTAAAAGTGCACCCAAAACCGAAGCATCTGGCTCAAAAGGCATCCTCCTTGTAAATTCACTGGCTTCCTTCAGTAATCCTGCCCTGCCCAAAAGATCAACAACGCACCCATAATGCTCCATTATTGGCACCAGGCCAAACTCAACTGTCATCGATTGAAACAACTCAAGTCCAATCTCTACAAGCTTGGCACGAGCACAAGCAGTGAGTACAGCAACAAAAGTGACCTCATTTGGACACAAACCTTCCTCTTTCATCTTTTTAAACATGTCTAGAGCTTGTTTTTCTCTACCATTATTAGCAAGTGAAGAAATCATCGCATTCCAAGTACAAACCTTTTTAACCACCATTTGGTTATAAACTTTGATGGCATTACTCAAACAACCCAATTTGCCATAAAAATCTACCAATGCTGTCCCAATAAAAACAGTCAAAAAGACGTCATTCCTTACTATATACCCATGTATTTGCTTCCCTATACAAAGGACCCCTCTTTCACCTAAATTAGCACATGAAGATAACACACTAACATATGTTGCTTCATTAGGTTTAACAAAACAACACTCCACATCATCATGTAACATCATCTCCCTAAATAGCCTAATAGCCTCCCCAAAAAGTCCATTCTTTGCAAACCCATTAATAACACTAGTCCACGAGACTACATCTCTTTTAGGCATGCTTTTAAAGAGAAAACAAGCAGAACCCATGTCACCATTCTTCGCATAAGCATCAAGCATTGCATTGTATTCAACAATACATGGGCGCGAAATTTCATCAAACACCTTGCAGGCCTTAAGCAAGTCACCAAATTGTGAGTACATAGCTAACAACGACGTTTGTATAAAGGGGTCATAAAAAACCCCACGTTTGATAACTTGGGTTTGAAGGGAAGTGCCAATAGAGAGGCAAGAAAGACTAGCTGCTTTGATCAGGGAAGGGAAGGTGTGGCTGTTTGGTGGGGTTTGGTGGGCAAGCATAAGATCGAAGAGACGAAGAGTTTTTTGGTTTTTCCCAAAATTGAGGTAGGCTCTTATTAGAGTGTTGTAAAAGAGGGTACTTTTCCATTTTGAGTTTTTTGATGGGCTAATGTTTGGGTTATAGAGAAGGTGGCCTTTGGTTATTAGGAGAGAATGGATTTGTTTGACTTGGTTTTGGTGTTTCATAAAGTGTTGGAGAAGCAGGAGTAGAATTTCAGGGGAGTGTGGTGGCATAGCATCGCAACAAATTAGGGCTTGATAGTTTTTGTGTCTATAAGAAGGAAATGAATTTCTTAGTTCTGATTTTCAGCTATGGGCATGTATGACCCTGACCCGAATTCTTCGGGTCCAGATAGGGTAAATCCGGAACATTATCCCGGACAAGTGCATAGCACCACCTAGGCAGAGGGAAACATGATCGGTGAACCCAGAAACCCGGGCGGCGCCACACCAGTGGCTGGGGAATTTCTGCACAATGCAAGCAGGAGATTTGGGCCATGGTTTCACAAGTTGCCATTCTGCACCTTCACCATTGCGCAAATTGTGTTTTATGTTTCTCGAAAATGAAGTTTGTTTGACATTTTCATGTGGCAAACGGCATCAAGGAAAAACTAAAATGCATAAAGCAAATGGATCATGTGTTCAAAGGAGCAAAAGCGCCTTGTAGGTTTATAAACCTACTTGTATAACCTTATAAATGATGGCGGTATAATGCTTACAATTTCCTTTTGACAGAGCTGTAATCAGAATAAATAATCTCTGTATTTCTGGATCGAGATTGTCATAAATAATACATGTAGCAATGAGAAGGCTCATTCTTGTCTTCAGTTAATGAGAGGTCTCGCTATAGTGGCCTCTTCGCCGAGTCCTGTTCCAACTGAGAATTCGTCTGGAATTGGAACATTTAGCTCTGAACAAACAAACTGGATAATTTTTCTCGTTGCAGTCCCGAATGACATCTTGTTCAAGGTAACTGCAATAGCAAACCTGCTTTTAATGTCACAAAAACCTGTGGATCCACCCATACCTGAGTGCCCAAATCCATTAAAGGATCCATCACTTGACCTAAATCTCATAAACCCTAATCCGAATTTTCCGTTTGTCAGGGCTAGATTCCTGTACTCACCCACACCCATGAACTCATCATGAATTCTGGGGTTATTAAAAATCCTGATGACATTATGTTTGCGAGAATCATCACTGGCTTCTGGTGAACTAGCATTACTGCTACTACCACTAGTGGCATCAGTAGCAAGCTTGGTATAACCATCACTGTTACTTTCTCTACCACTATCACTGTCCTTGAAAACTTTACTGTGCTTCATCTTCTGATCATAGCCATTTGCTTTTTTCTTTGAAGCAGAACGCACCGCCTTACTCTTTTTACCGTTCTGCTTTTTGGAGGTAATCTCTAAAGAAAATTTGGGAATGTGGGGGTGGCTACCAAGGGGTGGTGTGGACAAAGAGGAATGAGGTGGCGGGACCAGGCCTCCATCAACAAGTGCTGCATAGTACCGTGCAAGAGCACGGGCTGAGCAATGTCCATTACCAGACGGTATAATGGCACGACGAACGTTCAGCATGTTAAACAAAGGAGGCAGTGTAGTTGCTATTTGGGAAATTTTCTCTGGCTGGAAGGTGGAGGGAAGTTCAGGACGGTTGCCAATTTTTGAGAACTTGCTAAAATCATCTTTATCTATTGTCAGAGCTGCAAGTCGAGATTCCACACCTGGAGGAGATGCATAACAAACATTACTGTGCCAAACATGAAAGAAACTGTGAATTTACTATTTGCAGGAGCATTACAACTCTATCCATGGAAGGATAAATAATTAGATAATATATCAACTTGAAAAAAGGCAGTTCTGTGTGTGGATCTTTGTAGTATTTACGCTAGCAAAGCAAGAATATCGAATACACGGATTTCAACAGATACCTGGAGGAATTCCAACATATAGCTCGCCTTCAATGTTGAGAGGTCGAACAATTGCTTCTTCAAGGATCTCCTGAAATTTCTTCCCAGAGGCATGCTGTTCCATTTAAGCACATTATTATAATGGAGGACAAATCAAAACTCCCTCCAAAAACAGATGCAGATCAAACATTCCAATCATAAAGTACTTCAAAAACAGATGAATGTGTCAGCTTCGTTTCTCTTTCATGTTCAAACACTTGAGCATGGTATTGTACCTCAATTATTCCACCACAAAGAAAGCCAAAAGAAAGATAGTGATACAACTGCTCTTGGCCAGGTTCTGTCTCAGGTGTGGACATAGCCATCTGTTTCAGACATTCATCCCAGTCAGTCCCTAGCAAAGGGTTTTCTCTGAGGTTGGACAAAGCGTTTTGCAAACCAGCTGTATGATTAAGCACATGGTGGACCTAAATGAGGAAAAAAACAAATAAGCGAACATATTAAAGAGTTTTAGGTGGTAATCAGACAAGTTTAGCAGGTCTTAGGACTTGAAATTTCACACCTTGATGAGATTCTTTCCATTAGTTCCAAATTCTGGCCAAATATTAGCAATACTTTCATCGAGGTTGAGTTTTCTGCAAGACAGCAAGCGACATTTTGTAACAAACCACAAATATGGAAGGAGTTCTGGGATTCTAGAACTTTCAAGGTCACTCTGACAATGAAACTTCATTATATTTGGGAATACTTATAGATCAAGCCTGACCACTTAATCAAGAATATCTGACCTACCTGTATCTCCCCAGTACAATATTTTTCTCACATTCTACATAAAGTTTACATTAAAATTACCTCATATTCAGCAGAATTACTCATACTAAAAATGTTATCCTATCAAAGAACCAGTAAGGACCTCAAACACAGAAACTTTCAAACTTGAGTGCCCAAACCAAAATGTATGGTAATGAATTATCATATACAGAATGAAAAATCAATTGCAAATAGTTCCATATGCGAACTAGAAAGAAAAACAATCTACTTGAATAAACAAAATAGGTTATGCAGAAAAAACCATGCTTGTATCAATATTGTTTTTAGGAAGTGGATCGTGCACTCAGCATTCCTGGTGAAAGCTTCCTCCAATATGAAAATTAACAAAAGAAACACTACATATAACCTTCAAACGGGCAAGAACCTCAAACACAATAACCTTAAAACTTGAGTGTCTAAAACAAACCGTATGAGAATGAACTATCATATACAAAATGCAAAAATCAATTGCATATTGTTCCATATGTGAACCGAAAAAAAAAAAAAAAAAAAAAAAAAAAAAAAAAAAACATTCTAGTCATATAACAAAAATTTACAAATAGGTTATGCAGGAAAAACCAGTGCTTATATCAATATCCCATCTAAGAGCTGGCAAGGACCTCAAACACAATAACCTTCGAACTGGAGTGCCCAAAACAAAATGTATGATAATGAATTATCATAGACAAAATGAAAATCAATTGCAAAGAGTTCCATATGCTAACTACAAAAGAAAAATCATTTAGTCATGTAACCAAAATTTTGAAATAGTTTATGCAGGAAAAACCAATGCTTGTATCATTATTGTTTTGTTGAAAGTGGATCTTGCACTCAATATTCCTGGTGAAAGCTTCCTCAACATGAAAATTGATCAAAACAAAATTACAACTAAACTAAATATTTTGCCCAACAGTGTTAACACACAAAAGGCTTTCATTTCACACAATTACCGCTACATACCCATTGTCAACAAGCCAATGTAACATTCCTGCTGCAATGCCCTTTGTTACAGAAAAAACGTGAAAAAGGCTATCAGGCTGTACTGGGCGAGGATCATATCTACCGAGTACTCCAGCAGCAGTATCAATAATAACCTCTCCATCTTTGTAGGCACATACCTTAAGAATCAAATTGATAAAGTAGTCGAAATAAGCAGTAAATAAGACGGTTATCTTTTTCATATCAAAAGCATAAAAAACCAGTATAGGTTAACTAAAGAATTAATTTTACTGTTGTTAACAAGTTATTCTTTCATGCTACATCATCAGAAATAATTGAACCAAGCAGACCTGGATTCCAAGTATTTTGTCATCGTTCCCTAGCTCAACTAAAATCTGCCTCAGCTTTGCCTCCACATCAGAATGCACTGGTGTATCATAGATCCACTGTGCATTTGCTGATGGTCCTTTAGCAATCTTTCTGGAAATTGAATTTACAGTTCACACAGAGAAGAACTAGAAATAAAGACATTAAAAAATTGGCACATTTGTTCTGGATAGACTCACTCTTGCAAAACAGATTCGGCAAATGGTCTCATGATATCTTGATATACTATGCGAGCATCCAACGTGGAAGAAAGCCCTAAACCCAAATCAAAGGAAAAGTAAGGAAATGCAAAAGTTTTCACACTAAAAGCTACCAGTGTTAAAATTTTGTTACAAACCTCTCAGAAGATTAACAACCCGTGCAAATATTACCATATCACCAGGAAATGCATCAATCTGAATGAACATTTGTTACTAAATTTTGATGAAATTGCCAATAAACGGATCAAGAAACATATTGATAGAAGTAGAACGATATGATAGAAGGACACACTGGATTAAAGCGTTTAACTTCCTTCCGGCTGAGATTCGTCTTTTCCTGTAGTGCCTTCATGTTTCTTGCTCTTTGTTCACCCATAGATTTCACATATTCCTTTACAGAAGCACCATTAAAGATTGGACTTGCTGCTTATATCAAAATAGAACTCTAGAAACAGGCAGTTCATACTTACAGCAGCTTCATTTGCTGGTGTTGAAGTGCGGAAAAATACACTGGTCACATCCATAGCCTGCTCTGGAAGATCCAGGCGCAGCTTAAGTCCCATTTCGGCAAAGGAAGACAAAAGAGATACATGGTCCCCCTGTACAAGAAGGCATGGCATTTACTTCATAATGCAGCATTAAACAAAAATTGCAGGAAATAGAAACAGATAGGAGCGATGACAAAACCAACAGTACTGTAAGTAGTTAAATTGGCATATTTTAAGGATAGTGGTGGTGAAAGATTATGAAAATAATGGACAATGCTCAGCTACACTTGACCAGTAATTTGATTTTAGTGAGCAATGTGCACTTTTGAGCAAGTTTCAGCAAAATATGGAATAGCAACAATGGGGTTCAGCATATAGAGTAATCCCAGAGACAGAGAGACAGGGTAAACAATATGCTAAACTAGGACACAGAAAACTGTCCTGTGCAAGAAAAATTATCTTATTGGTCAACACATTCCGTCATCAGATCTGTTACACTGATGCTACACGATTCTGATGAATTATTGGCTACCCTGACAGGAAAATTTTAACAAACCTCAGCAGTAGCAAGAAACATCTTAGCTAGTGATTGTTTCATAGAGCTTGATATTCTCTTTGTAAGCCCAAAGTCAAGCAAAATTGGACGATGTGGAGGTTCTTTGCTCACCAGAAAATTACCTGCAACACAACCATCACAAAAGCATTCAACATAGTAAAATTATTCTGACATAGGGCACAATTAGGAATAATATGATAGAAGAAAGGAGAGAGAAACATGAAGAAAAGAAATGGGAGAAAGAACATAAGTTTTGATTTTCAATTTCACACCCATTATCAAATTTCATTAATCAAAATAGCTCCATGAAAGCATATCAGTAGATGTCACATAAACATCAACAGGGGGGGGGATTTTGGGCACACGCTCTCTTTTTCTTTCCTTTTCTGAGGCAAACAGCAAGAGATACTTTTTCTTTCTTCTTTTTATACTAATGGTAACCAAGCACTAGACCAGTGGTTGAGTGAGTGAGTGAGCGAGAGAGAGAAAAAGAGAGAGGGGGGTATACCAGGGTGAGGGTCACCGTTAAAAAATCCATCAACATATATTTGATGGGCATAGGCCCGTGTGATTTCTTCAACAACCTTTTGTTTGTTAGCACCACAAGCTTCAAGGGATTCAAGGTCATTCAAACGAATTCCGTCCATATACTCCAAAATTAGTACCTTTTCAGTTGACTGTCAATGAGAGGAACATAACACACACAGTAAGATGAGTGAAAAGATTGTGCATCATCATCAATCTGAACAGAGCAAAAGAGGTACCAAGCAGATAAAAGGTTAGAAGGAGTTCACCCTTAAGATCCGCTCATCGAAATGATATATATAAACTATCCATATGTGACAAAATATGATAAGAAACTAGCATAACTAAATAAGCTAGTTATTAAGGTAAGTTCAACTGTTTTGCTTGGCTATCTAGTATAGACATTCATGATGTTGTCACACAACTTTGGCGTCAGATATAATTAAACGACTATAAATTCCACACTGATTATGGCCTCCTACATGATTCCTTTTCCTCCACTCCAGTCTGCCCAGGCTTCACCATGACATTAATATTCATTTTTCTCCTACAAGATTCATTTTCTAAGAATGGTGGTTAAAGAGGGAGACTTCGTCACAACTCAGAAATGTCAACAAAGATGCCAGCAATAAGACCTGTAGTATTTGTTTTAGCCAGTGAGAATATAAACAAAATTCCTAAGACAAGAAATGTTTTCAGGATTTCATCCTATTGCACCGGCACTCTAGCAAGCAACTTCATTATATTAAAAGGTTAAAGCAAAATGATACCTGAATAACCTCCGGAATCAAAACATCCACTTGATTGATGGGCTTGTCACTGTCAGATTTGTTTGTGCAGCCAAGATTTTTGGACACGGTTCTAGTGTTCTCTACAAATACAAAGGGCCAGTGTGAGTAGAAAGAAAAGTAAACTAAACAGTAGAGATATACAATGATGCACTAAATCGATAAGAGAATATTAATGGAGGAAGAGATTGAAGAATTTAAGAATTCAAAATCCCTTGTATTGTCTTTGCACGGTGTTATTAAAAAGATTGGCAATGTCCTATACCAATTCATCATAAGGAGTTGGAGTTTCACTTTCATAAAAGAGCTAGAAAATGGCTGACTACACCATTGCCAACCATCACTTTCATCTCTACAACATCCAAGCTCATTGCTGCAACATACGGCCAACACTAATGCTTCCATTGCCATAACAGCACCATGCCAAAGCCTTCACACCAGTTGCCACCAAATCACCACCGGAACCATGTTGGTGCCATTGCACTGTTACCACAAGAGCACCACACTACCTTGACCAATGTAATTAAAGCCACCCTCAAACTGCCAACACCACCGCTGTTGTCACCACCCTCATAATGCATATCTACCATGCCCAACTGTTGCCTCCACAACCAAAGAGTATATACACAACCACCCCAATCCAAATATGATCACGACAACTACCAACCTTGCCCCCGCCACCACCAATCATCATCACTGCTGAGACCACACAGCTGTCATCCTATTCACTCCATTGCCTCATTAGAAACTTAATATGCTGCACTTGGTATGAATTCTAAGCACAATCAGTTTTAACTATAAATGATTGGATTCCATTTTCAGTATTTCCAGTTCCTGATATAACTCCCAAGTCCCGATACCCTCATCCAGACCCAGCCTTAGCACACATTTATTATCTATTGGTTGTAAAAGAAAATAGCAACTCTGTGATGTCGTTGACAGAATTTCATCAATACAAAATGTCACAAAAGACAAAGTTTACCTGCTTCATGGTTGAAGTCGAGTTCTTTTGGAGCTTCTTTGCACCACTCATCAATCATGGGATTGAAGTTATATTGTGGTTCTGCCCATGCTATCCAGTCAACAATGGACTTTGCATCTTTTAAATCCTGCAAAACAATGGCATACAACGTAACCATATAGGACTGCAACATTTGCTTCCTTTCTAGCATCTCAAAAGCCAAACACAAAAGAGTTTCAAAACCTCCAATATGATTGTCTTGATGTCTTCATGTTGAACTTTAACCACCACCTTCCGCCCATCAGTTAATGTGGCACGATGGACTTGCGCAATCTGCACAAAATATTACATGAGAACCACAAGATTATTCCAAAATGTATACATACCCCTTTGGAGAATAAGAAAGCAAAATTTCCCAACTAAATGGGCCTTTGCATTAACCTCCAGCCACAAACACAGTCTAGGATCTTACTGATGCTGTCGCCAAAGAATTTTTGTCAAAATCCAAGAAAAGCTCCTTCATGGATTTCCCGAGTTCTTTCTCTATAGTATGACAAACCTATAACCAACCAATGGAAAAACGTCACTCGCAATAAACAACTAACATTATGAGACAAATACCAAAATAACAGTAAAACTAAGAATTTCATCAAAAACATCGAGACAAAAAAATCGCATTAAATCATATGATCAAGACTTCCATATCTGCTAGAAAAAGACTGAACAAAACCTCTTCTAACGGTCGAGCTGGGAGAGAGTCTTGTAACTGCTTGAGAACTGAAATGTATGCAGAAGGAAGCACATCAGCTCGTGTGGATAAATACTGTCCAAGTTTCACCCACAAACCCTCCAACCGCATCATCAAATTAAGAACACGCTTAGCATTCCGCTCATGAGCTTTCTGCCACAACGCATCGCTTTTCTCTTTGTTCATAAATTTCTCTCTTTTCTGTAAAGTCTTCAGGATCACAACAGTAACCAGCACAATCAGAATAAACATCACTTAAAATAGTAATATTAATAACCAATAAACTTGAAAAATCTCATATTTTCCATATAAACTATACCTTATAGTCAAGGTAAATTAGCATAGCCAATGTGAATACTCTCACGCGTCTTCTGTAAATCTTTCCCCACCCCATCTCTAACACAAAAATGTAGCTAAGATTCCACTCACTCACTCCCCGCCTCTACGCCTTTTACTAGTTAATCCAAGTAAAAATCCCCGAGACGTAGCTGAAAACACAACACAAAAATCAAACGATGTTGCGTAAAATCAAAATAAAATTTATTTCTACATGATTACCGAAAATTTTATCATTAAATCAAATTACAACTAAAATTTAACTGCAAAATCAAAATTCATATCAGATTGTAATTACACTCTAATTACAAAAAAAAAAAAAAAGAAAAGAAAAATTATAGGCAGATGACCATCAAATTGAACAAAAAATATTCGAACAATACCTGATTGCAGTAGTAGTCGTTCAGTATCAGTAAAATAACAGCGATTAAACAAAGGATAGGTTCAAAATTAGAGAATTTTGAAAGATACAAGAAGAAGAATCTACCTGAAGTTGAACAAAGGAAAAAAAAGTTTGAACAAAGGACGAAAGAGACACGGGAAGTGGGCAAGAAGCATACAGAAAGCGTGGAAACTCCTCGAAACGACCGTAAATAAATGTCGTTTCTAGATTAACAGAATCTAGGACTGGTACCCTCGTGTCGTTGAAATTTGATTGTCGTTTTGTCAATTAATTACGGACCACTCGTTTAATGGCACGTGTTCGATTCGGTTTGATTTTCGTTTCTGGTAGCTATTACCCGCCGTATGACGTTAGTTTTCGGTGTAAATAAATACTAATTGATTAAATAGAGCGGCAAAAAGAGAAAATAATGGGCAAGTCTCAAATAAGTCCCTAAACTATAAACACATCTCAATTAAATCCATAATATATCAATGGTTTTCAATCAAAAGAAGCTCACATGATTTCTTTCTGTTTTTTTTTATGAATTTATTAAAATTTACTCGTCCATATAAATATTAAACTATTAAATAAAAGAGCAATAAGGAAAAATAATAGACAAAACGAAAAAAATCCCCAAGCTATAGAAGAAATCTCAATTAGATATTTAATGTATTAATAGATTCTTATTCAGATTATTGTGTTATTTTCTATTAATAAAATTATTAAATAATCACATGATTTTTATCTTTTTATAAAAAATATAAATTTATTAAAAATTTCTCATCACAAATAGTGATAGAATAAACTATACAAAAAAACATAAAAGTTGTATATTTTTTATATAGTTTTATTTATCTTGTGAGTTTCACATGATGCAAATGAATGTTTTATGAAATTTCATAATTTTTTATTTAAAAATAAAATTATAAGAGTTTTATGTGAGTATTTAATGATTATGTTAGCATATTGAGAACTTGATGGAGATTAAAAATAGATTAAGGATCTAATCAAGACTATTTTCATAGATTGGGGACTTCTATGAGGTTTGCTTAAAAATAGAAGGGAGAACTGGCGTGGAATCACAGGGAGTTAGGAAACCGTTGGCTTAACAAGGGAAAAAAATCACAGCCGCTGCGTGGTCTGGGAAGAGCAGGTTCGCTCGGAAGGTTGACTTTCAACGTTAAAAGTCGTTGAAATACTATTTTATTGTCGTTGAAATTACTATTCAATAATGAGTAAATTATAAATTGGTCTCTCAATTTTGAAAAATATGTTAATTACTCTCTATTGTTTCAAAATTAATTATTTAGTTCGTGGACCAGTGTTGACCACAAATATTATTTTATTTCATAAAAAATATAATCTTTTCTCATCAATTTTTCTATAAATTTTTTTCTTTTTCAAAATAAAAATTCAAAATGATTAATTCACAAGAAATTTTTAAAATATAAAAAACAAATAATTAGTGTTTAAAATAAAATAGTCTATTAATTCCTTTTCTAAAACTAGAAGGACTAATTTATAATTTACTTATCAATTAATTACTTAGGAAGGTCGGTAGACTTTCAACAAAAACTGGGGGAAACGTCAACACGTACGTAGAGTCGCATGTTTTGAACTGGAAAATTGAAAATTGAAAATTCGTTGGTACTGCAAAGAAGTTAGGAATTGAAAATTCCTTGGAATATTAATCATGTTTTGAACTTCCATTTCATCAAGTCAAGGATATATTGAGTCTTAACTCTTAAGTAATTGAATTGGGGGAGCTACTCGTTTTATACTTTCAATATCCCTAATTGATCTTGTAGAATAATATATATAATTATGAAAAGAACATATCTTTCAAATTTTGATTAAAAATTATTCACCCTAAAAAAAATCATTTCCTGTGACAAAAAAAAAAACTCAAAATTAAATTCCTTTCTTCCTAGTATTTTAAAGGGCCAATTTTGATTAATAATAATTAAGTATTTTTGTGTTAAACACATATATATTTTCGAATAATTAAATTTTATATATCTCAATTTTCCACACACGTTCAGATTATTTATGAGCTATTGGAAATAATTAAATTAATAAATTAAAATAAACTATATATTTACATCAAGGTTTATATTCTAACATGCATTGAAAGTTGGAAATGTTAGTGTTGATTTAATTTGAATGTAGAGTAAATATGTCAAGCACTGAATATTATCAATAACAAACAATTATTTGAGAATTAATAGAATGTGATACCTAAAGAAAGAAAGATAAAGAAAAAAAAGAGTCAAATTATTCAGTTTAAGCTCCAAAAATTTGAGAGTTAATAGAATGTGACACATAAAGAAACATACATAAGAAAAGTCAAAACAGCATTTGAATATATACCATATCTATAATCTACTGTGGCTTCAAATCATTGTTGTATAACATTTAGCATTTGTAAAAAAATCTAATTGAAGAGATTTTTGTTTTAAAGAATTCGGAATGTTATCAATAACAAACAATATTAGCTAAACATGAATATTGTTTTTAGCTATTAGCTAGATCAATGGTAGTTTTAATAAAAAAAACACTAAAAGAGTTGGGGCAAAAGAATAGTGATTATTGTTTATTTTTTCACATTTCATTGTCGACTCTATGGTAGTTTTGATAATTTTTTATGGGGGTGTTTTCGTTAATTTTGGGCTATTTATGCGCATTCGTATGTAAATTTTATACTATATTTTATTTTGATTTTAATTTTTTTCAAAATATATTTTTAACTCCTAGATGGAGAGATGAGAGACAAATGAAGAGAGAGAAGGGAGGAGAGAGAAAACTATGATCGGACCAGATTCCAACTTTTTTCTACCAATCTTGCATTTGGATTGCTTGAGTTAATTTCTATTTTTTAATGTCCAAAAAAAAAGAAACAAATATATATAGTATTTTATTTTGGCAAAATTTGGAATTTTTCTACAAAATAGATTGATTTTTTTTCAATGTGTGTGTAAAATTTCAACTTAAAATACAAAGAATTGAATTTTTTAGAAAGAAAGATTATAGCTAAAAATCACTTGGATGGATTAAATCTTAGAAAATTAAAAATTCAGGGATCCTCAAAACTAATAAAAAATATTTAGAAACTCAACTTCAAATGGCTTAAAATTCAAGAATGGTTAGACTATATATTTTAACGTTATACAGTAAATGGGTCAAACCTTTCCGAAACTTAGTTTATTTGGACAAAAAATCTTGCACTATTAATTTCGGATTTTACTTTCTTTAAACTTTTTTTTTTTTTTGAAGATTTAGCTTATCTTTTAATGTTTGTAGGAAAAAAAAATAGTCACATAAATAACCCATGGGCTCATAATGTTGAATCCAAATCAAAAAAATAATTAAAAAAAAAAATCTAAAAAACCTCATATTGTTTGTTCAAGTACAAAATCCTTAATTTCCTTTCTTCCTAACATTTTAAAGAGGCCTTTTGTTTTTGAACTTATGTTATTAATTAGTTTATGTAGCTTGTCCTGTTTTTCTCTTTTTTTAAAACTGAAAAAAAAAAAAAAAAAAGACAACTACTCGATAACAATTCGCACTTCTCATGCTCAAGGTATAATCGTTTAAATAATAACTACGTATTGTTGTGCTAAAGATAACACATATTGTCAAGCTCTAGCATGAATATAATGGGCGAAAATGAAACATATACAAATATATTAACATGAGCTTTGTCCTGTTTCGATTAACAAAATTAAATTAAAATAAACTATTTATATCAAGTTTTTTCAACAACAGCATCATGCATTGGAGGTGTTTGATGTTGTGACACTTACTAAAAATTAATTTTGGTAAGCTCTGAGCCAGATAAAGAATGAAATCTGCCACCACCTTCGACGTCGATCAAAACACAGGCAGGATGTTCAGGTGACCAATTTTGTAACCGGTGGTAGGTAGGACTGTAAGAATTCCTGATACCATATTAGAATGCTTCACATAATAATACTATCTTAAAAAATGATTAGCTGTCCTATAACTATGTTTTAAAAAAATGATTAGCTGTCCCATAATTATGTTAAATCGTTTAAGGCAATAAGAAGAAGGTTTGCTTGATGTAATTAACTTTCTAATGATATAATTTAGAGTGTTTACATTTTACACGGATATTATCTTTCAGAAAAAGGAAACTGTCGTTAACATTTTCATATTTGCCTTCAGGTAAAGATCCAATTTTCTCGTCCAAAATTTACCTTTTCTATCTATAATTTGGTACATTTTACACCGACAATCTCTTCTGAACTTAGTTTATTTGAAAAAATTAAAATTTCTTGTACTTTTAATTTCATATTTGATTTCTTCTAAACTTTTTTTCTTTTTAAATTTAATCCATCTTTTGATTTTGTAAAAAAAAAAAAAAAAATGATAATCACATAAATAACCCATGGGCTCATAATTTTGAAAAAGTCAAAATAATAATAATAAAAAAATCTAAAAAATCTCATATTGTTTGGTCAAGTACACTATTTTAAAGAGGCCTTTCATGTTCAAGGTATAATCAATACAGTATTTTATTATATATATTACAAAAACATAGGAGTATATTTATTATATAAAAAAGAAATGAACTTTGATTAAAAGGTAATAAAAATTTGTAAGAAATAACCATTTAAATAAATAATAACTAAGTATTGTTAATGTGCTAAAGATAACACATATTTTCGTGCTCGAGCATGAATATAATGGGAGAAAATGAAACATATATAAATTTAACACGAGGCTTAATTAGCTATCTTCACCCATCATGCAAGATCGTTCTATTTATTGGATTTTAGTATTAAATATTCATGTGAAGAATTTTAATTTTATTCTGATTAATTTGGTTAAAATTCTATCATAAATTTTCACTCATGTTTCCATTATCTTGCGCTTTGGAGGTGTTTGATATTGTGACACTTACTAAAAATTAATTTTGGTAAGCTCTGTGCCAGATAAAGAATTAAATCTGCCACCAACTGCGACGTCGATCAAAATACAGGCAGTCGTTTTTGCTTGCTTTGCGTTGGTTTTCTACGGGGAATGTTCTGGTGCCCAATTTTGTAACCGGTGGTAGGTAGGACTGTAAGAATTCCTGACACCATATTAGAATGCTTCACGTAATAATACTATCTAAAAAAATGATTAGCTGTCCCATAATTATGTTAAGTCGTTTAAGGCATTAAGGAGAAGGCTTTCTTAGTGTAATTAACTTTCTAATGATATAATTTAGAGTGTTTACAGTTTACACGGATGTTCTTATCTTTCAGAAAGGAAACTGTCGTTAACATTTTCATATTTGTCTTTAGGCCGGTAAAGATCCAATTTTCTCGCCCAGAATTTAACTTTTTCTGTATAATTTGTTATCAACTGACCACTAAATACTTATCTCTCCCCATGAAAATCGTGTTCAGTTAATTGCCTACAGAAACGTCTCCTCTTCATACTCCACTCCAAAAGGAACATAAACGTCTCCTCTATCATCATCTTCCACTCCAAAAGGAAAGGTTTCGTGGCAGTGCTGTAGGAGAAGAAAATGGATAGAGAAAAGAAACATACGCCTCTATATTTTGATCTGAATACGGGTGCTAAGATCCCATCTGTTGGCCTAGGGACATGGAAAGCACCACCAGGTGTCGTCGGCGAAGCTGTCAAATCTTCTATCAAGGTTTTTTTTCTTACAATCTATTCCGTCTGTTCGTTCCAGACTCTTTGTATTAATTTCAATATGAATACTGGAAATGTACCGAGTTTCGCTGTTTTGGTTCCGACTTCATGCAGGCCGGCTACAGGCATATTGACTGTGCTAAAGTCTACGGTAACGAAAAAGAGGTAACGGTATCTTATTATCTTCCATTTCAAAGTTTGAAGGCACCTACCTGCTCTGTGTTTCTGGTCATTCCTGTTTTTGGCCTTTGCAACTAGATAGAGATATTTCTTGCGTTGTGTTAATGTCATGCAGATAGGGGTAGCATTGAAGGAAATGTTTTGCACTGGAGTAGTGCAACGCAGTGAGATGTTCATCACATCTAAGCTCTGGTACTTTATTATATCTTTTTGCTATTTATTGTTCGTGATTAATTTGGTCTCTGACTGAAATTGCTTTCAGATGACTAGTGATCATTACTATCAAATTTTGAAGTTATGAGTGTGATCTTGGCCTGACGCCAAGTTTATTTGAAAAATTAAGTCATGATTGCCTGCATGTGACTCTATTAGCTATGAAATTTTCAGGTGCAGCGACCAAGCTCCAGAAGATGTATCAAGGGCACTGAGCAAGAGTTTAGAAGATCTGCAACTTGATTATATTGATCTATATCTTGTAAGTATCTGTTATGCACTGATTCATATTTGCAAACAGTGGAACGATACTTCAATTTAAAACTAAGACTATTATTGTCGAATGTAGAAATCAGAATTGGCACAATCTGGTATTTAACTGATAGTAAATTTCTGAATGTGGCCTTGCGTTGCAGATTCATTGGCCATTTCGGACGAAACCAGGTTCAAGTGGATGGGACCCTGAAGTCATGGCACCTTTATGCCTTGAAGAGACATGGACTGCTATGGAGGGCTTATATGCATCAGGTCAGGCACGAGCGATTGGTGTCAGCAACTTCTCAACTAAAAAGTTGCAAGACCTCGTTGCATATGCTAAAGTGCCACCTGCAGTTAATCAGGTCGAATGCCACCCTGTCTGGCAGCAGCCTGCACTTCACAACTTCTGCAAATCAACTGGAATTCATCTCTCGGTACGTAGTACCCTAGCTAGACAATCATTGGTCACTGATGTTTATCTTTAGAATCTTCTTACACGGTTAAGATTCGATTAATGGTCGAATAGTGCGAGTGAATACAATCTCTCTTGCAGGCATATGCCCCTCTGGGTTCTCCAGGATCTTGGATTAAAGGTGAAATCTTAAAGGAACCGGTGCTGGTTGAAATTGCTGAAAAGCTTAACAAATCGCCTGCACAAGTAGCTCTCCGCTGGGGTATTCAGAGTGGTCACAGTGTTCTTCCAAAGAGTGTAAACGAATCAAGGATCAGGGAAAACTTAAGCTTATTTGATTGGCATATCCCTCCAGAGCTCTTCTCAAAATTCACAGAAATCCACCAGGTACAATTTATATATATATATCTACTGGTGAGCTGCTATAACGAATATTTATAAATTTTTCTACTAACTAATATAAACCGGTGGGTGTGTCAAGCAGCAAAGGCTCCTCCGAGGGGATTTTGCAGTTCACGAAACTAACAGTCCTTACAAAAGTCTTGAAGAATTGTGGGATGGTGAAATATGAGATGATGACATATCCCCTGCTGATTTGCATGTGCAAGTTTCTCATTGATCTCTCTTCAGAAAACCAATCAATGCGGCCACATGCTGATCAAGACTGCCTCTCAAACAAAAACAAAAAAAAAAAAAAAAACCTCAGATTGTTTTTTCAAGTACAAAATCCTTAATTTCCTTTCTTCCAAACTTTTTAAAGAGTTTTTTTTTTTTTTTTTTTGAACTTATATATGTTATTAAATAGTTTATGTAGATTGTCCTGTGCTTCTCTTCTTAATAAACTGAAAGAACGAAAAAAAACAACTGCTCGATAGTCGATATATACATAGCTTCACATTTTTCATGTTCAAGCTCAATATGCATGCTACGTATATTATACATATTAAAAAAATATTAAAAGGTAATCAAAGTTTGAAAAGAATAATCATTTAAATAATAACTTAAGTATTGTTGTGTTAGCTAAAGATTAAACATATTTTCGAGCTCGACATGAATATAATGTGTGAAAATGAAAAATAAATATAGCATGAGGTTTGCTGTATATCTTCACTCATCATGCAAGATCATTCAATAATTTTTTATTGTGATTTGTTTTAAAATTCCATCACACAATTTCATGTTTTGATTGCTTATGAGATATTGGAGATAATTAAATTAATTAATGAACTGAAATTAAAATAAACTATTTACGTCAAGTTTATTCACTGCCTCTACATTGAAAGTTGAAGATGTTGATGGTGGTGTTGATATAATTTTAGTTCAATATAAATATATTGAACGCTAGATATTATGAGCTTATAGAAGTTGTAAAATAAATTGTGATATAGAGAGAAATAAAGAAATATATAGAAAGAAAATTCAGAGCTTCATCTTGTTATTATTCACTACCTCTACAATATGTATGTGAGTTTTTTTTTTTTTTTTTTTTTTGTGCTAATGTCAAAGTTAAATAAATTAGTATTAATATTTGGTTAAAAATGTTTTTTTTTTATAAACTCTCGAAATTTATTTTTCTTTCTTTAGAAATTCTACGCAATTTTGATGGGATATATGTGAGTTTTTTTAGTTGATAATGTCAAAGTTATGCAGATTTAGTATTTGATTAAACATCAAATTAATTACAAAAGTATTGTTGTTAAACAAAACTTTTAACGTCGAAAAAATTCTTTTATAAAATGAATTGCAAAATTAGGCGTTCTTTTTTTTTAATATATCAATATTTTGATGTGTACAATTAGCAAAATCGGGTGTGTTTTTTTATTTCTTTTAATATATCAATATTTTAATAACTTAAAATTATTTTATATAAGTTATGTATCAATAGTTGCGTATTTTAAGTATGATTTTTAAACAAAACTTTGTTAGATAATTATTAATATATTTCTCTCTTTAATTTGTGCTAAAAAATTAACATCTGAAGAAGTATTTAATTGCATCTCTGATTTTTTTCATTCAATCCATGTTAATAAGGAATTATAGTGAGTCATATCCGAAAATTTTTATAATACTCAATAAGTAATTAATGTAAGTTACTCCACATGGAGAGATAGACACAAAGAGAAAAAATAAATAAAAGAAAGAAAATTAAAAAAAATTAAATTTAAATATAAATCTTTTTATAGTTTAAAATATTTTTTTTATATGTCTATCTTTTTAAAAAAATAGACCCATAAAATAATTATTGTACGTATATAATAATTTCTTGAGTATTATAAAATTTTTCATTCATAAACAAAGTCGAAAAAATCAAATATTTGATAATTTTATTATATATGACTGAATTGCAAAAACTTTTGAATAAATACCCTAAATATCTCAACCAAAGTTCTTTCCGATTAAAGAATCCGTTTCCGTAATTTCAGTATTTTAATTGTTTATGCCCGCTCATTGAGTGATTATGTTGGCCTATTCTATAGGCTCAGAATTAGTCGGTGGTCTTCTTCAGGCCTATAACTGGCTGGTGTCACGTTGCCAGTTTAGCTCTATGTCGGCAGCTATACAATTTCGAATAATTTTATAATACATTATGAGTAATTAATGACATGTATAATAATTATTATATTGGTTTATTTTGAAGAGAGAGATAAGCATTAAAAAAAAAAAACAAGAGAGCAAATAAAAAAATTTGATCGTACATATAAATCTTTTTATCACTTTCGATAGATATGGATGTAATTTCACTATTTTTTTGTGTGTCTATGTCTATCGTCAAAGTGGACCTATGGAATAATTATCGTAAATGCCACTAATTACTTCTAGTATATTATAACATTTCTCTGCAATTTCTTTTGAAATACAGAATCCTTAATTTCCTTTCTTCCCAACTTTTTAAAGAGGCCATTTCTTTAAAAAAAAAAAAAAAGACTGAAAGAACGAAAAGAAAACCATTCGATCGCTTCACACTTCTCATGTTCAAGGTATGATCAAAGTTTGATTAATTCAAAAGTTCAAAAAAAAAAATTAATAATAATTAAATATTGTTATATTAAAGATACCACATGCATGTTTCCCAGCCTGAGCATGAACATAATATGTGAAAGGGAAACATAAATATAACATGACTTTTCCTATCTTAATTCACTTGTCATGAGAGATCATTCTATTAATTGAATTTTATTATTAAAATATTCGTGTAAAATTTTTTTATTGTGATTTGGTTTGAGATTTTATCACAAATTTTCACTCATGTTTCGATTATTTATGAGCTATTGGAGATAATTAAATTAACAAATAAAATTAAAAATAAACTATTTACATCAAGTTTATTCTCATATGAATTGAATAAATTATAGTAGATTCCCGAAAATAAAATGTGATAATAGAGAAAGAAAGATGAAAATAGGAAAGTCTTGTCATTAATTCCTTGCTCTAGACAAATTGTCAATTACCATTTATTAAACTTAGACAAATTAATATTAGTATTTGATTAAAAAAAAAATTTTCAATGGTTAGAATCAAAATTAGACAAATTTTAGTATTTGATTAAATATCAAATTAATTACAACAAAAATTTTAATGCTGAAAAAATTATCGCAAAATTGGTGTTCATTTTTTTTTTAACGTTTCAATATTTTATAATTCTTTTATATAAGTTGGGTATCATCAATTTACGTATGTATTATTTTAAGTATGATTCTTATGCAAAACTTTTTATATAATTATGAACGCCTTTTCTCTCTTTAATTTCTGTTAAAAAATAATAATGTTAACAAATAAAAAAATCACGGCAACGACAGAATCATCAGCTAGTACGTACATGGATGATGATTAACACTGGATCATAGTTAATCAAACCGTAAATTATGCTATTTTTCTCCCACTAAACCGTTAATTATAAATTAGTTAATCAAACCGTTAATTATGCATTTTCACTTACGAATCGAAATAAATTCATAGTTAATTTATTTAATAAATAAATTAACGAATTAAATTTATATAATTATATCATAATCGAATCAGATTTGAATCAAAATCATATTGATTGATAGCTCTACTTGACACATGGAAAAAAGATTTCAGCACTTTACCTGTTTGGGCCAGCCTCTTGACTTATTATTGGGCTATTTTATAGGCTCAGGATCGATAGGTGGTATTCTTAGGGCTTATACGTGGTTGGTGTCATGTTGCCGGTTTAGCCATGAGCCAGCTGCCATACAATTTCTTTTGTAGTTTTCCTCTCTTTTATCGTACAATTCCTAGTTAAGATTTGTTGTTGGGTGGTTGAGGCTCTATAAAGGACAACCATCATGTCTTATTAAATGATCCGGTCCAAAATTCATGTTATCAAAAGGCTTCAAAGTTGCCCGACAAGTTCTAGACCCGACAGCAAGGTAAATCTTTTTTTTTTTTAAATATTGAAAATTTGAATTTTAAAATTATATTTGTTAAAAAATTATATTATTTAAAATCTTCACCGTTTATAGATAAGTTTTTCATCTTCTAATAATTGAGGTGGTTTCTAAGTAATTTTTTTTTATAAATATATATGATTCAAATTTAGAAATTATATTTAATAAAAAAAATAAGTTTTATTATTTTTATTTCGAATAAAATTAGTTATATTTCTAATATGAAACATAAATGCCTAAAAAGACTTTATAGTTCAAACACAAAAAAACAGTATGAATGGGTTAAAACCCGACTAAATGGGACAAATTTTTTGTAAATTTTTAATTCGAGTTTGATTTTTTTTTTTTGAATTTAAAATTCAAAGTTTAAGAAGAAATTGAATTTGAAATGAGAAATTCAAATACTAATTTTTAAATAAATTAAAATTTAGAAGGAATTTAGTCCCTTTAACCAACTTGAAACTATTAATGTTTGGTAACTTAATCTTCCTTTTTGTTTTGAATGTTATGTTCTTGTAAACCACTAATTAACATGGTTTACATTGAAATGGTAATCCACTTGTCTGATAGTTCTAGTGAATTAATACATTATCAAATTAATTTATAAATAAATTCAAAAACTTCTCATTATCACTCATCATAATTAATATTTCTTAATCCTGATCGTCAACGTTCAATAATTAAAAAAAAAAGCATATCAAAAAGTTCTTTAAAAAACATGAAAAAAGATTAAAAAGTAACATATTCTAAACGGCTTTTAACGTACACTGATCAACCTTCCAACTCAAATTTTAATGTATATATCTATTAGCTCGTAAAAAAAGTCTTTTTATAATAAAAACCCTAATCATTTTTTTTTTGATTCAAACGAAAGTTTGATGAATCTTGAACACATAGAGAAGCTAACTCCATTCCTGAATCTCTTAGAATTGCACATTGCTAGGTAGTAAATATAGATGCTGTGTCAGGGGACGAGGGCAGCTAGCTAGATTTGGTTATAATTTCTTAGATTGCACAACATTTGGCCTGTAATTCATAGGAAGCGGCGGGTTGTTAAAGACAAGAAGAAGACATTAAAACTTTTACAACTTACATTACATGACATGAAAACATGGAGATCCTAAAGAAGATTGAGGATGCTTTGCCTAAGAGTAACAAAAGGACAGCAAACACAATCATGGGAGATGCAGCTTGGTGCATGTTACGCCTACAAAAAACCGTGCACCTTTTATGCATTTCCTTTCCTTTTTTCATGACAGCTATATTTCCCATCCTGCTCTGATCATTACCCTTGCAAGTTGTTCTCCATTTTCTGTCGTCCTTGCCCTCCTTGCTTGCCTTCACCCTCACCCTCACATCAGCAAGCAAATCATCTAGATGTAATAGTATTTGTCGGTTAATTAACTCGGTTTACCTTAGTTATAAATTCAAGTTGGTCAATGTTTTCGGCAATTGTATATAGACATTTATGTATGTATAGAATTCATCATGTGCGACTCGTGAGGATGACTAATTAAGATTAATGCACTAGTATCTTCCATTTGTACAATCCTTAGAAGGTCTTGGCAGGTTCACATCAATCACACATATATAAAAAATCTAGCCAGTTGGTTGAGTAATTAACCTCGCATGCGTATTCTTTGTCCAGTGGAATTTCGTATTTTGAGCAGGTCCTTAAAAAACATATTAACCTGATTTTAGAAAACATATCTGTGATATAGTCTCATCAAAATTTCTAGCACTCATCTCTTCGTTTAAAGCTTTTCCTCTCCCTTATATATATATAAAGATTAATACGCTAGAAATTAACTAAAAAGTTCTGTTGTAAGTGTGCTGCTTTAAAATCATTAGACTCTAGACAATTGAAATACTTTAGCTTGACACATCGTATACATGGCTATCTACTCTTCAGAAACATATCTTTTCACGAAAGATTTTATTCCTTCATTTCTAACATTTCGTATTCCAACTGCACCACCATACCTTTCTTTTGAGTCTTTTTGAAAGGAAAGTGGGACACGAAATATCTAGAAAAGTGGGATCCATGCTGTTAACCAAATGGAGTAAGCATTGGATGGATTTGGCAATTTTACATGTGGCTGGCGGTGCTTTATGGGCAGTCTGGCCCTTCGATAGCACTATGGTCACATCCTTTTTTTAGGTACTCTTCTCTTTGCTATGTTCGTCATCATGTTTTTCCAATCTATAAATACGTACATCACCGTTCTTAGTTCACAAGGGCATTGCAAAAGAAATGAAATGATAGAGAGCACCAAAATTTGCCTTGAGGGCTTGCGTGAAGAGGTAGAGTGTGTAATTCAGCCAAGGATGACTTGCCGGCAACGACGAACGCAAAGCTTAAGTAGAAGAAAGCTACCGTTTGTTTTCTCGCCGGCAAGTTGTCTTTGGCTACATCGTACCCTCTTCTTCTCATGTAAACCCTACTTGGCAGCAAGAGCAAGAGCAAGAAGAAGAAGAAGCTAATCCAAAACGATTGGCTTCGAGAGGATTAACAAGTGGTAACGTTTCGTTGTATTATTATTATTATTATTATTTATTTTTCATTTCATAATTATAATTGTGCTATTTAACTTGATAAGATAAACATTTCGGTTCTTGAAAACTTTCAATTTAGTAAATAAATTTTAATTGAAAGTCGAAGTATCGCTAATCAATCTTTTTCAACTAGCAAGAAGACCGACAAGGACGTATGGATGTGACAAAAGCAAACGACAAAGAAGAAAATATATGCACAAGGCATTGCATTATTTGTATCTATCATGCAAAAACTTTACGTACTTTTTCTCATGTGGCTGTCCATTCTCCTTGCATCACCGTCGTCGTCATCTTGTAGCAATCTCAGGCGCCCAAAAGTGGATTTTGAAAGAGGACAAGTAAAGAAATCCGGCACGGAATCAAATCATCAAAAAGGGATAAAGCTATGTCTACCGAACGGTAGCCGCACGAAAACAATAATGCATTGCTCAAGGTACCGACATGGATGGTGACATTGCTTTGCTTTAATGGTTGAGGATGAGAGAAAATGAGTGTAGGAATTTTTATTTTTAGCAATTTCATAGCTTCTAGAGAGGAATTTGCATTCAAAGGTAGCTACTTAGAGAAGAAGACGTTACCTAATTAGTATATGTAGTTGGTGATTATTGAAATGCCACAAATTATTAGTAGCTGATAAGTTAGCTTCATGTGTATCTTAAGATATTTTTTATAGGAGTAAATTATGAATTAGTCCTTTTTGATTCAAAACAAAAATTTTAATCCTTTGACTAAGTTGATTGTGCTTAATTTAGTATTGCTTTATTTAAAAAATATTATTTTATTTTATCTTTTCATAGTATTTTTTAATTTAAAAAAATAAAAAAGAGCATCAAATAGAAAAAAGAGATTAAAATATTTTATTTCTTAAAACTAGAGGGATTAATTTATAATTTACTATTTTTTAATGTGTTTTCTTTTTTAAGAAAAAACAAGAAGCTAAATGGATTGAATGTGTTTCTAGCTATTTTTTTTTTATGCATAAATTAAGTTAATTCTCGCTGATGGAAAATTTTATTTCTAGTAATTAATTTATAGGACTAAGTTAATCCTAAAAAAGAAACAAAAATATAGGAACCAGCTTATATTGTAGCGAAGATTTTCATACCTTCCACTATATATAGTTTTTATATTTTTTCAGTTTTCATATAATCTTAAATAAAAACACTGCCTCAATAATTTAATTTTTTATTGAAAACTTTTTCCCTCTTTAACAAATTAATATTTCTAACTTGGTCCCTAAATTTATAAAAATGCATTTCTCAAATAACTTGAAGAGCCAAAGAGGGAAAATCAAAAAGAAAATAATTTTTTTGGTTCATCATTAAACATGCATGTTGGTACTTGGTCGAATAATATAATTATTTCTCATGACGTGCCAAGTAGTGGTGAATTTATCTGCTGAAAAAATAAATAGTTTCTTATTAATTGGAGTTGGCATCATTAATTTAGATTTTGATTCTAAAATGACATTAATTTTAAATAACTTTAAAAGACAATTTCTTATTAGTTTTAATCGAACATATATGGACTCTAAAAGATTAATTTTACCAAAACTTTGAATCATTAATTTCCTAACTTCTCGTGAGCTTTAATGATGCTTAATTTAAATCTATATTATATTACAATAAAAATATAGTATTTTTATTCTTATAATCAATGCTTTTCCTTTCTTTTAATTGTTTTTTTTTCTCTTTTTTTCAATGTCTTCATTTGTATTATTAATTGCCATTTTTCTTTTTGGTTACTGAAAATCAAGCATATATATATATATATATATATATATATATATATATACTTTTTGAGATATTTTCCAATCAGTTTCGTATTAAATCAGACTACATGCATAAGCTTAATTTTTTTTAAAAAAAAAAATTTGAACTCTTTGAATTGTCAAGTATTCTATCATGGTTCATGCATGAGGAGGAAATATTGTAGATATGACACTAACTAATTTCTCAAACTCAGTATACCTTTTAAGATTCTATTCTATTCTCACATTCCACAGGAAATCAAATGTCTTCTTCTTCTTCTTCCTCTTTCTCTCCTGTCCTTTATTGCATAAAACAAAAGTGCATTCGGTCAAAAAGTTCTGCACTGAAACCACAGTGCCATCACCAATTCAACGACTATGTCTACTTTTGATGCCATGTGAATGAATATATGTACGTGCGTCTGAAGCCATACCTTCATCAATTATGAGCAGTTGGACTAGATGCGAATATGTACTTCTTTTTCTTTGTTTTTGAACCCTAAATTGGCCTATTTGTTGGAAGATTGCAACGACATTGACGTGTAATCTAGCTGTGTTTGTTAAGATTGATAAATACAGGATTAATGATACGGTAAAATAAAAATTATTTGGCTAATGAAAGAAAGAAGAAAAATAAGAATTAATATATTCAAATTATAAAAAAAATAATGAAAGAATGATTAAAAATTACAAGTGAAAATGAATTTGAATCTCTATTTTTTGTTAAACAAAATGAAATTTTGATCCTTCACTTTTTATCCCTCCTATCCTTATGAATGGCAAGATTGGAAATCCGACTTATTAATTCAATTATTTATTTTATTTATAAAAAATAATATATTTATATCTATTCAAAAATTATTCTTTAAATTCATACTTGACTCATTCTCGATTTATCCGCCCATTTAATACTAATGCTTGGTAAATATAATTTGCCAAAATATGTCTCTTTAACCCTTGTGTTTTTTCAAAACTAGTTATTTTGGCCCTTAAAATAACTTTTTTATATATATAATTTGATCCTTTATATTTATTTTTTGTCTTCAAAGCTGTCACAAAAAACATATTGGTCTCTATTTTATAAATTCATATGATCAAGTCCTTTCATGCTAATTTTTTATTAAAAAAAAAATCAGTAGCCATTAGCAGGATATAAAATAGGTATCCATACTAAAAAACTATATTAACAAATATATATATTTTTTATCTTTATCCATCTAATATCTATTAAATATTTTTAATTTATATTTATTAAATAGAATAAAATGGATATATACTTTACATCCTGTCCATTAACATCCCTAACATCCTTCTTCCAATCCTTATTGAGCATTGACAAACAAAGTAAGCCGAATTGATGGTTAGCTGTTAAGTTGGGAAAGACATGCTTTATAGGCCTTCGCCATTTGTGCGATAGGACAGGCTAAACCAGGTCCAGCCCAAACATCGCATCTTCTGAAAGCTGATCGGACTTTGCCTGGGTATTAATGGACAAAGTTAGCTTTGCTGATGTTGGGCTCTAAATCTATGGTGATTTAATAGCCCAATACCAGCAGGGTTCGAGCCCAATAAAAGATTCACGGTGAGCAAGTATTCTTATGAAAAATGAAAAGGATTAATGATCGTAGCAGTCTTTTTCTGTCCTCATCATATCCTTCTAGTACGAGTGTCTTATGTTTTGGCCACATATGTCAATTTTATTTTATTTTATTTTTGTCTTATTTTTGTCTTTTTGTCTTTTGTTATTGAATTTAAATAAATAAATTTTGAAAAAAGTGGAAGTAAAAATATATTTTATCTAGAGCATCCTTTATGAGTTTAAATTTTGATATCAAGATAGTTTTAGTTAAATTTTTAAACTTTTGAATAGTATTTATAATTTTATAATGCCTCAAAATAGTTCATCATAATTTACTTATTTTTATTTTACAATTTCTTTTTTAAGATTTACTTAAAAATAAAAATATAAATTTTGAGAATTTCACTAAAAAATAGTTTTAAAAAAATAAATATATTTTCACCTTTTGTTTTCACAGTTTATTTATTTAAGTTCAATAAAAAAAATAAAGAAAAATAGAGGAACAAATTGAGAAAAAAATTGACATATATCGTAATCCAGTGACACTAACAATATGATTTAACACTATTTGTAAAAAGGAATTAACGGAAGGATACGATTAAAATATAAACCAAATGTAGAGAAACAAACTTTTTTTAAAAAAGAAAATGATAAAAAACGAACTAAAGAATAAAGGAATTCCTTCAACCATTAAAAAAAAAAAAAAAAGTTCATGCTATACAAATCAACTTTCAATTTTTGTTTTATTTTTGATAATATTGACCTTTTAGAAAGGAAGAAAAAAAAATCCAAATGACAAAGCCAAATGTGTTTAGCTTTATATTTTACCAAATTTCCACTTTCATTTTCCGTGTTTCGGTCTAAATAAATAAAATAAAATTATTATTATCAAATAAGGAAGATTTTGTTTATCTTCCAAATAGATCTAAAATGGTGTGTTGAAATGGAAACACCAATTAATAATTCAATTTAATTTCTCTTGACCGAAAGAGGGAAAATGATCTTGAAAATTTGGTAAAATGTAGATCTAAATTGTATGTTGAAATGGAAACACCAACAAATGAAACTTAGATTTCAGATTTCTTATATTTGTAAACCATATATATATATATATATATATATATATGAAGAAAATAGTATATTTAAAGATTAATAAATCTTGCCTAAACAATCCTTCTCCATCTTGATAGATAATAAAAAACGAAAAGACTAATGAAAAAATATAATATTCTATGAAATAAAATAATAATAATAAATTAAGCAAGATCAATCCTAATTAAGAAATTAAATAATTAGTTTTTAAACCCAAAATAATTAATTAATTAATTTCTCAAAAATTTAGGGACTAATTTATATTTTACTTCTGTTTTTATTTATTTATTTTAAAAACCTCTTTACTGTGTGCTAGCTTCGGTGCCTTCTGCCACCTACCCACCTAGATTTGTGTACATCCATTCATTTTTCATACAACTACAAATACAACCTTACCAAATAGCAAACCTCAATAATCCCACCCCCTCAACAACCTCTACCTGTCTGTACCCACACGCCAGAGCATTGGATTTGCCGCGGTTGGATTTGGTCGGCTCCGTTTGCCTCTGCCCATTTTGGACCCATCGGATTCGAACCGGTTATTATATAAATAACTCGATAAGACTCATTTCAATTAATATATATTGCATCGGTATATTTTAATTAATTATTTTTTTTAATTTACATGTCCAAGACACATTCAAAATATTTAACAAAATTAATTTATTAAAATTAAAATTTATGATCTTACATGAAAAACTATTACTGTTATATTATAATTTTTTAAAAAATATTTCAATTTATTTAATTATAAATTGATTGTGATACGAAATGAATATTCATTATAAGAATAAAATAATTTCGGTTTCGTTATAAAATTAAGATTTTTATGAACCATATCCATTACTTCGGATCAAAATATCAACTTTATCCACGACTCTTAACCTATATGATGACGAATATATGCGAATAACTCTAATCTTCGTACTTGTTTTTCGGGTGAGATGCGGTATCTACTGGGTCGGGCCAAATTACAATCCCCACCCACACCCCATAACCCGAGTCCCAACAGACACGTGTGAGTGAGCATTCCCAACTCCTTTTCAAAGTCTTGAGTCTAAACTCTCAACAAACACGAAAAATAAAAATAGTAATTAAAAAAAAACAATTAATCAATTGTCTCTGGTCCTGCTAGGTTCACGTTTCGTTTCTTTGAATTGATATTTCTTATGCTCCTCTTGACTCAACACATTCCATCCTGAATCAGTATATTAAACAAACAAACCGAAGCATAACTGCTTTCATCTCCTTTGAGTTTTCTTCAGCGAGTTTGAGTTCATGGCGGCCTCAAAACTCGCTTTTCTATCGATTCTGTTTGTTTTTGCCCTAACGTTCGCTGCCGTCAGCGTTAGGGCTGATGACGATAGTGCTGAGTCCGCCCCTGCCGTTGATTCTTCGGCGTTGAAGATCGAACTTGATCAACTGAAGTCTAAGATCCACGCTCTCGGTTAGTTACTTCCTTTATTACTATTTTTGCTATTCAACTTTTTTACGAATCTGAAAGCGTTGTGAAATTTTGAAGTTTGACCGTTTGGTTTTAGATGTTATCGATGAAGAATTTCATGCAGCTTGAAATTTGATGCTAATTGTGTCAATTTGAAGATATTCATTTAATTTCAGTATGAATTTTTTTTTTATGAAGCTTGAGTTGGAAGTCAAAATTTTTATCATTTTGGATTAATTTTGAGTGGTTAAAGTAGGTTTATCTGTGATTAGAGTGACTAATACGGTGTTAATGCTAGTATTAAGAAAATCAGGCCAGATAAACTAATTTTTGTTTAACTTCCGATTATGTTTAGCTTTCTTGATTTATAAACTTGTTTTTCAGTTGTGCAATGTGTGTGTGTGTGTTTTTTTTTTTTAAAAAAAAGCATAAAAAAAAGCTTGTAACTATCTGTGTGGTTGTTGGGTGATGAAGAATCTCACATTGATGAGAAAACGAAAGAGTTGAAGGGTAAGGGTGATGTGATAGCGCAGAAGGAGAAAATCATTCAAGAGAAAGCTGATAGCATTGCGTCATTGCAGAGTGAACTGTCATCTCTCCAGGTATGAAATGTCATGGATTCTTCGAATCCGGCATTAGAAGTTGTGTATGCCATAAGTATGGAATGGGTTTCTGTGTGAATGTTATGTGAGGCTTTTATTTTATTAAACAGAGTAAAGGGAAGATAGATGCTCAAGTTGAAGTTGGAAAGGCGCATGCCCGTGCAGGCGAACTAGAGAAACAGGTTATTATTCATCTGGATGGGCAAAACTGTTTGTTTTGGAAGAAGTGTTGTGCCTTTGTAAATGTTACTTCTTTTGGCAGATTAATAAACTTACCAGGGAATTAGAAGCACAACATAAGAAAAAGGAAGCCCTGGAAGCCAGAGCAAGTGAAGCCGAGAAGAAGATTAGTGAATTGAACTTGAAACTAGCAGAGGTAAGTTCTTGGTTTGTCAGGATTTTAGAAAATGCACAAAGTTTTGGAATGCCTAAACAGCTTTAGTTCTTCCCGGTTCTCATAGAAGGCATCTTATCTTACAATTTTAAAGAGTTTTAATGGTCCTTTGACCTCCTGTCTTTGACAACTTTTTGATATGAAGTGCTAATGGATCCTCAAAGATATGCATGTACACATGTCTTCAGCCACTCAAGTCCTTTTTCTTAATTGTGCTATTGCACTTCTCTTTCCTTTTCTTTTGCTGTTATTTCAATGTATTGCTGCCTGTTTCTTTTTTCATCTCAGCACTGATTTTTTTTTTTTTTTTTTTTTTTTTTTTTTCATATTTCTAATTTGAGATTTACTTCAATCATTTAGTTTGGGATGTTATGTAATGTGACAGATAATGTCTTTGCTTTACAGCTTGAAAAGATCAATGAGGAACAGAAAAGCAAAATCCGTAAAACAGAACGTGCTCTCAAAATTGCTGAGGTATCATACAATTGTGTACATACTCATATTATTCTTAATGCTGAATGATGGTGATTCTTATATGCAATTTCATTTTCTGTATATTTCAGGAAGAACTGTTAAAAACAAAATCTGAGGCCACTTTAAAGGCCAAAGAACTGATGGAGGTAATGAATTAATGGATTTGTTTGTTGTGCCATCCATCTTTTATGTTCTAAATGCTTTTCAGACATGTTTTTATATTAGAAATGCTAGTTTAAACCAAACGATATAGATCTGTCCATTTGGTTGTGAAAGTTGGATTCATTCTTTACTGCTGTGAAATTATAGATATAGTAATTGAGGGATAATCCAAATAGACTGAATTTGGAGTTTGATGTCCTCCTCATGTTTTGGAACTTTGGAGAATAGACTTTACTTTTATGAAAGTTCTGTTAATGTTTTATTGCATCTTTAATATGTTGATAGGACCTTGTGCAAACTAGCAGCCGGGCTTTTGGTAATTGTGAGAATTTTTTTACTGAATTTCACCTCTGATCACGAGGGAACATGAAACAACACGGGAGTACCTTGACTAGAATGATAGCCAACATTATGCCAAATTGGTGATCAGTTTTGGCTTTAGTACTTTTAGCTTGTAAAGTAAAGGTGCAAATAGCAGCATACAAGCTATTTGCAGTTGCTTGAAGGGTCCATCTTTGTCAGAAGGGAATTGATATAGCCAGTGGAGGTCATGTTGGCAACTCACCATGAGCTTGCACTTAAGAAGACCTGTTACTTGCAGGTCTAGAATGAAGTTTGTTCTCATTTGCTTTTGGTTTTAGGGATGAAATCTGATGGAAATCCTCAGGAAGTACTAGAATTTGGAGAAGGTTAATATAATATTTCTGTAGTGAAGACTGTATGTACTTTCAGCAGAAAGAAATTCTCATCCAGGCTGGAATGCAATAAACACCTGCGAATGAGGTTGAGTATTATTAACCTTTTGGAGCTGTTTTAAATTCCCGAATCTATTCTGGACTTCATTGCAGATGTCCATGAGGCGCCTAAAATGTTTGAACTTTGTCCCTTCTTTGCTAATGCAGAAAGCTTCAATAAGAAAAGGATAGCACCCATACAACAAGAACATTGTGTCTGTGCTTCAGTATATGGAATCATTCTCCGCCCTGACAAAAGGGGAAATTTTTTTTTCCTTCTGTCTTTTATCCCTTCATTTAGGTTCATTGGATGATTTGAACATCCAAATTCTACTTCAAGGACAGTTGAATATGAAAGCCTTTTTTTTTTTCAATCATTATTATACTAGTATGTCAGCAGCACAGGATATTTCACATGCTTTGGCTTCTTGAATCTTCCTTCCTAAATTTCATAGGATATAATTTTTGTGGTCATGGATTGTTAGTTTTTAAATCATTATTTTTTGCTAGAGGCTCATCAACGGATCATTTATTAGAGACCAGAAATTGGTGAAGAGTGTGCTAATTGATAGTTGTGTTTTATGACCAGGTTCACAGTGCATGGTTTCCACCTTGGCTTGAACTACAATTAGTTCATTGGCAGGTAATATGATGCCTGTATGGTATTTTGGGAAAAAAAGATCTTGTCATGTGTGTTGATAGTCTCTTTTCAGTCTCTGGCACAGAAACATTGGAACGAGCATGGAAAACCTGCCATGGAACTGGCCATTCAAAAGGTATAATGTTTTGGTTGTTGGGCGGTAGCTTACTGTTTTTGGAGGAGTCTGTTTACTAATTAGATATGGTCCTGTGGTTAAATGCTAGGACCTCATGAAAAAATTGTCTCCATTATATCACTAAAATACAATGTTGAGTTTTTTTCAGGCCCTGGAGAAAAAAGCCCAAGCTGAAAAATGGGCCGAGCCCCATGTGGTAACAGTTAAAACTGTAAGCTCTCTTTTCATGCTCCCCAATTTTCTTCTCGCTTATTAATTGTTGGGAGTGCGGACCTGATTTTTTGACCTGTCACATGTTTTTCCTTGCATCATTGACTTGAGAAGCCTTTAAAGGCTGATGTACAATGAAGCAACATCCTCTAATGCTCCATGGACTAATTGAAATTCGGCTTGAAAAAGTTTTGAGTGAATCAGTGACTCTCTACTGTTTACTGTTTGTAACATGCATGTTTTGCTCGAATGCTAATCTCTGCTGTTAACTTTGATTGGTCAAGTACATGAAGAAAATTGGATGTCTGTACTTAATAATTGTTTGCCCTCTTGCATGAAGAAATGGGTCCCAGCTATAAAAGAGCAATGGGTTGTAATAACAACACAAGTTGAACCTCATGTGCAATCATTAACGGCCAAAACTGTCGAAATCTATGAGGCCTCAAAGACTAAAATCACTCCACACATCATCCGAATCCAAGAAATAGTCGATCCTTATTTTCAGGTGTGTATGCTGTTATATTGTCCCTTATTGGATGCCTGCTTTCTTAACTTGCATCTGAAATGTTTAAATTTGATCTCAGGATGCTAAAAAGTTCAGTAGGCCATATATCGATCAGGTTGCTACTGTGACGAAGCCCCACGTTGATAAAGTTAAGGTGGCTTTGAAGCCCTATGCGAAAGAGGCAGTTCATGCATATGGGAAATTTTTAGAATCTGCAACCACATACCACAATCAGGTATCAATGCTGGTTCATTCATCTTCGTTGTGATGCTATGGTTGATTATGAGTATGCTAGTAAAATGGATCCTGTTCCCTAATGTCTTTATGAGTATGCTAGTAAAATGAATCATGCTAATAAGTGGTTTCTTCAGCTATAACTTTTTTTTTTTTTTTTTTTTGGGAATGAATGTGGAACCATGACTTAATGTATTTGCCTGGATAAATACTATTACCTCATATTTTTGCTATTAAAGATTTATTTTCATCACAGTTGAACCATTTTCTTTATTTTTGTTAAGGTGCAAGGCATTGTACAAGAGAATCTGGAAAAGCACGAGCTCACCAAACCACTCGCAACGAAAGAGTTCGTCTGGTTCATTGTATGTATCTTTGTTCATTTATTCGGAACATTTTTATTGAATACATGTCAACAAAATAACCTTATGTATGCAGTTTATTTGACACTAATTAAGGTTTTTGTCTTCTGATGTTGTAGGCCTCTGCTCTGTTGGCCCTACCTATCTTCATTTTGGCCAGAGCTCTTTTTGCCACCTTCTGGTCAGTTTCTTAATCACTTATTATTCACTTTTGTCTGTCTATTCTTCATTTACAGTTCATCCATAAGTTGAGTTTTGATTAGTTTTACCTGCAGCTTATATGTTTTGTTTAATTGACATTTGCAGCAAAAAGGCAAAGAAACCTGCCAGAAATGTTCAAACCAGTCACCCTCGTCGCAAGGCTAAAAGGGGGCATCCAGACAAGTAGACTTCTTGGTGCATTGCTGGGTATTTTATGTTGCAAAATATGGAGGTATGTGGCATAAGTATTGTGAGGAATAATGGATGGTACCCATATATCATTTTGCCATAATTTAGCTGTGATTCAGAGCAACTTGAGTAATTTAGCTGATGGACAGTTCCGAAAGTTTTTCTACGGTCAGTTTGGATGTCCAAAACCTGTCAACAGACTTTTACAACACCATAGGATGCTACGCTCTGTAGTCCTGTGGCACTTTGGTTTGCCACTACTACAGTTTGGTGGAAATGAGCAAAACATTGATTCTGCAACTGCAAATGATGATTTATAAAAAGTTGTAAATCACCCTTCCCTCCTCTCTGCCAAAATGGGAGGTGACGAGGTCATGACATGTTACCTTTGGTGGAGTAATTATGTGAATGGTTTAGAACTGTGAGGACCGAGGCAAATTAGTATTTGGAAACATTTCAGTTTATCTGCCGGACTGTAGATTACTAGTCATAATTCATGTGTACTATTACGAATTCCAGAAATTATGCTTTCAGTCTGACATTTAATTTGCCTTGTACTGTTAGCAGATGGTTGTTATTTAATTCAAAAGTTATTTCTATCTCATGCAGTTGGGACACGTGATCTTTCCATGCGCTTTTGTGGCTACGATATTCCATCCAGGAAGCTCCTGCACTGTTATATTTTTCCTTTTAGTCTTTGTGGAGAACTTTTAGAACCTTTCACGCTACAGCAGTTTAGATGTGTATGATGAGCCATGTTGATTCATATTGGTCTGTTGGTAGAGACTTAAAAGAGTTGTAATTTATTTTTTATTCTTCTCAGTTTTCAGTTGAAATGACTATAACCTTGCTGATGATTTTGTTTATTACTAGAATCATGTTTGTTCAGCCTTCTGTCTTTTTACATTTGCCTAGTCAGTAATTCGTGTCTACCTCGTAGCCTATCTACTCGATTGACTGGCAAAAGAGGTGCCGGTATCCACTGGCACTTGTAGTTCTGCTGGCACCAAACTTGCTGCTAAACTTCGGTCATCTGCGATGGCCTTGTGGTCGAGTGAGGTTCACCGGCCATTGGGCATGCAAGGTAAGGGAAATAGTTGACGGCGTAAAAGGACCGGTTGCTTTTGGTGGGAGTATGATGAATCTCGCAATACTGCCATTTCTGCAACATGAGATGTTTAATGACATAAAAGCAAAGTGGGAATGGTCGATATGCAAAAATGAGTTATGGAATTTTGCAAAGGAATAGCTTCTACGGTGTCGACAAATTCCAAAGCCAGCTGAACCTTTGTTTTAACGCCTGTAACTCTTTCCACCCTGTAGGTATTTTCGTGAGTTCAAGTATCAGGAAAGATGAGACTATAAAGGACTCTTAAGCAGTCTGAAGTTAGGAGCTTTGTTCCCTATGTCGGATTCATGGTGTCACCTTTTACTCCTATTGGACATAGGGTGCTAGCTTCATGAACCTTGAGGCATTGAATCTAATTTCCCGTCCCTAGCTTCATGATCCTTGAGGCATTGAATCTAATTTCCCGTCCATCTAAATCCGGTGGCCATTGAATCTAATTTTCTTTGAGCAGCTCTTGCTACCTTTCTTTAGCTCTTTCTTGACCGGGCCTTGGGCTCTATCTTGGTCATGCTCAACGATTGTCCAATGTGCATCCCAGTTTAAGCCCTCTCTCTTTTTTTTTTTTTTTTTTTTTTTTTTTTTTGTGAGATTTGAATCCGAAACCTTGGAGGAGGAAAGGTGGATGTAGCATTGCTGTATACGCTCACTTGTTCCTACTTCTCTGGTTCTCTTTTCGAGATTTGTTTGGCCTTATAGGGAGGGAAGGATAGCGGCAGAATAGGGGCATCTTTTTATTTATTGTTCTTTTTCATAATACACACATGTCTAAACCCAAGTTCAAAGCTCTTAGCAGACTTAAGAGCTAGGAGTTAAACCGATGACCTCTTGTTTATAAGTAAAAACCCGCTGCCAAGAAGCTCATTGGTGGCAGAATATTGGTAGTAAAACCACGACCAAATGCCAAGAGAAGAGGGCCGGATTTTCTTAGCTGAATGTCCTATCAAGCTGAATGTCACGAGAAACTTACCTAGTAAGAAGTGATTCTGGGATCCATACTGTTTTTGTGATCACCGGCATAAAATTTGTGGGTAGTTTTGATTTCTTTTTGCAACACTCCAGGTTGGGGTTTGTCTTTACTCTTTGATGACATCAAGCTGGGCTCTGAAGCAACTACTGTTCACCATTCAGCGAGGGTTTGTCTTTTGTTGAAGAAGAGAAGGATAATTTTCTCTGGATTTGTTTCCTTACGGTGTATTAAGGTAAAAAGTGTTAGAAAATAATATAAATCATAACTTGTATCATCACTTAATAGTTTAAGTTTTTGGATAAAATGATCTCTTGACATGATATCGAGCCTTGATGATTAAACGATCGTGAGTTCGAATCTTATCATTTCACTTTTTCTTCTAATTAATTAAGCACAAAAATAATATAAGCCTGTATAAGTTTTAAGCTTAAAGAACATTCACTTGAGATGATGTATTAGAGAATATATAATATAAATCATATCTTGAGACCTCACCTAATAGTTTAAGTTTTTGAATAAAATAATCCTTTGACAGAATATACGTTATTCTCCTACTAATCCCTCACCATCGGCTGGAAAGCTTGGGACCAGATTTGCTGGCGGCCGGAATCTAGAGATTTTTTCTAGTCATTCTCGTTAGTGAAAATAAATCAAGACTGTCAGAACATAATCATGCATCCTTTTCTAATCACGGCTAACAATAAAAAACTAAAACAAAGGAGATATATAGAAAACGAAGATGCATAGTTGCAGTGGGTTCAAATCCTAGGTAAAAATATGACTCCTCCAAGTTGCTGGGCATTTCTCTTTTCAATGCCCTCGCTAACAATTTAAAACATACATATTTGGAACTAAAACATGCTTAAATTAAAGCTTAATCTATGGTATACTAACAAACTTGTCAAATTTGCTTATCATCTGAAATGTCCTCTCTCTGCTATCTGATCTCAGTATGGAGCCCAGTAGTTCTCCAAATCCATGCACTGTTCCATGCCCATGTATCTGTTGGTATGCCCATTTGGATTGTGCATTTCTGCACCATAAGCTGCAGCCTGATCTACAGCAAAAGAGCTATTACTAGTCATCATGGAAGTGGTTACATCTTGGTGATTCATAACCGGAGGAGGCATTGGTCGCAAAACCTGTTGCGATGCAGCCCCTCCAAGGTTCAAGTTCAACCCTGATATAGTAAAGCATCCTCCTCCTCCTCCTCCTCCTCCTCCTGATCCTCCTCCGCCAACTGAGTAAGGATTATTCAACGGGGATTGCATTGGTAGATTAATGCCAGTTGATCCACCAGCTCTGAAAACCCTAGTAAGCTCTGCTTGAAGGTCTGCATTACTCATCATGTAGTTTCTTCCAATGGGGAGTTGGAAGTTCTCTGCAGCCTGCATCATTTGTGAAGGAAGAACATTTGGTCCTATTTCGAGGTTGTAGGGATTTGCTGCTCTTGATTGGCTTGTGGGGTATTTCTTGGCTCCTGCACTCTTTTGGAAGACGCGGCAAACCACCCATTCATCCTGCTGGATCCCACGTATAACATGTATAGGTTAGAACCTTTGCTCATATTTGGGAACAATATAAGATATTATTTTCCATGTTTTTCCATATTATTATTATTATTATGAAAATTAGGCGATTAGAATTAATTAAGAGTGATAACATTTGTTCGACGATAAAATTTTTTTCCCATATTAAATAAATAAATAATAATAGAATAATATATAAAGTTGAGAATTAATCCTCTATATTAGAATTTATCAAACTTTATGTAAATGACATTTTTTTTCTTTTTTTGTTTACGTGGGTACAAGCTAGATTGTATGTTTAATTGATGGAGTGATTTCTGTAGAACTAGGATATGAATAATGGAAAATCTAAAGACCAATAACTTCATTATTATTCAAAAAATATAACTTAAATACAAGATTTATCTTCAGCTATACTAAACTTAATTTCCTGAATAAAAAGGTAAAGATAGAGCTCAGCTATATGTGCATGCAGCCATTAATTTCTTTGAAACTGGCCATTGAAAAACATGAAAAAAAAGTATGAAATATATAGCGTGACAAAACCGTCTGTTTTTCATGCAGTTTTTGAGAAAGCTACAATATATATATATTTATACCTTGGAAGTTCTAAAGCCAGATTTGGAGTGGACACGATATTCATGCATGACCCAGTTGGTTTTCTCTCCTCTGGGAGCCCTTCCTCTATAGAAAACCAATGTCTTCTTCATCCCAACCAACTGTGATGTGACACTGTTGAAGATCTCCTTATCTTTTCCAGTGGTCTTCCAGTATCCAGTATTTGTTGCCCGGTTTGTTCTTACACCAGTTGGATATTTTCGATCTCGAAGACTGAAGAAATACCACTCTTTTTCTCCCATTTTTGCCTTTCCTGATTGAGAGGCAAAAAATGGAACGATCAAGAATCTAGTGAAGTTTTATAACTAAGGAGTTTTCTTATGTTTGTTGAGAAATTAAGAAAAACAAGAAAACACAAAAAATTGATGGGTGCATAACCAAAAGAAAAGAGTGAACTAAAGCAATTTTTTTTTTTTTTTTTTTTTAATGAAGAGTGAGGTTTCGAATTCAAAAACTTTGAAGGCCAAAAGGGGATATTAGTGGAAATATTTGTTGTTAAATGATAATTTTTTGCATTTTCTTCAAGGAACATGAGAAAACCCTAAATCATAGTACGCTGTAAAGAAAAGGAAAATAAAATCAACAAGCCATCATGATTTACATGAATGAAGTTTTTTTTCTTGCGGACTTGACAAACAAAAAATTTCCATTATCAACAAAAGAAAAGGTTTTTTTGAAGGTTTGTGCCTTGATTTCTACTTCGAAGAACTCAAAAGTTGGAAAACAAATCGATGGATGAAGTCAAATTTGAAGCTGATCACGTGTGCTATAGAAACTAGATTTTAAGCTACAACTACCTGGTAGATCCCATGGTTCGCACTTGTTGAGATCAACATCACCAACAGCTCTACATGAGAAATCGGCATCTGAAATCTTGCTTTGAAGATAGAAGGTTATGAGTTCTTCATCTGTGGGGTGAAACCGAAAACCAGGTGGCAAAGTCTCATCCTTTGCATCTCCTTCCATAACCTTCTCTTTTTCAATCTGTTTCTTCCCTTTATCACTTATAGGATTCTGTACTACAAAGAAACGACATGAATGAAATGATCAAAGTTTACAAAGCCCTAAAAAACACAAAAGAACAAAAAGAAGCGTTTAAGCTTCCATTTTGGTCTTAATAGCTAATACCCTAGTGGGATCAAGTCCCATATCTTCCCAAGTAATAGAAAAGATGATCCAAGAAATAAAAAATTAACTTGTTTGGAACAAAACTTCTTGTTGTTTTTTTTTCATTGATAGAAAAATTTGTAGCTTACTTGCATGCATAGAGGAAAAAAATTCTTCTGTTAGGTTTTGATATTTCTCATATGATCAATATCATCAGTTTTTGATAAAATATGGATAGCTTGGGAGACTTTAGATAACAAAAGTAGTAAACAAAAATTCTTAGAAGCTTTTCCTACTTACCATGCACACGAAATCAGCTGGGAATTTAAGCTCCTGAGATCAAGAAAAGAAATGAAGGTGTGTGTATATGAAGCTCGTACCTACTATGGGTCTTAACATACAAGGTAGTATAAGAATGCTTTTAATAAGATGGAAAGTCATTGAAGAAATCATTGTTTAAGATACTATATATCATTTTTGGTTTGCCCCTTTGTTATGCAACTAAATTAAAACAACATCACCTAAAATAGTACTATATAATAACAAATAAAAATAAATGTAGAGTGATAAATATAGTAAATATTCTATAAGGTTTTTTAATAGGTTGATGGACGAGATAAAAATTTGTGAGAGCATCGCTTAAGTTTCGATAACTTTTATTTATTTATTAAATCATCACTGATTACTGTTATTATTATTATTTTGATATTTACAAGCAGTAAAATATTTTTAAATTAATTTTCGTATTAATAGAAATTAAGTTCCTCACTCTTTGAACTAATTCAATCTTAAAAACACCTAATTTTTGATTGATTACTGAATTACTTATTATGCAAAATAAATTTAAATATATATTCTCAAAAAATAATTAAGTTTGATTATCCATGGATAATAAAAATTAAATTTTAATTTTGATCAAATCGAATAATTTTTTTATCATTAGACGACACTGATTATTAGTTTATTAAAAATTTATCCGAGATTTATTTTATTTAGAACTAAAGAATGTGAATTCAAACTAGTCATTGTAAATAATAATAATAATAATAAAATAAAAAATTAAAAGAAGGATTTGGACATGCAAATAAGACGAAGTCACAAACACTAAATTGTGCACTGGTGCACGCAAAGCCCCGTTTCCAATTAGACAAAAACAACATCATGCCAGCCCAACATGCCACGTGGTTGTGGGACCCATTTTGAATCCATATGCCTAATAGCCAATCGGTCTCTTCCACATAAGCAAACCATGGGGGCCCCACTCCTGGTTCAAGTGGTAATAAACAAACAAGAGGGGGAAAGAGTCAAACAATTTGGGATTGATTGATTCTTGTATGTTAGCTAGGGTTTCGTTTCAGTACTGCAGCTCAGCTTCTTGCTCCAATATGCAATAACTCAGTTAAGGGAGCGAAGGGAAAATTAAGAAAGGTACACCAAATTCCCATATTTCAGTGGCCAGTCGTCATTAATATTTGCATTTCTCCATGTAAATAACGCTTCTTTGTTTCACTGTTTGAAGGTCTTCCATTTGCTATTTTCTTGTATATGACCATAAATTCATACTACGCATTTCATTCCTCAAATAAATATATAAAAAACCCTTCGCATTAATTATCCATTTACCTCATACAAGAAAGGAAGCTGTTGGGTGATAAAAAATTATATCAACCTAAAATCTTAAACTATTAAGATATAATTTATATTAATTTCTAATACACATCTTTAAATGAAAATTATTAATTTGAGATTGAAATTTATAAATGCTGGAGTGGAAGCTTTTTAGACTTGAAACTTGTAAAAACTCACTATTACTTTGTGCTTAATTATTTATATTGCTTTTTAATACACATTCTTAAGTGAAAGCCATTTAAGTTTCTACTTTATACTTAATTATTTAATTTTAATAAGAGATAATAGGAGTAGCTAGATATAAACTCGTGATCGTTGGTTATCAAAGTTTTGATACTATATCAAAGAAAATATTAATCCAAAAAGTTAAGCTATTAAATAAGCTTTCAAAATATAATTCGTATTACTCTTTAACAATAAAGAAGCTCGTTGGGTCTTGGGTTATACAATAAGGAAGAAACCTCTCTCAATACATATTAATTAAATAAATTGGAGTTACGAGTCTCAAACTGCTACGCTTTAAAAAGATATCGAATAGACAATTGTTATGCTATACTTGCTTGTGTAAGAAGCTGGACGATTAATCCTCTTTTTTTTTTTTTCGTAATGTGTCATAATTGTAATGAAAAAATAAAAAATAAAAAAAAACATGGAAACAAAAACCTAGCTCAACATCACTTGTGATAGAGGTAGAAAAATTCCTATGAAGTTTGCTAATTCCATACTATTTTGAATCTCTAAAACAAGTTCATCTGCGTTAATTAAATCATGCTTAATTTGCCAATTCTTGATCTAGATACTCTTTCCTTGCCTTTCTCAGTATGGAAAAATTTGGCTTAGTGTTCTTTTCATCAACATACAAATGTTAGTAGTTTACCAAAATCCTTAATTTCTCTTCTAATGAAATCTTCAGCCCATAATAAAAAAATAAGAGTAATATTCATAATTTAATCAGATTAATACATACATATATACACACTCTTGTATCTCATGTTCATGCATGTCCACGACATTAATTTCTCAAATTTACTAAAAAAGTATGTTAAATAACTAATCCAGTCTCTAGGCAATTGATTCACTTTACGTGTGATTTTATAGCTTGTCGGAAAATTGTTCTGATTATAACTTTTTTTTTTTTTTTTTTGCAGTTCAGTGATCATAAAGGTGGGTTAGTTATGATTTTGGAAAGATTCAGAGGCTTACTAACCTTGAATTATTGAGCTCCAAGTCCTATAGCAAATCAATCTTTCTTATTAGTATGCATACATCTATCACCATCTTTTCTTTACTTGCTTAATACTTCAACCATAAAATTTGAATAAGGTCTTCATCAAGTTGCCGAATCTGCACCTAATCCTCCTCGCAAACAAACAGCTTATCCTGAATTAATTAGAAGATCAAGAGGAAACTACATGATTGATTGAATCCTCAAATTATAATGTAGCTAGATCCAAAGAATTGTTCAATTATTAGTATAGGATTTCACAATGAGGGTGCATGCCTAATCTTGTGAAAACACAGTGATCAAAGCAACTTAAACCATGCATAGACTGATAGGAGAAGAGATGAGGAAGCTTCGATTGCCGGCATCCTCGTGCCGATTTTTCATTTTTTACCATTCTCATAATCCATAGCTAAAGGGATCGCGATATAAGGTGACATCTTAGCAGTACGTAATGTTGTAAAAATACATTGATCAGGGCAGCTTAAACCATGCATAGAAGAGATGAGGAAGCTTCGATTGCCGTCATTTTTCATTAATTGCCATCCTCATAATAATCAACATCTTAGCAGTAATATTGCAGACCTAGTTGGAAAATTCAATTATCAATGCGTACTTCAATTAATAAATTCAAGTAATTGCGTGCTAGATTGTGTGAATTCTGCTAAGCCAATCACCAATAGGTTAGATGTTTTCTTGTGGCTATGATCAATGAGTTGTGTTCACATCTGCTCACATGGAGTTAGAGTTAGTTTTTCTTAAAAATTTTTGTTATTAAAACAAATAAAGATCAGACATGGAGTATAGTTGTTTAGATCTCTGTCGGTATAACCAGACATAATTGATCAAACAAGATCACTAGCTAGGCAGAGATTGAATATTGTAAGGAAAAAAAGAAAACTTTTCCGATTCTAATGCCGGTGAAATCTCCGAATTTGGTGATTTATGTAACTTAGGTTACTAATAATACTATGCGCATCTTTGTTTCATCAAAAACAAAAAGTTAGGAAATAAAATATTTTGAGATTTAAAGTTTAATCACTGATGAATGCAGTTAGGGTCCAACTCTATATAGTTAAGAAAAAAATCATGTGTATGACGATTGACTTTTTGTTTTTCAAGATAGAAGTACTCGTGCGAAAATTTATATGATCACTTGATGTCAAGTTCAAAATCATTTTGTTAATGCGAATTATAATTTAAGATATCGTGTTCGTTTGAACAAATAATAATAAAAAAAAGCTTAATTGTCGTCATTCAATCGCTTCATCGATACGATCGTGAATACGTATCTAAATCTCTTTCGTTGAATTACATTTCAAAATAATCTAAGACGACTTGATAGATTTAATGGTAAAGTGGTTGACATGCATTTGTCATGGAGACTAAAATCCTAATGTGGTTGCAGATTCATGCTTGGTATGCTACTTGTCAAACACTTCAAAATAAAATAAAAAATATTTTCATTTACTCTCATCGTTATCGGTGTGTTTTACCGATAATACAATGATTAAGCAAGTTTTCTAAACATATTTATTTGTGTTCAGGGTTGCAAGAAAAAGAGTAATGAAGGAGATTAGTGGTGAGATAATTTTGTTTCCAAATGAGGGTGCAAAATATTCAAAAAGGTAGTTGCATGTCAATGTAGAACAAGTTATAAGATAAAAGGTGTACGTTCTAGTCCTTGTTGCCACAATTCTTCTACTTACTCTCTACGAAAGTTAGTCCTTAGTTTTCGTATGGGTTTCATTTTTCATTCATTTCTTGTTAAGAGACACTACCCTTAACTCCCTCCAATTCCTACATATAAAGTATGTTCACGAGATATGTTAGGTTGGAACTTAGAAGAGTTGCATGCATATCATATATTTCTTAAATTCTTGAACTTTGTGCTATCTCAAGAATTAGGGGGCAGTGAGAAATTAATTAGTAGTGTAAGAGGAAGTCTTGTAGAGTTGATTGGTAATTTCTGAAGAGGTAGTACTAAATTTACTTTTTTTAGGGTTACTTGAGCACCTTCCCTTGAATTAACCAAGAATGAAGCAACATGTACATGTTTTGAGGAAGCCAGAAGAGCTCAACAAATTGCATTATTACTATCCATGTCTTGATTATTTTATTGTGCGAGGTATACCAACACTTCAATATTTTTGATTAACTACTAAGTAGTTTGATAACATTACAAAATTAGGGAAGGCATGATTAATATTAATAGGCCTTTCATCATTTTATAATGTAAATAGAGCCCCAAGGGAGAAAATTATACAAAAATTACCAAATAAATAAATAAACTCAAGAAGTTTACATTCTTAAAAATCTATATTTAATTCTTTTACTTTTATATTTAGGTGAATGAACATGCTTGCAAATCCTATTAAGAGTATATATGAGAAATGAATTAATTAATCTCTCTTGTTTTAAAAACTAATTATTTAGTTTCTTATCAATGTTCTAATATTTTTTTTTACTTTTTTTTTATTTTTAAAACAAAAAATCAAAATAAATTTTAAAAAATAATAATTAATTTGCAAGAAAATTTAAAAATATATTAAAAAAAACTAAAAGAATAGCATTTGTGACTATTCACGATATTATTCATTCAGACTCATATTCACTATTCACCCAAACTCATGTGCACTCGTTTACTTTCACTATTCAGTAGTATTTTTATTATTATTATTATTTTTGCGCATTCATACTCAAAGTTAACATTATGTTTCATTTTGGTCCCTAATATTTTTTTTAAAAATATTTTTGGTCTCTAAATGACCAAGCACACATGCTTGCCTTGCCTTTTTTTTTTTTTTTTTTGGCAATTTATTTTAATTTTTTTATTATTGAATTAGGTGTGAAAATTACAAAAAATCAATAGTTATATTTTTTTCCTTACATATTGGTGATTGTGAAATATATGCGTTTTGTTTTCATATGTTAGAATGAATATGTATATTAGATTATATTATTCTTATTATTTAAAATTAATCATTTCAATTTTTCGTTTCTTATGGAAATTCTCATCAAATTAATTTTTTACTTTTTTGTGTAAATTTATTTGTTAATAAATATAATTTATTTTTCTCTATGTATGGATTTTTGAATAAGTTCAACTGAAAAATATATTTCATGTGTTTTGTTTGCTTATTCTTTATATAATCAAAATTTATCGAAATCAATTTTATAATTGTGTTATTGTAGTCTATTAACTTTAATATATTCCTTACAACTTAAGTTTTTTATTTAAAATATTTTTCAATTTATGCCGCACACTTTGATCCACTAAGCATGGTCACGATGCATAAAAAAAATTAGGATAATTGATTTTATTGAAAATTAACTATGCATATATACAAATAATACCATCTATTTGTTATTAATTTTTTTAATATTCTAAAATTAATTTATTTTTAATAAAATAATTAAAATAATATTTTAAAAGAATCACCTAATAATTCAAATGCAGTATTTTATACTAATATTATTGATTATTTTATATTATTAATATTTTTTTTGTAAGATTGCATAGAAAAAATAAAACAACAATTAATATAAAAACTTGTATAAAGATTAACAAATGAATCTTTTTTATTCTTGTTTAATGTTGATAAGAAGAATACTTTTTAAAAATATATACATTCGATATATATACAAAAAAATATTAAGACATTTTTTAAATTTGATATTAAATTTTTTATTCAGATTATTACATATTTTTATTTAGGAGTGAATGCATAAGAAAGAACAAATTATGTTTTTTTAACTACAAAATTTATGGAAAAACACAAAGAAAATATATTAAATATAAATATTTGATTAAAAATTATGAAATTAATGCTATAGCATTAAAAAAAAAGTTAATATTAAATGGTTGGTGTTATCAGTTATGTGTGAAAATAGTTTTTTTTTAAAAAAAACTTAATTTATAAGGAATATATTAAAGTTAGTAGATTACAATAAAAACAACTATAAAATTGATTTTGATATATTTTAATTATATAAAAATTAAAAAAATAAAATAAAACATGTCAAATCTATTTCTAATTGATTATTTATTAAAAAATATGTACATGAAGAAAAATAAATCATATTTATTAACAAATAAAATTACATAAAAAATAAAAAATTAATTTGATAAGGTTGTGCGTGCGTGTGTGTGTGTGTAACAACAAATTAAAGAGATCAATTTTAAACAATAAGAATTTTTTTAATTACAAAATTTGAGAAAAAAATAAAGAATAATAAATTAAATATAATTTTTTGATTAAAAATTATTACATCAAATGATGATTTTAAAAATTTTATATATTTTAATTGATCGACAATATAGTGTAGACTATCAAACTGAAATAAACATATTTTATTTTTCATGCAGTGTGAAATAAAAAATAATTAATTCATTTCTAAAAAAAAATATAGACTAATTTATAATTCACTCTGAAATTCTTCAAATTGCCTTTTCATATATATAACCTAAGAGATGTTAATGGGCGTCGTACAGAATTAGGCCGACAACCTAACCCAAATGCACAAGACATTTCTTTTAGCCCATTCAAGAATGTATCAAACAAATGGGCTAAGTCCTGTTTTCGATTTCCGACCTTTGCTTCTTGAAATGGGCTCGAATTTCAGATCCCGAAAAACAAATAGGAAACCGGAAACCCTAATTTTAATTTGCTCCTTCGAAGTAAAAGGCAAGTCCTTCGAACTGGTTTTGTTTTTTCGATTTGTAAGAGGTTTCAAGAACAATCAGACAACATTAGCTTGCGACTCTCAGGTACCATCTCTTTCTTTACTTCTCTTGCATTACTTTGTTTCAGTTACTGATATTCAGGTACGAAAAAGAAACAAAAAAAAAAAAAAACCATCTATAGTTCTTGTGGGTCTCCTTGATTAATGATTAATTTTTTTATGCTTTGATTATCTGTATGAGGAAGGGATTTTCATTCATCAAAGGAATGATAATGCTTAATTGTGATGAACCCTTTTGAGAGTGGATTAAATGATTTTGGGGTTGAGAAATCTTTTTGTTAATTTTATGCAGTGTGTGAAGAAAGATATGTTAGAAAACGAGGCGAACTCGACAATTAGTAAGTCCACTGGCTTGCCTAGAAAGCGTTTTTATCGAGCACGAGCACATAGCAATCCGTTAAGTGATTCACACTTCCCTGTTCCAATCTCCCCCAATCATGTTGAGTACTCGCATCATTACCCTCAGTTCTTTTCCTCTGCCGGTGAAGTTGGTAGTATCAAAAAGGTCCAGTTTGCTGATATTGGTTGTGGTTTTGGAGGGCTGCTGATTAGTCTTTCTACGCTTTTTCCAGAGACCCTAATGATTGGGATGGAACTTAGGGATAAGGTGACAGAGTACGTTAAGGAACGGATTTTGGCATTGAGGACAACAAATCCAGGACAATATCAAAATGTCTCCGTGGTTCGCACCAATTCAATGAAATACATTCCTAATTATTTTGAGAAGGGACAGCTTACGAAGATGTTTTTCCTGTTTCCTGATCCGCATTTCAAAGAGAAGAATCATCGTCGACGGGTGATCAGTCCACATTTGCTTGATGAGTATGCATATGTTCTGGAGGTTGGTGGAATTATCTATACAATTACAGATGTGGAAGAACTTGGGGACTGGATGAAGACTTGTTTGGAGAATCACCCCATGTTTGAAGCTCTCACAGAGGAGGAACTTCACGCAGATCCTGCTGTGAAACTTTTGAGTACAGCGACTGAAGAAGGGCAAAAAGTTGCTAGGAATGGGGGACAGACTTTTCAAGCAGTCTATAGACGAATTGCACAATCTCTTTGATACATATAGGAACTCTTAGGCTGCTCAAGTTCAATCTTTGTTGGGGATGATTGGATTGCTAAGATAGCCAATTTTGTAGGGCTTTTTCGCCATCTCTTTTTTTCATTAGTTGTGCTTGTTAATTGTTCTTGCCTCACTTTATTGCGATTATACAATGACATGTTCCACAAGGGAGTTTTGCCTAGCTGAAATTTTTTACTTGGAATACATGTGATTGTTTTAGACATGGATTGTAAAGTGGTAGTAGTAAATAAGATGAATTACTTTCTTCTAGATTGTTATGTGTAACATCTAACTTCAGAATTAGAGCTGTATATGTTTTCTTGTCTGTCCTTGTTTCCTCTGCGGCATCCTCATAAAGAAAACGAACGAGTAGACGAATCAACCCAAACCAAGGGCCAAGGGTGCGACTTTTCTGGTGGTGTCATATTGGCCGGTGCTTTGCTGTATCAGCAAGCCTCCAGCAGGACTTTGCTGGCTATGCTAGTTGGTTAAGTTATGCCTTCTTGTGGTTATCAGTCCTCCTCTATCCATGTGTCATAATTCATCTTGTAAAGCTCAGGAACCCATTCAAGTTTTGCATAGGCATGAGCAAGAAAAAAGATCCGTTTTGGATATATATATTTTCCTCAAAATGAAATAGCTTTACTGAATAAATAGTGAACAAAGAGCTCAAAAGTTTTTCAAATTACTATTGCTGAAAAAAGTATCGAATGGGGGTATTGCATACAGACAAACATTCAAAATCTATAACTGTTGTAACCTCCTGCACCAGGCGATCCATACCCTCCTATACTCGAGGATCCATATCCTCCTAGATGTGATGTAAATGAAGATGAAGGGTGGTAACCGGTTTCTGCCATTTGTGAATATGCACTCAATCCCGTATCTATCTTCCCAAACATGCTTGGTGGTTCCTTGTGATTACTAATGAACTCCTGCAAACAAAAAGATTCAAGACATTAGTGGCTGGTAATAGGAAGAAATAAAAGTAATCAATTAATACTGCCTGTCCAGTGGTAAAATCACCAAATTTCTATGATTTGAAAATGAACAGAACTTCAACAAGTACGAGTGTCAAAACTTTTATGCAGGAGAAAATGTGGAAATGAGCATATTCCAGGTCCAAATGTATATGCACCAGGACAATCATGGCAGGCAAACGTGTATGCATGTGGTGGGGGTGTTGAGGCAAAATGTGGGCAGGTAGCAAAACTACCCCATCTCACTATTAAAGACAACTACCTGAATAAGCTGTTGAGCCATCTGAACCTGAGAACCAGTGCCCTTGATTTCCACAGTGATCTCATCAGGCAAACCTCTGCTCTCTTGTATTGAAAGGATTGCCCCGCTGGTACGACGAATGTAGGCAATATTAGATCCAGCAACGCCAATGATATCCTCAGCGTATGACAGAGGTACTTGCATTGTCTGTGTCACCTGCATTAGATAGTAACATTGTTCTCAATCAATCCCAAGTAACGTGGAGACATGATATAAGAGCAAAGTAAACCATGACTAAAACAAATGATCAGTATGCTTATTCTAAAGATCTTTTAAAGAAAAAATGAAGACAACAGAACTGTTAAGCCACACATTCTAATGTGACTTTGCCAGTTCCCCCCATCTAGGCAATTAAATTTTCTGTCATAGGCATGCTGCCAGAGCAAAGATAGATAAATAGAAATCATCACAGTTGTAGTGCCAGAAATGGCATGGAATTTGGGGATCGTTTTCTTAATTGCAAATGCTTAGGAACCAGAAATGTTTTAAGATAAATGACAGGCTTTTTTGACAAGAGCATGCATATCAGGAAGAACCATAACCAATCAGCCCTGGGCATGCTGCCAAAACAAAGATAGAGAAAAAAAATCAAATTTTAAGACGTCGTAGAAGAGGCATGGAATTTGGGAGTCATTTTCCTAACTGCAAATGTTTAAGTAAAGAACCAGAAATGCTAACGCAAAACAATAAACTTTTTTGGACATGAGCATGCATGTCATGAAGAACTACACCCAATCAGCCTCCTAATGTAAGCCAAGAAATTCAAACCATGTTCAACTATAATATTAGAACAACTGGATAATTAAACCAACCTGAGTTACTATAGGAGCACTAGCACGGCCAAGTCCTGTTGAACGTAAACCTCCAAATCCAGGATCTTGTCCGTAAAGTGACAATCCAGGTTGTGAGATTTTGTGTTCAAATTGTGTTTCATGTTCATATATTGACGGATCCCGCTTCAAAGACAGGGAATAATCAGAAACATAACCACTTTGAAATGCAGGAGCAGGAGCAGAATGTAGAGAGGACTGAGCAATATCAGCCTGGGCATCTGCAGGGCGTTCCTGTGAAATTGCTGCATTGTACTGCAAAAGAACTTGGTTACTTCATAATTCCAACAACCATAATCCAGTACTTAAAGTGTTAAACTTACATTTTTCTCGAATAAAGGAATGACACTATGATCAACTAAAAACTTCCGTAGTTGTCCTATTACTGCTTCTAATGCTTTAAAAACTTTCTCAGCTTCACCATGTATTTCCACAATTCTCTCATCTGAAGTAGCATATGAGGGTAACTCATCTACGAGAAAAAAACAAGCATCAGAGTTTGTGCTGTTCAAAAAAAAAAAAAAAAAAAAGGAACAAATTGGATAAATAGTGATGCATAGAGAAGTTATTAATATAGCAATCCTGAAGTAAACAGGTCTGGTCAAATTCCAGTCCATACTAGGAAAGGACCTCACAAAATCAAGCCCAGAGAACTAAAATACTAAAATGTCACAATCTTTTAGTGAAATCTGGTCTTCAGTTGCTTAGATTTTGGGTCTATGCACAACATTCTGCATTCTAAAATGTTGCTTAAACTTGGTAAACACAAATTGAGGAACCAGATACAGGAACAGAGTCAAAAGTTTGAAATAGAACTGTAAATATGTAACATGGAATAGAAAGATAGCACAGCACACCACCACATCGATACTTTCTGCGTAAAATATTTTTCAAGGAGATGCAACTTGACTAAAGAAGAAAATAATTGCTTGAAGCATACCTTCTGCCATAACACGCACAGCTGCACCAGTGTTTTCCTGTATTGATTTGATTATGGATCCTTGCTTCCCAATTAAGTTAATTGCCTGTGAAGATGCAACCAGTAACCTCATGGAACAAAATGCAGAGCCAGTAGCAACAGCAGCTGAAACTGTGTTGTCACCCTCACCAGGAGATAGACCACTCACGCGCTTGAACACTCTCAGTACAGCATCCATTGCGGGAGATAGTGGAGCTTCTGGCTCTTCTTTGCCAGAAATAAGAACCTGAAAAGAAACACCTAAATTAATCACAACAGTTTCATCAGGTAGCAGAATTTGCAAGTCAAAAAAAAAAAAAAATTACAACAAAAATAATTCCAACGGTTCAAACCATTGGGCCTTTAAATTCAACAACGTACGTAAGGCTAATTTCAGCTTCCTGCAGCTTGCAAACAAAACTCATGGAGTTCCAAATTAGACTTCCAAATATTGTTTATTCAAGCTCATGAACATGGACCATCAATATAAAAATTCATATCCCATTTTCAATTTCATGATTTCTTTTGTTTCTGCATGTTCACTCATTTACATTGAAGAAATCACTCAAAATAACACCTAGCTCAACTCTTGTTAATATAATAATCACTCAAAATAACACCAAGCTCAATTATTCCTAACGTAGTCTAACCAATACAACTACAAAACCAAGCTCAATCTTAATTTCCTAAACTGCAATTGAGACTCAAAACCCACCAACAGAGACAGTCAACTCAACAACCTCGCAGCAAACACTCCAAATCTTGATCCTTCTCAGTTCCAATATATATATATATAAACAAAATAAAAATCCCATCTTTCACTGAAAATTACACCAAACTCACAAAAGGGCACAATCTTTACCATCCAAACCCCCAAATTGCAAAAATCACAAAAGCACAAAGCTAAAATTGCAAAATAAACAAACTTTAACTTACAATTCGATCAGAAATACCAAGAGGACCTTCAAGAATACGAATACGCGCACGTGTTTCATCACACATTTTCTTCACCAACTCTCCTTTCCGTCCAATTATACTTCCTACTTTTGAAACCGGCACTATTAACCTAAACACATTATCTCCAGGCCATCCCGGCCACTTCGCTTGTCCTTGTGATTGTCCTGCCTCCGTTACTGCTTCCGTTCCCCCTTCTGCTTGTGTGTTGACGGCGTTTGCTTCTGTTGGCTCTGAATTGTGCGTTATTGAGGCGGCTAACTCCATGTTGGTGATTGATTGAGAGAATTGGGATCCAATCAGGGTTTAATCGAAGAAATTTGGGATTCAATTAGGGTTTTACGTAATTTACCTGTGAGTGTGGGAGAGACAGAGAGTGATTTGTGTCGTTGATGGAAAAACGGAAGGAGGAATAGCTTTTCAGTGACATGTGGCGTAGGAGCCGGTCCTATTAAGCGACATGTCGGTTGTTCACGAGAATTTTTATTAATTTTTTTAATGAAAAATTATTATTAGGATGGTTTAAAAATCAGTTTTTGTGCATCAAGAATATTAAATATTGTTTTCTTGCTCACATAAAATACGATGTTTATCATAATAGTGCTGAATTTTATATAAATAAAATATTTAATGATTTTTCGTATGTACATACCTATTATTTAGAATGAGAAATTCATAAAAAAAAAAAACAATTCTCTCAATATATATATATATATAATTGATTATAAAATATTCTGAACTTTTTTATTAATAAAAAAATATTTTTATTCTGATTTAGATCTTGATTTTATTTTTTTGCAATTAAATTTTTCTATTACATTGATCAATTCCAAAAAACATTAGATATGCATTAAATGATGTGTGTTATTGTTTTAATTGTTCCCCTGTTTGGAAGTGTGTCTCTCAAGACATGTATTGCTGGTAATGACTCAAGTACCTCTTATGAAAGTTTAATTTCTTTAAAATTGATCAATAGAACGGAATGACTTAATTACAAATTAATAAAAAGGTTTGAAAACTATATCGGAATAAAAAACAAAGGTGAGATTTTTTTTTTATATGGAACAAAAGTTTAGGGGATTAATTGCAAAAAACATCCTTATGTTTTTTAGATTTTCTTAATGTGGTTTTTCTATTTTTTTAATCCCATCTCTTTTTAAAATATCTTAATGTGACTCATTCAATTGTTTTCAAGCCAATTTTTTTTTTTTTAATCAAAAGAGAAATATGTAAAGAAAAAAAAATCACAAATAATGACGAGTCAGATTTATGTATATAATATTTTGTCACTGTCATAATCCCACACAAATTAATATGCTAGTAGTAATAATCAAATGTCTAAGCTAACATATTTTTCATTATCAAGCATAGTAGGAAGTTCCAGGCATATAATATAAAAACAAGATGAAGTAACATATAATATGGGCCATCAGAGACCTTACTGCCCATGCTCCAAGTCCAGCTTTCCCACTTCTATCCCAATTTGATGTTGTTGTTGTTCTAGAGTTTAAATCAAATTGAAATATTCGTAGAAGGAAATTGGGCCTTAAACCAAGGTAGGCAGATTGATTTGACTGTTTATGTCATAACTCTTCAATTTCGAACTTCATTTTACAAATTTGATTTTTTTTTCAATAATTTATTTTTTTTACAAAAATTATTAAAAATCGATCGTTATTTTTAAAGTTTTTTGCACAAATTTAAACAATAATAAAAAAATATACATGATGTGTTTTATATTTTTAAATAAACATACATTTCATATTATAATACTTTTATTATTTATTTTTCTTCGTGTATGAATTTTAGAATTAAATTGTCAAACATGATCACCTACTCTATTTAAAAAAAATAAAAAAATTAAGATAGTTTATATGATAAACTCTTATGATTTTTAAATGAGACTAACATATAAATAAATATTAAGAAATTATTTGTTTGCAACATCAATAATAAATGATAATTTTAGTATCTTGGTTATAAAAATAATTTTACACTTAAAACGAGAGATTTGCATTAAATTAATTGTCCATCCAAGTAAAATATAAATTAAATTACACAATGACTAGAAACCAGATCCCGCACGAATCACTAGTAGGTAATTAACTAATGGATGTTACTTTGATTTTTCTAGTTTCAAAGTCTTGGCCTCATAGCATCAACTAAGTTGGATCTAGCAGGAAGTTGAAGGGATCCCCAGTCATCTTCATCAACTCTGGAGAAATATCGGTTCACCATTTCATCAGTCACAAGCTCTAATTTTGCAGGCTCCCACTGTTAAAAAACAAGAAAACAAAATTACATTACATTAATTATGCCTTAAATACCAAAACGTATCTAACATAGGGGTACTTCATGTATATACCTGGGGATTTTTGTCTTTGTCCAATAACATGGCCCTCATTCCCTGCATGCAGCAAAGCATATAATTAATTAGAGACTGATAGACATTGCATTAGAGAAAATGAGAGAAATTGGATTCTAAATATTTATGTTCTTATCATCATTTTTCAGTTACCTCATAAAAATCATTGCTCACTGTTCTTCTCTTAATGTGGCAAAATATGTTGTATTCGCGGGCAAGGCATTGATCAAGTTCTTGCGAGCGGCCCTCTCTAATCTGATCAACACAAGAAAAAATAATGAATTTCTTGAAATAAACAACCTCAGTTAAGAGATCAGATTAATGACTTAAAATCACTTGTACTTTACCGATTTGAGAGAAATCTTGAGGCTTATCGGACAGGCTGACTTCATCGATTTGACTGCCTCAAGAATCCACTTTTCTGGTCTGTTTTCTGCCTCACTCTCCTAATAAAACAAGTCAAGCAGCATCATATTGCTAGCATTCCTAATATTTGATTAAGGTTTTCTATGCTAATATAGAAAAAAATTTCTGAAATAAGCTTACCAGTGATGACAGTATTTCTTCCACTGTTTTTCTTGAGAAACATTTGTTAATAATCTCCGATCTGTTTAATGACTGAACATTCTTATCTGACAGTGGGAGATATGGGGACAAGCTAGGTACATTTTTCAAGGAACGTGATCGATCATTACCTACTATAAACACCATCCTGGTTTACTTTTGGTTTGTGCTCAAATTTGCGGATGATCTTAGAGATCGTGTTGGTATCAGAAGAAGTCACTTTATCTAGTGCACTTTCCAACAAATGGAGATTCTATGCCAAAAAGAAAAGATTTCAATTATGTAAACCTAAGATCAAAACATATACATGCAATCATATAAATCAGCAAAATTCTAAGCCATTACCTTTGAGAGGACGAAATGAATTGCAAGGCCACATGCAACCATATCTGCCCCTCTTATCTTAGTTCCAGTAAGTCCCAAATATTCACCTAAATAAAAATGAAAAAATGAGGACGTACGAAAATTCGGAAAAATATTGTTAAGTGGATAGTGTTTTAAGTAGTTACCAAAAAATCCAGGAAGCCTGGAAAGGAAATACGATGCCCCAACATCAACAAAATGTCCTATTGATGTTTCTGGCATAGCAAACACCTATACATATGCAAGTTCATGTATCAAAAGAGTTAATGTACACACGAAACTAGTTACAGGAATTGGTCTCAAATCTCTAAACAGTCAAAGGAATCAAAATATAGCAGAAACATACAGTATTTTCAGTGACAATCTTGAACCTTCCATGCATTGATAGCCCAGCACCACCCCCCATCACGATTCCATCAATAATTGCAACCTTCAAATATAGAATTTCATCCATAAAAAATAAGCAAATTGAAAAATTATACTGCTATAATATGATTGATTGTGCCAAATAACTTGTTTAAATACCACAGGCTTTCCATATGTAGCAACTAAATAGTCCAGCATGATTTGTTTCTTGTAAGAAATTGCAGCGTAACTCCAATGCCCTGATTCATCCAAGAAGATAGACATTTATAATAAATGGCATCAAACAGTTTCCTATTTCTTCAAAGAAGATTATTTTCACCTGCGACCAAACAAATATATGATGACACAACATCACCACCTACACAAAATGCCTTTCCATTTCCCTGCATGAGAATTAAGTAGCTGAAAATGATTAGATAATAATGGCATCGACATTGACACATGAATGAATCATACGGAGTATAATCATGTACTCTTCAGTTAATTAATATGTGATTAAAATTGTATCAGATTGTACCTTCAATATCACAACTTTGACTTTAGGATCAACCTCGTAAGCTTTCAACTCCTTTGTCATTTCAGAGATCTGTCAACAAAATACAGTGATTGTTATAAAAGAGCCATTGAAAGTAAAAGGGAAAATGTATAATATTACACATGAAAGGAATATTTTTCTTTACATAATATACACTTGGAAGGAAAAAAAAAGGATCAATCTACCATGTGATGGCTGAGGCAGTTTAGTTTCTGTGGTCTGTTCAATATCACCTTCTTCACACATGAATTCCCTTCAAATAGCACCTAGAAGATACAAATCATCACATGAAGAATTGATTAAATTTTGCTTTTCTGCTGCAACTTTTTTCTTGGTTACGTTTTGCATCACAGGTTTTAAATTGCAATGAAATGTTACAACAGAGAGAAAAGAAAATGGAAATGCATGTACCTGGTTAACATCTTTGTCGAAGGAATGACGGATCGTAGTCATTTGAATTGCGATGAATGATTCAATATATCGATCGAGAACTGTACTCGCTTTCTCACAAAAACTTAGCAATACAACTGATCATTAATCTACTCTCTTGGTTCCAAGGACACAAGTTGGCAAACTAGCTTTCGTCTTCTTCTTCTTTTAACCCAAGAAACTAGCTAGTCTTCTTATAAACACTAGCAGCCAGCCAGCCACTAGAAAACAACAGACTGGTCAATTTTGTGGGCAGGGCCTGCATCTTTGGTAACAGGAAATCCAACCACACGTACGGAATTTCTTATATAATTTTTAAATCAGTTCTGAATTAATGTGTCTTAAATCAATACGTGATTACCTTAAAAAAATAATATAAAATTATTTCTGAGATTTTATTCTGTCTAAATTTTTTAAATTAATATAGTTTTTTTTAATATAATATCGTAATTTAAAAAAGTCTAACGACTTAATAAAAAGTTTGAAATCTAAAATACGGATTTCAAAAATAATTTTATATTATTTTTAATATTTTGTCAAGTTAGATCATTTACAATTAAATTCCGCACTTGAAAGGAAAATAGAGCAGAAGGTATATAGATTTTATTTTTTCCAAGGTCTTTTTTTATCCCATCTGGTCAAAAATGGCAACAATGGCCTGGCCACCACTTTCTTCTTTTATCTTCTATAAGTAAATAGATTTTGTCAGTTTTTACCAAAAGATTTGTTCTTTACCCGTTATCCTTTAATATTATGGTCATATATATATATATATATAACAGAAAATAATTTTTTGAAGTGTAAAATTCAATTTTTTTCTAAAAATATGAATAATTTATCAGTTAAATTTTTTTATTTTCTTTCTTTATTATTATTTTTTTAAATCTTACACCACGTTTTCCATGTATGATGATATATATTTTGGTAGAAAATCTTGAATGTTTCAAGTTTTTGGTGGTTTGTTTGTCAGGAAAGGTCATGATAACTGTATAATGTGTCAAAAGTGGGGAGGAAACATGAATAAAAGAACTTTCTCAAATGGACAAGAGCGTATTAATTGTTTGATGAAGGCATCATCCATTTATTGTTATTTTATTTTTATTAATTTAAGTTTGAGACTAAATTCCTTTTTTTTTTAAAAAAAAAGCTTAAACTTTATATTTTATATTTTTTATTTTATTTTGGTTTATCAGAAGATCCAAAAAATTAAACTCAAGGCTTTACGATAAGTAGTTCCTCTTTCTCTTACAGGTAAAGCTATACAGATTCACAGCAGACACTTTAACCATGGAAAATTCAGAGGTTTTAAGCATGAGAGCATGCATACTTTCAAAGTAAATTAAGCCAACGACATGAAGACTATGTGTAGAAATTCCATTAAATTGGAGACTGCAGAAATTCAGATGAATGCATAATATTAAGATTTTCAGAACAAATAGAATCAGAGCTTAAGTAAATATGATCTTTTGCTTTTGCAGGTAATATATATATAAAGTGGAAATTCAAAGCCAAGTTCAGAACTCTCTCGAGCTAAGTTCAAAATTCCAGCTCAAAGTTTTCAACTCAGACCTTGAGTTTAGAATCTCAACTCAGAATCAAAAACTATAAAATCAGAAACACCCCCCCCCCCCAGCTCATGTTTTCTGCCCTTTTATAGACCTTAAAAAGAACAATTGAGAATTTTTCACCTTTGGCTCAAAATCGAGCGTTGAATGTGGAGGATTAATCTGATCAGCCCTCCAGCTCTCCTACCAAGTCTAGCTGTCCCTGTCCTTGTTTGCGAACAAGTTCAGAGCTGTAACAGCGTACTTGTTATGATGTCTGTAGAGCAGCGGATGTCAAGGATTTGGTGTAGCAAAAATCAAGTTTTATGAGAGAGAAAGAGGGCTGCCTAACTTTGCCAAAAATAGAAAGGAAAAAAAAAAAAAAACCAACTAAGGCATGAAAGAACGTGGTATCATGCGGAAGAGAGGTAGAAGAAAGGAAATAGAATAGGCCAAAACGGCACGTTTGGCTACATGATGGACAAAGTTTAGATAAATACCTTCCACATTTTTTATTTCAGTCCCTAGCCCTTTCAGTCCCGTTTGGCAGCATTTCCCTCTGTTAGCTTAAACCAACAATCTCGAGCAAAGTGATCTTTCTTGCCACATTCACTATTTTGACATTGGTTTTTCTTTTTTGAGACAGTATTGCAGCTGTCACGATTGGATCCCCCTGCTCGGAATTGGGGCCAAAGGGTAGCGGCAAGTCAAGAATTGGGCTGGGCTAAGTTCCTTTGAAAGAAGTAGAAACCGGCTTTTGGATACTGGGACCCATTGGGGCATCACTTTGAGAATCCAAGCACTGCGCAATTAAAACCATACACGTGGCTCCCATAGAATCTAACAAAACTCCAGCTTGTTCTGGAGTCTTCTCTTCACTCTCTCAAAAACATGAAGCAAAGGAGCCCTGCACATGACCACGCGTCATTTTGCGCTTCTTTCTCTTCTGATTTGATAAACCTTGAGCCCATTCAAAATCCCAAAAAACAATCGGACAGAGGTTTATAATTCACAGTTAAAGAAGAGGGTGAAAATTAATGTCATACTTGTTACCACACTTGCACTCAGGATGGGCTGTTGATCAAGCCATTTTGGCTGAAGAAGAACGTGTAGTTATCATCAGATTTGGTCATGATTGGGATGACACCTGCATGCAGGTACACCCCAAGACAAACCCTCTTCTTCCTTTTTCTTCTTCTTCTTCTTCTTCTCTTTTAATGTAAAATGCTTTTTTTTTTTTTTTTTGAACCAGCAAACAATGGTTATTATGGATTTGATCGAAGGTTTCATCATTCATTGTTACTGCAAAAACCTTATACCATAAAAATGTTGCACATAAATGTATCACAATATGAGATTTCAGAATTGGCTGTATTTAATGATTCTTGGTTTATTGAATATGGAAAAAGAAATTTTCTTGCAGCAAGACAGAGAAAAGGTAGAAAGAGAAAATATTTTTTCTTTTCTTTTTCTATAATTATATCGGAAAAGGGGAAAGATATTAAACTTTTTTTTTTTTTTTTTTTTAACTCTTTAGCAAATACAAAAAATAAAATAGAGAAGCCCAATGAATTATGGGCTTAGGCCCACTTCCTAAATAAGGTCAGATCTGACTTGCTGCAATCTTATTGGTCACACACGTTTGAGTAAAATCGACCTGCCGAAGCTACAGAGAACCCAAAAAAAAAAAAAAAAAAAATCCTATAAAGATTAGGATTCCTTCATTTTTAATTCAATCAAAGATAGTAACTTCTAGCGAGAGAGAAAGATGTCATACTTGCTTCCACACTTGCACTCAGGATGGGCTGTAGATCAGGCAATCTTAGCTGAAGAAGAGCGACTAGTGGTCATTCGATTTGGTCATGATTGGGATGAGACTTGTATGCAGGTTCACAACAAAACCCTATTTTTAATTTTTTTTTCAATTCTGGTTTATATTTTGTTGAATTTTTATCTTTCTGTGGTTTTTGTGAGTTTTAGTGGGCTTTGTGAAGTGGCTTTCTTATATAACTGCATATTTTTTGCGGGATTGTGAATTTTGTTTTTGTTGTTTGTGTTCTGGGTTTTGATAAAGTTTTGATCTTTTTGTGTTTTTGGTTGTTATTAGTACGTTTTATGAAGTGGGTTTTCACATAATTGCGTCTTTTTCTTGGTTTCGAAGTCCCTGAATTTGGATTTATAATTGAAGATGGATTTTGGTTTTAATTGTCTTAAAATTGAGAGATTTGGCTGTTGAAGATGATTTTTCTGCTTTTGCTATATTGCCTTATTTATTAGTTTCGGTCCTACTTTTTTCAGATGGATGAAGTTCTGGCATCAGTAGCAGAAACGATAAAGAACTTTGCTGTGATATACCTGGTGGACATCACAGAGGTTCCTGATTTTAACACAATGTATGAGTTGTATGATCCATCCACAGTCATGTTCTTCTTCAGAAACAAGCATATTATGATTGATCTTGGGACTGGTAATAACAACAAGATCAACTGGGCTCTCAAAGACAAGCAGGAGTTCATTGACATTGTTGAGACTGTCTACCGTGGGGCAAGGAAGGGTCGCGGTCTTGTCATCGCTCCAAAAGACTACTCCACAAAGTATCGCTACTGAGTATTTTTGCAAATTGTTTGAACATGTAAGAGATTGCCTAGAAAACATGTTTGTGTCTAACTTGTCTTCCCGAATTAAGGTGGGAATGCCTTATTTGATTCGAATTTTCATGTTGTAATACTGGTGATGTGGATGTAACAGTTTCATGCTTTGGACATGGACAATGTATTTGAACCCAGCCATTATTGTAGTATTGAAACAGCGTTCATCCGTGTTTTGTGATATATGTTTTTGTCTCTGCTCACTGTATGTATGGGTCATCATACATGAAATCGAGCAGGGTTGAAATGTTGTAGGCAATAATCTGATCATCAGTCAATATCATATGCTTTTGTGTGGCATTTACCGAACCGGGAGCGGTGGTGCTGTGACTTGAAAGGCATTGAGCAGGTAAGGGAGCAATAACCTTGAATCCATGAGAGGAATGGATTATGCATTTGACATCCAATACGTTTGTTGTTTAGATGATGATTCTTCTGTCCATTTGAGTCCATATTTTTTTCCCTCGATAAGAGAGAACAGTATCAACAGAAGTTACGGAAGAGGGATGAAGCCGATATGGATAGAGGTGAGAACGAAGTTCCCAATAAGTAACCCAGAACACCAGCAAATTGTGGGTAGCTATGATATATAGATTCAAGTGGTGCAATTTAGATAGTTAATTTTTTCCTTGCGTCCTGGTATTTCAAGCGATATGTATTATTCAGTAAACATCTCAATAAAGAAGAAAACTGTGCTCCAAAGTTTCAATGTTAAAGTTAAGGCCAGAGTGGAGCAGAGATTTGATGGACTTCCCTCTAGCGGTTGAGAACAGTTCTTCGAATGGCTTGCCACATAGGTTGGGATTGCCTAGATAAATGGAATTATCGAGAAATCAGATTGTAACGTAGATTTTTTTTCGGAATCAGTAATACATAGATTCTATATAGCACATGAGATTGAATCTACAGCCTGGAACTTGAAACAGTACAATATTTCAGTATACAATCTTAATGAAGAAGAAACCCATGCACCACAGTATCAATGTTGTAGTGGTGACCTTATTTCAGTAGAGACTTGATGGCCTTTCCTCTAAAGAGTTGGTCACATCTCTTCTCCAACGGCAGGCTACACAATCTGGGATTGGCTATATAGCTGAACTCGACAAATGTGGCAAACTGTCTTTCCGAATGTTGAGAACTGGTTCCTGATTGGTTGCTAAGAATTTTTATTCTTTGCCCTAAATTAATTCTTCTAAACAATTTTGACAGGAAAAAGGGATGCACATGGATGAGCTTTGCCAGCAGCAGAAACTTTCCTTGCAGAAGATAAAGTAACTCTCTCCCTCCCCCTCACCCTACAGTATCAGAAAAAGTGATCCCTTTTATCAACATTTTCTTTTGTCTCTGCCAGGGAATCTATCAGATCACTTGAAGATGAAGGTTTAATATAATCTACAATTTATGAATTTCACCACAAAGCAACCTGATGAAGTTCAAAGCCATTAGGAATGCCACCATGTTGTTATGAAGGCTGTTGCCGGTTATTTCGTTCCTTCTTTTGAATCTTAAAAGAACGGCCTGTAGATATTTATTTATTTCTATCCTAGACAACATCAAAGTTAAGGGATCCGGACCTGTGCATTATCGCTAAACTATACATTCAATTTTGCATCATTTCCATTTGCTGTTTAGAATCCCAAATGATGTGCTGAGTCTGATTGATTTTTTAAAGCAAAGCACAAAAAGTAGCAGTTGTTGAGTGAGGAGTGGTCAAGGGATTTGGAGATTGTGAAAGTGAAGTGCATGCATGTAGATGTAGGCCCTCTATTTGTTGTTCGGGAGAGTTGGGAGTCTGTTTTCCTTAATTTTTAGATAAAGTAAGGAACAATTACTATGCTGAAAAGTAAGGAACAATTATTATGCTGTCATTGATGTTTTAAAGCAAAGCAGGGAACTACTAGTTGAGTGCAGAGGAGTTAAGGGATAAACAGATGATGATGAGAGTACATTTAGAATCTCTAATAGCTCGAGTGTTTGGGACATTTTGGCATCTGTTTATCTATAAATAAACCAACGATTTATCTCTTGTTCTTCACAACTTAAGCCTTTCAGCATTCAAGCCAATCATCGATCCCTCTCAAACCAACATAATCAAAAACCTCAAACACATCCTTTCCATAATTCTTCTTTTACCCTTTTTTTTTCTTTATTGCTGTTTGTGCTTCTGAACACACATTCCTTTTCCACTCACAAAAACAGAAAAAAAAAAAAAAATGGCTGAACGTGTACTGTTCAATATCGCGGAGGAAATGGTAAAGAAATTGGGTCCCTTAGCTACCCAGGAGATTGCAATTTGGTGGGGACTCAAGGGTCAGCTAAGCAAGCTCAATAGCACGGTTACCAGAATTAAGGCTGTGCTCCTCGATGCTGAGGAGCGGGTGCAGAAACCACACCATCAACTTGAAGACTGGTTCGCAAAGGAAGCAGCGTATGATGCTGAAGATTTGCTTGATGACTTTTCAACTGATGAATTGCTGCGGAAACAATTAATGTCCCAGAAAAAAATACGGAGGGAGGTACGTACTTTCTTTTCGGGATCAAACCGATTTGTGTATGGTTGTAAGATGGGTCATAAAGTTAAAGAACTTAGGGAGAGGCTAGATGGCATTTCTGAAGAGAGTGAAAAATTTCAGTTTGTGGTTCGTTCTGAGGAGAATGCTTCTTTGACTGTGGTTAGAGAGCAAACTACCTCCGCTGAACCTGAAAGGATTTTTGGGAGAGATGACGACAAAAAGAAAGTTATAAGCTTTCTGTTGAATTCCAACTATGATAAGGAGAGTGTTTATGTCATCGCAATAGTTGGAATGGGCGGGTTGGGAAAGACCACATTGGCTCAGCATGTTTTCAATGATGAGCAAGTTAAGTCACATTTTGGTATAAAACACTGGGTGTCTGTCTCAGGTGTTTTAGATGTCAATAAGATTTGCAAAGATGTTGTAGGTAGAGATCTTGCTCGGTTAGAGGATCTGAAAAATGAGCTTCAAAAGAAAATTGAAAAAAACAAGTATCTTCTTGTGTTAGATGATGTGTGGGATGGTAAGGATGGTAAAGATGATGCTGAAAAATGGGATAGGTTGAAGGAGTTGTTACCACATGATGTTATAGGAAGTAGGATTATAGTAACCACACGTTCTCATAAGATTGCAAAATTCACAAGCACAATAGAACATGAGTTAAAAGGTCTATCAGTAGATGAGTCATGGGATCTTTTTAGAAAAAGGGTATTTCCTCAAGGTCAGAAGTCGGATCACGTAGATGAAAAAATTAGAAAAGAGATTGTAGGGAGGTGTTGTGGAGTTCCTTTGGTCATAAAGTCAATTGCGAGTCTCATGTCTTTCAAAGATAGAGCCCAGTGGTTGTCCTTTATTGTAAATGAACTTCCGAATAGGATTAGAGATGATAACATCATACAGACCCTTAAGTTAAGCTACGATCCTCTTCCTTCATACATGAAGCATTGTTTTGCATACTGTAGCTTATTTCCAAAAGGTCATTTGATAGATGTAAATTCATTGATTCAATTTTGGATTGCACAAGGGTTCGTTAGCTCTTCAAATTCAGGTGGTGGGAGTCTTGAAATTGCTGGTCTTAGGTGCTTTGAGGATTTAGTGTGGAGGTCGTTCTTTCACGAAGTGGAAAAGGATGATCTAGGTAACATACAAAGTTGCAAAATGCACGATTTTATGCATGACCTTGCAACGAAAGTCGCTGGTTTTGAGAGCATCAAGGTGGATTGTGGAGGAAATAGTACTAGTGATTTCACTCGACATGTGTCATTTGACATGGAATTGGATTTGTCACAACAAATTCCAATTCCTTTGATTAGAGCAAAACAATTAAGAACACTTATTTTGCTGGATAGATGGTCCCATAAGTGGAATGAGGGGGCATGGGAGTCAATTTGTCGAGACTTTAGGCGTCTACGTGTGCTTGATTTGCATGGTTTAAGGTTTTGGGAAGTGTCACCTTTCGTTGAAAAGTTCAAGCACCTTAAATATCTTGATCTTTCAAGAGACGGGATGGAGGCCCTTCCTAATTCTATCACCAATCTAATAAATTTGCAAGTGCTAAAGCTTAGTGGGTGTCAGAACCTTAAAGCACTACCAGGAGATATTCATAAGCTGATTAATCTTAGGCATCTTGAAAATGATGCATGTTCATTCTTGGAGTATATGCCTTGTGGGATTGGGAAATTAACTTCTCTCCAGACGTTGTCATGTTTTATGGTTGGAAAAAGAGTCCTGGATCCAAGATGGTTGCTGGATTGGATGAGTTGGGTAGGTTAAATGAATTGAGAGGGAGCCTAGAAATAAGAGTTAAGGGATATGACAGGAATTCTTGTATATCAGAATTTGAGGGAGCTAAATTGATAGAGAAACAATATCTTCAGTCGTTGACCGTACGCTGGGATGTTTTATCGCATGATAGTGATTCAGATATTGATTTGTATGATAAAATGTTGCAAAGCCTTCAACCACACTCGAATCTACAAGATTTGACGGTTCAAAATTATAGAGGTATGAGGTTGCCGAGTTGGCTTCCACGTCTCACAAATCTTGTTAAGATTCATCTAGAAGGTTGTAGAAGACTTAAGCATATCCCTCCCTTAGATGGAATCCCTTCTCTTGAAGAATTGTATATTGATAGGTTACCTAATCTGGAGTACATAGATAGTGAGGGGGTTGGAGGAAGAGGAGTGTCGACGTTTTTCCCATCCCTAAAGAAACTTAATATCCATGACTGTACTCGTCTGAAGGGATGGTGGAAGAAGAGTGATGAGATTAATGATGATAGTGATGAGTCAACAACCACAACAGAAGAAGAGTTGATGATGCTCTCTTTTCCACGTCTTTCTTACTTGAGAATAGAATATTGTCCTAAACTGTCTTCAATACCATTGTTTCCAACTCTCGATGATCAGCTATATTTGTGGTCGACCAGCTCAGTGCCATTACAGCAGACAATGAAGATGAGAGGTTGGAAATCAACATCATCAGTCTCTTCTTCTTCTTCTTCTTCTTCTTCTTCTTCATTTGGCCATCCTCTCTCCAAGTTGAAGGTCCTACGTATTCATTATATTGATGATATGGAATATCTCCCAGAAGATGTGCTGCACAATCTCTCTTCTCTTCAACGGCTATCGATTTGGTTTTGCCCAAGATTGAAGGCTCTGCATCTACCTGATCAGGGGATGCATTCTCTTCAGAACTTAAGCATCTATGAGTGCAGTGAATTAAGGTCTCTATCTGAATCTCAATCTCAAGAGATACCCTACCTTCCCTCTTTGCAACAATTAGAAATCGATGGGTGCAGTGAAGAGTTGAGTGGAAGACTAAGAGGAGGCAAAGAAGCTGTGGATTGGTCTAACATCAAACACATTCCAAAGATTGCAATTGATCGTTATTACATTCAAAAGGACGGTCGCTATGTAAAGGAGGAAAATAGCTAGCACCACATAATATGAGGTATTTGAGCTCTTCCTCTAATTTTGTTTTATTATTTGATTCCATACTCTCTTTATTTATGTGCTGCAAAATCTCTCCTCTCTTCAATTTGGGATTGTCCAGTAATTTAATAAATTTCTTTTAAAAAATAGCTCTAAATTTTGAATTAAATATCATGTCAGTGAAGGTATTTAATTGAACATCTTACTTAATTTTGTTTAATTAATATTATTTGAGAAGAGAAATGTAAAACATGACATTTTTGTTGTTTTATTTTTTTGGTAAAATCTAACTTCACAATAGGGAAGGAATGTATGTTCTTCTTGATGGCCACTCTAACAGTCTTACCGGTGTAGGTTATTTTCATTTGCACGGTCTTTGATGAAGCCGAAAATGTTATCGATCGATGTTGGTCTCTCTGTGGACTGCTGTCACAAAGACTAGTTTTGGAACCGCGGTAGCTCCTCAAGTGTATAGATTCCTTACATTCATGTGGAGTGTGAACACCAGGCATGCACATCAAGCCTAGTATGAGACAGAATCAACATTTTTCTTTATCAAACCAGAGCATGCTATGATACTTTCAATTAGATTACTTCTTTATCAAATCCTTGTTGTTGTATGCATTTGTGATAACATTCTAGTTTTTTGGTCCACAGTTTTCGATCGACTAAAGGATTTGCGACTGTCTCCAAGTAATTATTTGCTGAGAGCAAGGAACAATATGAAATGTTGGGCACTCTACACTTTCAAAACTGAGCCAGATATTGAAAGATTGGTAATTGACTTGTTTCCTACTTATTTAATGTATAGATCAATTGGTTAGAAATTTAAGAAATGCAATTGAGAAATCAATTGAAAATGTCTACCTGTCTTATTAGTCTTAGGATTTTCAGATTTCCACCTCTTCTCTGTTTGGTTGTTGGGAAAATGGAGAGGATGAGGAAACATCTTTATTGAAAAATGTGAAGTCTAGACTATATTATCTTACTGTTGCAGTTGCAGTGAAGAAGATAATCCAAGCTTTACATTCTGGTGATGGAAAGTCAAATCTTATCAGCAACAGTGTGGATGTTATCAGAGTAATTATTTTCGAATTCTTGCCACAGATAAATTTGGTTCTGTTTGTCTCAAACTGAAATTTATTGCTCTTTTTGGTGTCTGTTGAAATAAACACAGTAATGGTTTAGCATATTTTTATTGGTGTAGGTTATGGTCATCGATGGGCTCCATGTTTGATAAGCTGAAAAGTTTGTCGATGTAGCTCTCATTCTAGATGATGGAACAGGCCGGATCAGTTGCAGAAGATGTTTCTGTGTCCTGACAACAAGTGATAATGTGAATGATGGAACTGAAGGGCAAGTAACTTTGAACTCTCAAAGCAGTCAGCTCAAGCCATAGCCTTGGACGGTTAAAATGCAGCAGGTGATGTTAGCAGGCATATGGCACTGGATATAATAAAAACTGAAGGCAGAATCATAGTATTGGGGCTACCAAGAGACTAACATTGTTTTCATGCAGGTCATAGGCTTCCCTGGGCAGTCTGAGACTATGAACTGCTGATCCTGCTATTACAAGAAGTGGTTTTGGATCCCGATGGCACCCAAAGTATATTGAATCAGGTATACCTTATCTGGGCGAAAACCATTATTAGAAAAATAACCCAAATTGGGACTATGGACTTTAGTGTCTTTCATATCAGAATTACAGACCCACCTGAACTTTTTCAGCTATTTAGAATTTGCTTGGACAATCACTTCGTTGTCGCCATGTTTATACCGTCTCAGCCCTCACGGCATCACTTTCTTTGAGAAAAAGGTTCTTTCACGACAACCTCTCTCTTTGATACTTGTGCAAACTTTGATAGCGTGGGGTGGATATGTCTAGTTTTGAAATATGATTGCTTGACAAGCTTTTCTGTATGCAAGTTTTTTTTTATTAGAAACAGATCCAGAGCATGTTATGATACTTTAATCGAGTTAGTTGATTTCAATGTCCTTGCTGCTTGATGTGGTTAACTTTCTCTTTTTCTTCCTCCAATTCTCTGAGCAATTTAGGGTTCACGGACTGAAGGATTGCGATGAAGTGATCCTTGACTCTCTGCAACAGTCTTCGAGCATGTGAGTTTTATTGACATTTGGATTTTCCCGTTTCCCCATGTATTTTCCTAGTGCTTTTCTTTCTCCACATACTTCTGACCAGTTCTCCTAGACCTTTCTATTGCTCTGTCTTCTTTACTGAACTTTGCTGGATCTTGATAGCAGGAAGAAGGTATGCGCATGCACGAACTTTGCAAACAGCTGAAACTTCCCCTGGAGAAGATCAATTAATCTCTTGCCTCCACCCCCCAACCCTTCCTCTCTCGCTCTCTGCAGGCATCAAGTCAAGTAATTCTGTTATTTATGCTATCCTCATTTGTCTTTGGCAGAGAATCAATTAAATCACTTGAAGGTGAAGGACTGATATACATTACAAGACATGCACCTCACTATGAAGTAACCTGATGAAGTTTACAGTGTACAGAAACGTTCCTGGACTATGGAATTTAGAGGAGGAGGATAGAGCTCTGGTTTCTGGCCACTGGGTTATTAAGGTCATAGTGAACATCCATGACACTGCAATTGGAGTTTCTTATATGTCATTGAAAATAGTTTTGACTCATTTTTTAACGTTCTTAGCAGGGCTCACCAGAACTTTTGACACGGTGGAAATGGAGACGATAGGTTGAGTTCTCTGGCTTATTCATTTCCTTGCTAAACTATGGTGGCGTAATGAACTACTTAACATGCGAGAGCTTCTGATTATACAGTAGCATGCTCGTGTTAATGGGGCACATGAGGGAGTCGTTCAAGATGTAAAGCAAACAGTTTTCTATGTAAGGTATGGATGTGATAAGCTTTCAATGTATACGAAATTGTTCTTTTCAGGGATTTCCTGTTTAACTAGCAAATTTTCGGTGTCACGTTATAGGTAATGATAGACAGAACTTTGAAATAATGGAAGCAGAATCATGGAACTGGAGTGCAAGTAGTTCTGAACTTTGAAACTAGCTCAAGCCATAGCCTTGCAGGTCGACAGATGCAACAAGTGGTCTCTGCACAGATGTGGAAAATCATGAAGGCACAATCAATGACGGTACAAGAACTTTCAGTTTTTTTTTTTTTTTTTTTTTTTTTGGTGTTCCACAACATATATTCAGCTCCAGTCTTGCGTTTTTCCGAGTACTAAATCAATCTTTTCTTCAGTCATCTCAAGTGAACTTTGACACCATAGGTTCTTGTTTGCAGGGTAAAAAGGAAAAGAGATGCACAAGATGAAGTTTGCCAGCTGAAACTTATTCTCCCAAGTTGAAGCTCAAAGAAAGGTTTCTTTTTTCATCGATGTACTACCCTATGGAATGGATGAATCCGACATAGCAATCAATTGAAAGAGCACGAACAAGAATCCCTACGCACTGATTGGTTCATTTAAGACTGCCAAGGATTATGAATCTTGCTAAGCTAATCAAAGCATTGATAATAACCTGCTGCTAGAGCATACAAAATCCATTCCTTTTATTTTGTTTTCTTTCTCCTTTTCATGACATTTGACATGCACACAAAAAAAAAAAAGAAAAAAAAAAGGGAAAGTATCAAATTAGATCCATTTGATCTAATATAATTTCTTTGCAAATCTATTAATCAAATAGAAAAGCATCATTCCACCAATTCGAATGATATCCCATAAAAGAAATGATTAAACTTTGAAAGATTGGGAAAAAAGAAAAGAGAGATGTGCTTAGGCTTACTAGACCAGCTTCAAAGACAAGATAAGTTTGTCTCAGCAAGTCTGAAGAGCAAAAGACAAATTAATCTACGAGCAGTTTAACACCTTCTTTGCTATCTTCTTTTAAGCAAAGAGGCTGCCTGAATTACTACTCGAGGAAACAAAAAACAAAGAAGAAATTGAGGATGTATCAGCCTTACTACAGAAACCCGCCGGAAATAGAAGCCGGCGAAAAAGGTTGAGAAAGGTTGAAGGGGTTGTTTGGTATAGGGAAGCTGCATTCATCTCTATGTCACTGTTTATCAGCCAAAGAGCCAAACTCCAGCCCCATCAATTCATTTCATCATCGGATTACGATTAAAAAGCAACACAAATAATAAACACAGATAGGATGACTGCTAGGTTGATACCTCGGAAACAAGGATGCTTTGTCATGATGTTTGATTGTGAACGCCGTATATATAGAGGCCAATTTACGAAACCCTTTTCAGTATTATTCAAAACCGCGAATTCCTCCTCTGTCTTTTTCTTTACTTTCATTTTAAGCCTTTGTTTTCCTTTAATTTCATTTATTTCTCAAGTAGGGCCCTATCTCATTGGTGGGTAACAAAGCCCAAAGCCTGGTTTTTGGTAAAGCCCACTATGACCCATCTCACCATCCCACAAGTTAAGTTCTGTGTTAATTTATTTAGATGATAAAATGCCAAAATTTCCTGGGAATTAGGATGAGGACTGAGCAGGGAGAGGGGTTAGGGTGAAGAATCAGAAATTAGGTTACAGGAAAGGAAGATAAGGGAGAGGAAGGCAGCATCCTTCGCTTATTAGTCAGACAGCAATCCACAGTACATAGAGAGATGCTAAAATAAGAAAGCCATCAAATATGTTCAATGCCTTTTGTTTTCTGCACACTAATATCCAAACTAGGTTCCAGCAGAAGAAGCGATGATAATTTAGGTCTCGCACCCCTTAAGGAGGGGGCATACAAACCGCAACAAACAATGCTCCAAGAAAATATTGAAAGAAGAAATTTTTTTCCAATTGCCATTTAATGATTTTATTAACACACCCATGCACACCATTCATATGCAGTACGCTCACAAAGTGCTCAACATAACATGACTAATGATCTTGCACATTACTTGGGTAACTTGACTTCAACAACTACAGTATTACAGAAAGCATTACGAGCAAATATTAACAAATGCTTACCTGTATAGCCGTTCAACAAGCACAAGCAATGCAATCTGGTGATTCAAAACCATGGAGGACAATCTAATTGATGCATTAGCACGCTTTCGCATTTGTTTCCCATGACCATATGGTCCACCAATGCAGATTGATAACCTTGAAGCTCCCTATAATTAGAAACAATAACAAAACGTTGATCAATGAGATAAGTCATCCAAATTCTCTTTCAAATTACACAAACTAATGTAAAAGAAACAAGATGAACCCCAAACAGTATTCGATGACAAGCAGTTCGCACCGTATTTCCTGCATCCCCAATCAATTCAGCCATCTGCTCGGAACCAATGTCCCGGCCCCGCTCATCCAACATTACAACCTAAAAGTAAATAAATGTTTCCTATAATCAATTCTTTCCAAAAACATTTAGTTTAGAACTAATCAAAACGCACACTAACTTCATTCAAAACCTAAACAAGAAATGGCAATTAAGGTTTATTGTTTTTAGACAGAAAGAAAATGTATACCCAATCATCAGACCTGATAAGGTTCATCACTGCATTGTCGTCATCATTAACCTGAGCCTTCTCATCACTAAAACAGAACATAAACAACTGCCCTAAAAATTGAAAAAAGAAGAAGCCAAAATTAGAGTAGAGTAGACAACAAACACACTGACCGAGCATCTCTGGGGTTGGACCGAATATGAACATCATGAACAGAGCAATAGTTTTTGAGCTTGTCAGTGTATTCTTCCACTAATAATTGTACCCCAGCTGATCTCTTCTTCCCCACTGTTATAATTCGTGTAGGCAGCGCTCTCTGCTCCCCAAAAAACACAATTTGGACTCAGTGAGTCACTGCAAGCAACCATCGAAGTAAACCCAGATGGGAAGATGGGAATGAAATAGTTTACCACTGATTGACCGGTGTATTTGCATCGTCTCCCTTCTCCTGCAAGCACAAAAATTAAGACAGAAGAAGAAAAAGAAATAGTACTATTACCTAAAACATAATAAACCAACCTGACAGTGCAGGAGTATAGCAATTGGTTGCAGGGCAAACTGAGATTCTTGCCATCTCCTTTCTGATTTTCTAACAAAGAGACAACAGATGGGGAAAGAAGGAAGCAAGGCTTTATGTGCCTGTCTTCAGCCTAATCATATAAGTTGGTCTCTGTACTAGATTTTTCTTACAACTAAGTCATTAATAGAGAGGTTTTTAGTCATCATACTTTTCAATAATATACAACTTAGTTCTTGAATGAATTTTTTGAATTAAATCCCTACATGTCAAATTATAAACTTATTAAAAATTAGTTAAATAATATTAGAAATTGCTGAATTTTGATGCAATTTTATTATTTTTGGATTTTACTTATACTTATGGAATAGAAAATAAAAAATAGACAAGAATAGAAATTTTATCAATCATTTTTTTAAATTAATCTTCTTTTAATATTGATAGTGATTGTAAAAACAAAAAAAGAAAAAAGCCTTTTTTAAAAAAAATCTTAAAAAACACGTGTCATTTTCTTAATGGAGTATGCATGATCAAACTTTACGATAAGATAAAATTGGGACGGATTGATGATATTATAGAAAAAAAAGTTAAAGACCTAAATAAGTAAATAAAAAGATTGAGGATTCATTTTGTATTTACCAAAAGTTCAGGGTCGTTTCTAACGGATTAACCATCTGTTAGCCTGCAAATGATGCCTGTGGTTCTGCTCATTATCTTCGCACCAAAATAAACCAATCATCACCGTTCAGAGCAAGTAAACACCTCGAACACTATCTTCTTTCTCTTTTCTTTTTTCTTCCTGTTTTGAGTGTTTTCCTCCACCCACTCTTCTTGCTAAGAAAAAATGGCTGAAGCTGTGCTCTTCAGTATCGCGGAGGAATTAGTAAAGAAACTGGGCTCCGTAGCTGCTCAGGAGGTTGCTTTCTGGTGTGGTGTCAAAGATCAGCTACGCAAGCTCGCGGCCACAGTTACCAGAATTAAGGCTGTGCTGGATGACGCTGCAGAGCAGGCATGAAAACAAAACAATCAAGTCAAAGACTGGCTGAGGAAGCCGCAAGAAGCAGTGTATGATGCAGAAGTTTTGCTGGATGACTTCTCGACAGAAGTTCAGCGAAAACAATTGGTGTATGGGAAAAATGTATCGAGGGAGGTATGTGTTTCCTTCTGAAGCTCAAACCAATTTGTTTATGGTTTGCGGAGGTCATAAAGTTAAAGCACTTAGGGAGAGACTAGCTGACATCGATGCTGACAGTAAACAATTCAACTTTGAGGTTCGTGACGAGGAGAAAGCTTCTAAGACTATGGTCAGGGAGCAAACTACCTCCTCTGAACCTGAAATTATAGTTGGAAGAGAAGGTGATAAAGTGATCTCTCAGAACTTTTCTGCTGAATTCCAACTATGAACAGTGTTTCTGTCATCTCAATGGTTGGAATAGGTGGATTGGGGAAGACCACACTAGCTCAACATGTTTTCAATGATGAGCAAGTTAAGGGGCACTTTGGTCTGAAACTCTGGGTCAGTGTTTCAGGAGGTTTAGATGTAGAAAAGATTCTCAAACAGGTTGTAAGTAGTGATTCTGATCAGCTAGAGGATTTGAAAAATGAGCTTGAAAAGAAAATTGAAAAAACGAAGTATCTCCTCGTATTAGATGATGTGTGGGATGGCGAGGAAGGTCTAGATGGTGAAAAATGTTGATATTTGGAAAAACGTCGATATGAAGTTTAAGAAGAACAAAATGTAGTACTTAATTACATGCAGAAAATACCCGACACTATCCTTAAGGTGATTATTGCCTCCACTATTATGCTGTAGGGATTTTGACAATTCACCTCTAGGATATAATTTTCACACACAAGGAACTGCAGGCAGCACTCCCGAAATTCCTTAAAGAGAATATCTCTTAAAATTGTAGAGTTTTAGAAGGAAACGAATTTTGAAAGGAGAAGAGGATTGTAGAGAAAAAATTAATTGAATTTGTCTTGTGCAATAGTCTCGTGTTTATAGATTATTGATACTCTTTCACAACATATATGACTGTTGATTCCAATAGTCATAACTCGTTGGATTCTAACGTACACAATTGTTAGATCCTAAAAGACATAACAGTTGGACCCTACCGTACATAACCGTTGGTCTTTAACGGACATAACCATTGGACCCTAACGAGACATAAATGTTAGAGCCAACTCGGTATGTTTGTTTGAAAACTATTAATAGCTAACCAACCGCAACGTGAAAATTAAAAATACTTTCAAATTTTCTTCATAGCACACTTAACTTATTATTTACCATTCTTAAGATTTCCAACAATAAATGGGATGGTTTGAAGAATTTGTTACCACGTGATGCGATAGGAAGTAAGATAATGGTAACCACACGCTCTCTTGTGATTGCAAAATTCACATGTTTTACAAAGCCTTTCGGATGATGCATCGTGGGATCTTTTGAGAAAAAGGCCTTTCCTCAAGGCCAAGAGCCAAATCACATAAGTAAAGAAGTAATTAGAAGAGAGATTGTAGAGAGATGCTATGGAGTTCCTTTAGTTATAAAGGCAATTGCAAGGCTAATGTCTTTGAAAGATAGAGCCCAATGGCTCTCCTTCGTAGTAAATGAACTTCTAGATAGAATTAGAGATGGTAACATCATATACCCTTAAGTTAAGCTACGATCTTCTTCCTTCATACATGAAGCATTGTTTTGCATATTGTAGCTTATTTCCAAAAGGCCATGAGATTGATGTAAAATCATTGATTCAATTTTGGATTGCACAAGGGTTCATTAGCTCTTTAGGTGGTAGGAGTCTTGAAATTGGTGGTCTTATGTGCTTTGAGAATTTGGTGTGGAGGTCATTCTTACACGAAGTGGAAAAGGATGATTTAGGTAACACACAAAGTTGCAAAATGCATGATTTATGCACGACCTTGCAACGACAAGTCGCTGGTTTTGAGAGCATCAAGGTGGATTGTGGACGAAATAGGACTAGTGATTTGACTCGACATGTGTCATTTGACATGGAATTGGATTTGTCACAACAAATTCCAATTCCTTCTACTAGAGCAAAACAGTTAAAGAACACTTATTCTGCTAGATAGATGGTCCTATAAGTGGAATGAGGGGGCCTAGAAGTCAAATTGTCGAGACTTTAGGCGTTTACGTGTGCTTGATTTGCATGGTTTATGAATCAAGGAAGTGTCTCCTTACATTGAAAAGTTCAAGCACCTTAGATATCTTTGTAATAACCAAAAAAAATAAAAAGCAATTCCATTTTTTTTTATTTAAAAAATAAAAAAATACAAAAATACAAAAAATACAAAACCAAAAAAAAAAAAAAAAAAACAGATTGAAGTCTATCCCAATTTTTAAATTCAGTTTAGCTTGGTTGGATCACCTTTCAATAACAGAGTTTGAGTTCAAATTGAATAGCTAAAAAATCTGAATTTTAATGTATTTGATTTAGGATGAAACTCGAATTTGAAAGTGTTTGATTGAAGGTGAAACTCAAATCGTCAATATCTATAAAAGGGCAGTATCCTGAAAAAAAAAAGGGAGGGGGAGGAAAAAAAGGAAGAATTTTTTTTTTTTGGGGTTTTAGGCAGTAGCACTCTTCGAGTTGCTGTTCTGGTTGGAATTTTCTAGGCAGGGTTTCACTGCATTCTTCGAGGTTCTCCATTCGGGTTTGCAAATTCATAATTGCTGGGTTTTAAAGAACACAAGCCATCCAGTGTTCCTTTCAATCATTCTAGACGAACAAAGCACATCCACAACATCATAAATCTCGTAATCGAACACCTACAACACGAAATCCCAACAACACCACACCAATTCTTTCAACGCCTTCCACTTCGTCCATTTCTACCCAGGTATTTCAAAATATTTAATTAATTAATTAATTTTTTTTTTTTTTTTGTGTCAATTGGTCAGGTCTAAACATAAAAAGGATGGCAGTAACAAAGGCTAAATAAGACACTCAATTGTTTGGTCATGAAACAATAGTGACGGGTTTGAAGTTTGAGTAATTACACTAGAGTAACTCAATTTGGGGAACGAACTTTGTTTTGGTAAGGTGAGAAATTTAGGATTACACCCAACAAAAATAAAAAGCTGAGGATGAACAAGAGAGAAAGGGTGGGCTGAGCAGAAACTGTCTTTTTAAAAAAAAAATATGAAGGGATCCTGGTTCGCTCTGGTATATGGTGAGGGAGAGAGAGAAAATTAGGATTACACCCAAAAAATTAAAAATAAATAAAAGGCGAGGATGAACAAGAGACAGAGAGGAGGGCTGAGTAGAAACGGTCTTGATTTTAAAAAATAATGAAGGGATCCTGGTATGTGGTGAGGGAGAGCGACGAAATAGGGAAAAGACAAAGAAAAGAAAGAAATGGCGTGAGAGAACCAGAAAATGAGAGAGAAATTCTTGGAATTTATTATGAAACATTTGACCAAAAGTATAAGCTTTTGTTAAGTGGGGTTCATGGGCTTGGCTTGGTCTGCGGCGAAATAAAAAAGAAAGGTGATTTGGGTTTGAATGGAGGCTGGGCCACTAGTTAAGAATTTAAAAAAAAAAAAGGGCAAAGATTGGTTCACTCTCTGCCTTTGCATTCCTCCATTTTTCATAGAAAAATAAAAATAAAAAGATGGATTTAATTCAGTCTCCAACTGGAAATGGAATATAATAAAAAATATATTGAGTTAGAAATTTAAGCTTTATGTATCTTGTATTTAATTCGGATGTTTAGAGGGGTTTAATTATTTTATTTTTTTTTATTTGTATATTTTGTCTCGTTTGTATTTAATTTAATATTTATTTATTTTAGTTTTGAATTTTATGCATGCATGCTATTAATAAAAAAATAATAAATATATAAAATAATAATAAATTTTCTCGGCGAAGTCTCCTCTTGGTAGGAATTGTCGTTTCGTGGCGAGGTCTCCTATCCGATAGGGACCTTCGTCACCAAAAATCATAATTTAATAATCGAGTGTCCTCCGATGCACCGGTTGTGTCAAGGCTTTAAGTGGATCCGATGTTTGAACCGACGTGTCGCCCGATGAAGGGGACCGATGATCGCTTCAATACGATGCCACGCTCAAAATTAAAAATCAAATCTTGCTAAAATAATTGTTTAAAAATTAGAAAATAAATTGGCATATATGAACAATGTAGGAGATAAATTTAGGACTAGAACAAGATGTGGTACCTTTCTTCGGAAAGGGCACTTTTAGGATGAATAATTATCTTCCTAAAAGTGTAACCAACTCGCTTACCATAGAATCTCTAGACCGAGTGTTATTTTTAGGTTCCTAGTTCCTTAATACTAGGTGGCAACTCCAAAGCTCTGTAAATAAACTTATAAATATTAATCACATTTAGCATTTTAATTTTAAGAGTCCCGTCCGATGTCGGGTAACGACGAATGACGACTCCACTGGGGACTTAGAGTTAGGTCATAGGTTTAGTCCATTTTAGTTTATCTCCTGTGTTTATTTTTGCCAATGATTTTTCAAGTAATTTTTTTTTGTCATTTAATTTTGAGTTTTTCTTTTCTTTTCTTCTTGTATATATTTAATTTTTTTTAATTTTATGCAATTTATTTTTCTTACATCATGTACATATTTAATCTTGAACCAAGTTAGATGCTTATCTTGAATCGTTGCACACACCACGAAAAAACCTACAAAAGCTCTAGACTCGAGCTAAAACCATGCTAGCATTTAGATAGAGAGGTTCGAAGGAAAGTATGATGAAAGTCTACCGATGCTCTTTCGGACTCTCGTTTGGATTGGAACTCACCCTATGCATAGAAAATGGTGGAATAACCTTCCCCTACCTCTTCGTGCATAAGGTTAAGAGGCTGAATTATCCTATTGGTAATTTAGACAGCTTAGAAACTTGAAAAGACTTCAGGATTAGACAAGCCTTGCCTATATCCATAGAAAGCTAGATCTTATCCATTAGGTTGACTCGATTAAGTCACGAATTATTTCCAAATGATATTCGTTCTAACCTTTAACTCTTGTAGGACCTTAAATAAAGGAAGGTATCTAACCCGGTTCAAATCATGCATGTATATACTCGTATATTAATTGTACATATGTTCTTTGAGTTTTTTTTTTCAGGATTTTGAAACATAGGTCGCTCCACCAACGCTCAATTCCCCCGAAAATCCACAACACTAGATTAAGGACTCGCCAAATGGAGAACGAGGATGAGAGCACGACGTAAAGAAATTTGTCGGCAAGATCTTGACTCATCGAGAGAAGAGATGACCCAAATAAAGGCTTTACTGCAAGAAATAAGGAGAGGTAACTTAAATGTGAGATGTGAACAACTGGAAATGCCACATGATATTCCACTTCCCAATCAATCCGAGCCAACGACCTATCGTACGACATTTCATGTTA